TTCTTGTGATTTTTCAGCTTCTCAAGAAATAAGAAGTAGGTAAAGTTGCCATAACGCTTGACAGAAAGTGTTATGAGATTATACTGATGTATGATAGGTACCAATTGTTCAAGGCGATGATGAACACGGTGTATGTTTTATGATTACTATCGTTATAGTACGACTATAGTAATTTCTAATAAGATGATTCGTACACAGATAACGAACCGTTCACGAAATTATATCAGTTGGCCACTTGCGGTAACGATCATTACGTTAAATTATGGGAAGTAAGCGTGATTCAATCCAAGTGCCAAGTTGAACCGTTCGTAGTGAAAATCAATCTATGCAGAATCATGGAGAAGCATAGTAGCGCGTTGACTTGCGTGCGTTTCAGTGCAAACGGCTTGTATATCGCTAGCAGTGGCCTCGATAAGAGAGCAGTAATTTGGGAAACGGTACTGCTACAAGAAACACGTGCGACTGACGATGAGATAGTCGATTCTAAATGCAATCAGATTCTGATTTATTAGTTTCATTTTTGATTCTATCATTTTTCAGTGTTCGGGAAAAGTAATGGGAATAATGTCGGGACACAATAGATACATAGCGTGCTGTGCGTTCTCTAGAGATGGAAATTTATTGGCTACAGGTAGATGAGACACGCTCTAACGTCAAGTACAGACGTTTCCCTTGATTCGTCAGTCACGTTTCATTTTCAAATGTTCATGTTGCTGCAGGTTCGAACGATAAATCTGTTATCGTTTGGGATCTGACGGGAAATTTTTGCCTCGATTCAGAACTTGCACGGCACTGTACGCCTGCCTTTTTCCTAGACAACCATGAACAGGTTCGAACAACTGTTGTGTCACTATACATATAATAATAATAATAATAATAATAATAATCGTTCGTATTTCCATTAAAGTGATTGGTATTATTATAAGCTATGTTCTGATTTTCTAGAGCGCTGCATACGAACAAAGCGTAATGAAGAACGCAGAAACATCGATTAACAATGTACGATTTATTAAGAAGCTAGAGGAGCATGCTGGTGCTGTAAATAGCGTGGCTTTTTACGGAAATCATCTGATTGCTTCTGGATCTGGGTTAGTTACAATGATAAAAAATTATTTATAACCAGACGTCCGTATCCGGAAACATAAACTTATCTTCTAGTCATTGATAATTTAGGGACAAATTAATACGCGTTTGGAACATTGAAATCGAAGAGGAAGAAGATTCCTTGATGTCAGGAGAAATGACCATCAAGTTTCGTGAAAAACCTTATAGTCCGTTGGATGGTCATAAATATAGCATAAACCATGTGGAATTTAGCCCCTGCGGTAATATGCTCGCTTCTTGCTCTTTAGATGGCACAGCCATTATCTGGAATACCGAGGTAATGTTTCGAACGGTTTTAGTTGTATCTTAATGTAGTTAACGCAATTACATACTCGGAAGCGATCTTGCAATAATGAAAATACATACATACGTATATTATACTTATCAGGCGTATCTATCACAATATAATAGTATAAAGCGAAACAATATGAATTTTCAATTTCAATCATAATCGATATTGAATTTTTCGCAAAGCAAATGTCTATTGATATATTTTTCTTCAACTAATACCTCGTAGAACGGGTGTCAAGCAAAATCTTCTTTCGTTAATTCCGGATCTGGCATTCGTGTCTGTCGATGGTCACCGGATGGTACTAAAATTGCTACGGCTGGAGATGATGAAAGAACAACGCTATGGGATATGAACAGCATGGAGGAACTTTGGTAAATCTTTTCAATCTTTAAATACGGATCGCGCAATGAAATTGTATTTGGCCGAAATATAATTTCAAATGTACACGAGTACCGGTAATGATTTAGACTTGAGTTTCCTTTATACATACATATACATATGCATAAATGTACTTGCATAGAAATTACTTTCGTATTACCCATGAAAAATCGATTATCTCTTGATATATTCAAGTAACGGGTGGGTGGATACTACAGTGCTTTCAGTGGCCATTCTGATGCGGTGAATACCATCGCTTTTACCCATGATTCTCGTTATTTGGTTGCCGCGAGTAACGAAGGTACTTGGAGATTGTTCGACGCTATCGATGATAAAAACTGCACGGCGTTGATGATTTGCGAAGGTGCGCATGATTTAGGTGTACAAGGATGTGATTTCAGCCCGACTTCCGACTTTATACCTATAGGTAAGTTTGTTCGGTGATAAATAATAAACGTCGTATAGAAGAATAATCATCGGTATCGTGTTTCGTTTTATAGGGAAGAAACAGAGGATGAATAACAACAGCGACAAGCAGTTTTATTTGTTAGCAACTGGTGGTAACGATTCCTTGGTCAAATTGTGGCGATTGACAATTTTCAAGGAAAACGAGATTACAACCGGAGGTAATGGAAGCGGTGACAACGATTTCCAATATCGAGAGGAAAAGTCGCTGGCCGGACACGGCGGTAATGTAACTTGCGTACGATTTTCTTCGTTTCAGAACCAAGTTTTAGGAAGTGTCGCTACTGATAGAACGGCTCGTATATGGAGCGTAGTAAGTAAATGATTTATACTTATTCTTTTCCTCCTTTTACAAAAAAATTTCGGAAAGTTATTCAATTTATATGATTTCAGTACTCCGGAGCTTGTCTCTATGTACTGGAACAACACGAAAGTCTCGTAACTACCTGTGCCTTCTCAGAAGATACATCCTTATTTATTACAGGTTTAGACCAATTGATAATATACAATATATACATATATGTATACGTATATGTATTGTTAAACATACTCTACGTATCGACGACTGTGTTTTTTCTTACGTTTTTAGGTGCTCTGGACAAAACTGTAATAATTTGGGGGATACCTCGGCAATTAATCTCGCAAAATATTCTAATGGACAATTTGAAATACAACAGGAGAAAGGTAAACCGTAAAAGAAGAAAAGAAAAGAAAAGAAAAGAAAAGATAATATTATATTTCATGGTACATATCACTCGGCGGCGACTGTATTACAAATGTTAATACATGATACTTTTCTTGTGTAAGGTTGCAGATTGGAGAATCAATGATACCATGAAATGGTTAAACGAAATAGGTTTATCAGTATTAGCTAGAAAAGCGTACGGAACTTCCTTAACAGGAAGACAGTTGCTCACTTCATCGGAAGATGAACTGACAAACAGGTTACTTATCGATCAAGATGATGATGTACGTGGTACTCAAGTGATATGTATAATCTTCTATATTGCTTTCTAGTTTTATTTTCTTCATTATACTGGCAATGATATTTTTTAGGTTATCGAAACATTTAAAACGCAGTTGCATTGGCTAAAACGCGAAGAGGATGGTAATGTTATTGAAACCCATGCGGATGATACTGAAGTACCTCATGAATTTTTATGCCCTATCACGCATGAAATAATGAGAGAACCTGTTCAATGCTCCGGTATGAAGTTCATTGTATTTACGAAAATGAACTTAAAATTTATTTATCATTTTCTTTTTGTCAGACGGATTTACGTACGAGAAAGCAGCCATAAACGAATGGTTCTTATGCGGAAAATATACTAGCCCCATGACCAATGAATCTCTTCGAGACACTTCGTTCACACCAAATGTCGCACTTAGAAACTTAATATACACTTTTCTTCATGGAAAGCCACAGCTTTAAATGTTGGCCTTATTACGTGTGAATATATACGTTACAGCAATTTCGTTTTATCATGATATATGTATACGTGTTTACATTTCACCAATCTTTTAATCACTACGTGTGTATTTTTCGTAAAACATGCAAATGAAAATAATATATGCGAACGTGCGTATACACAACTTCTGTGAGGGAATCAAAATACTATACGTGTATATGTATACTTATATTTTGTAAATATGTATTTCCCTGGTTTTTCAAATTTTGCTTCCTGTTCCGGGTCTGAACCGAATTTCCGTCTGGCCCCGGAGCGAAGGCGGCTTCGAGTAAAACGACAATGTGCGGTAGAAAATCTAAGATTTAATAGTTAAAAGTTACGTTAATTTTTTTCTAAATCACTTTTAATATTTAATATCGTCAAAATTAAGGTCTTGAACGTTTCTGCTTTCCCTGTAACGCCATTTTCTCTAGGGAATCCTACTCTACTCGATACTGTATGTACACAAACGTTTGTATGAATAAATTTTATTCAAACAAAGAAAAAAAGTATGGTAATTTGAAATAAAATTAATGATGATAAAGCACCACGAAATCTATTTTTTTATAAAATTAGATTCGTCGGGACACTATCAATGCTCCGTTCTGCGTTTTATTTATACATGAGATGAAACATTTATATGTATTTATATAGGTACGACTCTGCTGCAACATCAAGATCGTCGAATGCCTAAAACATCGATGAATTCCCATTTTCGGGTACATAATATCTTTCCTTGTTTCTTTCTGATAATAATACTATTTCCTTTCGCATAATTTCTATTAGACTTTTTGTAAAACTTTATCGACGATAACAAAAGTTTGTAAAGTTCATTTCGTACATATTTTTGCTCGTCTAACTTTGCTCCTCTAACTCGTCGAACAAACGTGTGTTCAAAGCGTTTGATGTCTCAACTGCGAGTATTGAATACATACTTACGATTCACGTACATGTATACATACATACATACATACCCGTAAACGCACACACGTATGTATTCTCATCCGTACGTAAGTAAGGAAGTAAGCAAGTAAGTAAGGTACATACATACGTAAAGCAGAAAGGTGGATAAAAATTTTCAAAGTATATACGTGGCACAATAGGCGGTCGTAATGGTAAGTATTTTTAATAAAAACCGCATTCATTTGCATGCTATTATTCTTCTATTTACAATGTAGTAGAAAAAGCGGTAGTAACAACAAAGAATAATTGACATATGCTTTTAGGCATCTTACTCGGAAGATCAATTGGCAGGTAAGTGAACGTAAAGGATATTTTCGACATCGAGCAGACTGAGATTATATAGAGGGGCAGACAGTTTTCTCGATGCTTAATTCAGGTCAAGAATATCGTTACCTTATTAGACTCACCTTGGTGACATCGAGTTGTTTGTCGATGATTACCTTTTATGGTTAGGTGCTTCGCTCTAAAGAAATATGTATGTATGTACTAGCAGAAAAGCAGAAACGAAGCCAGAGGGAGAAAAGCATCGTACTCGTAGTAGCGATAAAACTTTACGTTTCAAGTTACTTCTAAGTATTATATATGTACATCTTTGTTAATAAGTTACTCTTCAAAAGTGAATGAAAGTTTTTCGCTTCGGTGTGCTGTATTGTTAAAAACACAGAATATATAACTTTTTTGTGATTTTCACCTATATTGTTTGCTTCTATATAGTGGAAGAAATTTTGCTATTTTATATTATATTATATGCTGATAAGTATTTTATGCTACGTGTAAAATGTATAACTGTAGTTATCAAGAATTAACTAATAGAATGATGTCGTCTATAGATGGTAAATAAAGCCTCATTTGGAGATCTACTATCTGTGAACTGAAATTAAAAATTGACATATTTGTACCTGGTTTTTATTATAAACTTGATACACAATGAACAATGATTCTTCTTATGATAGAATTCCAGGAAGCATTTCAACTTTTTGACAGTCGTGGAGATGGAAAAATTCATGTGGCACAAATTGGAGACGCGCTGCGTGCTCTAGGACAGAATCCAACCGAATCGGATGTTAAGAAATTTACGCATCAACACAAACCTGATGAACGTATTAGTTTTGAAGTATTTCTACCTATCTATCAAGCTATAAGTAAATCCCGCACTTCGGATACAGCTGATGACTTTATAGAAGGTTTACGTCACTTCGATAAGGATGGAAATGGTTTTATTTCTTCCGCCGAATTGAGACATCTGCTGACAACGTTAGGTACGTCAAAATGAAGGATTGATTTTTTCTTTTCTTCTTTGAATATACATATCTATATTGTCTATCAGGTGAGAAACTCAGCGATGAAGAAGTTGAAACATTATTGGCCGGTCACGAAGATTCACAGGGTAATATTAATTACGAAGACTTTGTTCGTCAAGTGATGTGCGGTTGAACTTCTATTTTGAGCATACACATATGAAATATTTTATCCTAAGAATCTTATCATAAAAAGATTATAACTATTTAATTTTTGTAGTATCTTATTTTGTACCGTATCATTTATCGCTTTCTAATTCTTATAAATATCAGCTTCTAATAGCTTCCATAGGATATGTACAATAACGATCATTTTTTTCTTTTTATTATTACTACTTAAGGCAAATGAATTTATAGTGATAAACGATTAAGTTGAAAGTAAAATAGAATTTAAAAGAGAGAAAAAAAAGTTGACAATCTTGTAAATCTTCCAGCTTAGACATTCCATATTATATCATTTGCATATATTTCAGAAAATCTTTTAGTTATCAGTTTACACGAAATACTTTAAGGGAATGTTAACTTGACTGTATTCTATAAAAATGAAAAGAAAAACATTGCGTATGAGATGAATGAAATAAAATTTGTTAAATATAAAGTTTAATATTGTTTAACATTTTCCACATTTCCTAATTATTCTTCTCCATCTTCATTTTGGTTTTCAATTTCATCTTCTTCTACAAGAATGTAATTGAAAGTTAGGGCTAAATTATGCAACACAGCACATGCAACTACCGTTGTTGTGGAACATAAGAACTTCGTTGTTAAACCCCTTGTAAGACATGGAAAACGGCGCTTCCAAACACCGAACGTTCTCTCTACTATCTGTCGGGTCCTAATCTCGATTTCATTGTACCTGTTTCGATCGAATAATTCAATGTTAATTTGTGCATCAATCAGTCGACTAAACAGTATCAGTATTACCTTATTTCTTCTTCAGTCTGTTGATTCCGCAGGGGTGTCATGAGAAAAGGCAGACAAAACGTCCAACTCCATTTTGTACTTTTTTAAAATAATTTACCACAATTAATCAAAATAAATTGTTCAATACTACACAATAACACCTTTAAACGCGTGTTTAAGTCCTCAATATCGTCGACTTAAAAACATAACCTCAATGAAGCCAAGTAAGAACTCGTTTTCTACAAATAAGGCGGACTTATTCCACTATGAATTCATAAGAGCTTAAGACTTTCTTAAGCATCGACTGTGAATCTACACCGACAAGCATTTACTTTCCTAAGCAAATGCTTCAACTGATGCTTAAGACGTTGCTTATTCGACGACTGTGAATCTAACCGATGTTTTAAGCATATGCTTAGGACAAGCTTAGAAATAAGTTGCGACTGTGAATACCGGCCTAAATATTCCTTGAACGCTTGATCACGACGTGTGCTACAATGAATCAAGATAAAACGTTTGTTGATGTTATGAAGACGTCAGCGTTTACGAACATTTTTAATTCATCTTATCAATATAAGTTGACTGTTCCTTAAATTTTTACAGTAAATAATATATTGTCGAGTTCACCAGAGTCCATAACTGCGAAAAGACGAGTTTTCGTTCATTCTTGCGCATCTTGGCCCTGATTGGCGAAATTTTCACTTCCATGCGCTTGCGCACAGCGTCGCTGTGGCGCCTCCACGCGCTCTTTCACCCGGTACATTAAACTCGCGATTGAAGCGCCTACCGCAGTAGGAGTTCGAAGCTCACTAAGTTCCCCCACTATCTTCCAACCTGCGCGTAGCAGTTATGGACTCTGGTGAACTCGACAATACATATATTAGGTATAAATATATCGCCGTATCATGAAGACGAATGAAAACGATATATGTAATCGATTTGAAGGGATCGAATCGAATCGAATCGAATCGAATCGAATCGAATCGAATCGAATCGAATCGAATTGAATCGAATCGATATAGGACAAGGAAAGCTCTAGAGTATCGTTTCAGTCATTCGAGTAAGACGGTTGTCTTGTGTGTTGCTGATTCTACGATCATTCTCTATCGCGCAGCGATCGCTGGTCTAGCGAATATTTCGTCGTGGAGAAGTAAAATTACGGCCGTCAAGATTTTACGAAGAAAGAAGTATGAGTATTAATTCCAATCTACCATTAAGCAATTGTGATAGTAGTAAAAAGGGCATAATAATGCCAAGTCTAATATCGAGCAATTGGTGAGTATCGTACGATTATTGCGCCATTTTTATCTTTGATTCGTCATCGCCATTTTGAATTCTGTTTATCGGTTTTCTTCACTGTTTTCATTGAAGGAACTATTCATTTCTTTCTTATGGAATTGTTAATGTTATTGTTTCGGGAACAATTAGTTTTCTTGACAAATGCGTTTCTCTTGATATTTTAGAAAGTAATGCATACCTCTGTATTACGTAGCAATGTATTTCGAATATTTTTCGTCACGATAATAATGAAACGCTCGAGAGATTTTAAAGTTGCTTTACAAGAACAATAATGTTGTTAATTCATGTAATAAGGTGAATCCAATATACGCGAATCGCTGTAAAATATGAAAAAAGGAAAGTAGACTAATGATAATGATGATGATATTTTATACATTATCAAAAGCCTAGAATAATTTCTAACGTTGGTCCGTTTGATATATATACACACACCACACCACACACGCACGCGCGCGCGCGCGCGTGCGTGCATATGTAGATGTGTGTTTGCCACGTGAATCGTGTGACGTAAAACTAATGTATATATATATTAGTCATACGTACATCAGCTGTTTCGTGTGGTACATGGCGTGAATATTCAGACATGAAAATACATACATCTCATGAATCCGAAAAAATGTTATCATTTTCTTACTTCCCTTTTAAAAAAGATTGAAAAACGTCAGTTTCGTATAATAGCTGTACTAAAGGTATAGCTATTCTCACTTGACGATTCTCTCCGATGTATAAACACGTGTAAATTATAGTTACTTACAGATAATCATATAGATTGGTTACATAATTCTTGTTGCGATCATGATATGTAATGTATGAATAATAATGTTCGTGCATATTTTATTGAGTTACAACGAGGAGAAAACTCAATAATCTATGTATAGTCTTATCTTTAATTTCAATTTGTTGATGACGAGCAAAGTATTGGTTAATTGAAAATATTTTCATTCGCAAATATAGATAAAAATACACAATCATTTCCTTATGCGTAATAAAACGCGTTATCTTTTTTTTTGTCAGTAATATACGCATGAAAATCAGTCGATATTAATCAGTTTTAATCAACGATAAATGTAAAATTTTGTGTCATTTACCTGGACTAGTCAATTTCATTCATTTCGATTTCAACGATTCATCTTATTTTTGTTTCTTTCAGTCATTTTTTGTTAACTTGTAATAATAATAATAATTGTGTCCTAAACGATGTAGAAATTGATGCAAGATTAAATTGTAATTGCAATTTTGCACGAATTTCAAATAAAATTGTTGCTATGAGTTTGCAGGATAAGATGTTTTATCAATGTTTTAACGTGTATGATTTACAGCGAAATGTCGAGTAAATGTATGGACGAGAGTTTGGAAGAAGGCAGTAGACTTCAACAACATTACTGTATAACACTGGGTGTGGGGCCTCTGTGGTGGTCCTGATGTGCCCCATGCCGCATTGTCTGTATCCACAGTCAACACAGAGAGCCGCGGCGTGGGGATCAAGCAGAGTCAGCTCTCTGTGAGCTCCCACATTGTACAAGTAACGTTCCTTTCTGTTTTATCATGTAGAAACTTGTAATTAATTGTTATCGTTACGTAATTGTTATCAATGATTTCCCTTAGAATCGCAATTATCAGTACGGTCTCTTTTTTAAATGATTTCAAATACGTTTCTTCTAGGAGGATGAATTATTAAAAGCCGTGCGAAATAGCGAATCGTTACGCCTGACCTTCACCCTTCACTTAACGGAAAGCACATCCGTTGAGTGGGAAACAGTAGTATGGCGTCGTTGTCTGTACATTCGCGTACCAAGTTGTCTTTTACCCGAAGGATCGAAAGAAGGCTTTGTTTCGCTCTTGGAATATGCCGAAGAAACGCTACGATGTACCAATATCATTGTTTGTCTGCGTAAGGACAGAACAGATCGAGGTACTTGTCGTCAATCGTTTTTTCATTCGAATGAAAATGATTGCGACGAAAAGAACTTGTCGCCTAAATCACTCTGTTGTTATGGTTTAGCAATGCTGGTTCGTACCTTCATGTTTTTGGGCTTCACTGTTCTACCGCCGACTCACGCCTTGGTACCACCAGGCAGTGATGCCGGCAATCTCTACATGCTCTATGCCATCGAGTAATCAACCAACAGCTTGGCTTCTCTCTAAAATTTAACGCGCAGGTATTGTTTTTATTTCGCGAAATAGTGAAATTTTTTTTATCTTATCGAATATCTGTTCGAATATATATTTTTTTTTTTTTTTTTTTTTTTTTTTTTTTTTGTGATTTTGTTACAGTCAAGTTTCTTTTTTATTTTCTTTAATTTTTACAGGAGTAAATATCGAACAAACATCTTGTATAGTTTCGATACGATAAAATGAAAGCAAGCTTCATCTTTGTTTTTCGTTTCTTGATATCTGTCGTATCCAGTGGATTTTATTTATAATATTAAACACAGCGGAACGTTGATCCAAGTTTTCGCTGTTGATGGGGTAACCAGAAGACGAGTTATTGTATTGAAACTTTGATTTCTCAGAAGTGTTGAAACGGTATAGTATGAGATCAAAAATAATAATTTTAATACCGTAAACCATAGCGTTAAATTTAAGAGAAATGCGATTACACGTAACCTACCTACCTACACATACACACACACACACACACACGCGCGTATACATGAATATGTATGGGATGAAGAGACAGGCAAAAAAAAAGATAAAAATTAGTAGTCGAGTATTTGTAGGACACGTACAAACAAGCTATCGATGAATATACTGATTCATTCTCTTGGATACAATGATAATAAGTCTCTTAAGAGCATGTAAACTGCTGACGAAGCTTCCCACGCAAAAGCATTTGATGGCTTCGAAGTTAAAATTTTACATAAAACAACGAGCCATCAAATTATAGAAGAAATTTATTATCAATAAATCTCAGTGTTAATTGTGGCAGATTAAGTATCACCGCGTCTTATTTTATATTATTATATATTTTTTTATCGTGTGTAAGTATTACTATCAATATCAATAATACATTGTATATCTACATATGTATGTAAACTACGTGCTCATTTACAGTAGCACAGAAACGAGCGCGCGTGCGCGACAGACACGATCACTGTGAAGATTCACGTGGTGGAGAAAATTACGATACGCGGTCAGTGATAAACTAATTCATTTAATCCTGAATAATTTTTCTGCTTTTTGTTCTTTTTTGCGTGATGTATACAAATCAATCAGTTTATAGTACTTTTTCTAACTCATGAAAATAAAGCTGAAGTATTGAAAATAATTTCTAAAAGATACCATATGATAGTTCAATATGTTCACGTGCTTCGAACGAAATATGTAAATAAGTATTATAAAGTATTTTATAGCTGTCATTTTAAAAAATCTTATTAACATACCGTTAACGATTACAAATGATTTGATTCCCATACACAAATAATTGGTCAAAACGTGTTGTTCACTGGCGGCTGATCGTTATAGTTGTTAGTAAATACCTACATTAATTTTTCTTCATTATGTTTAGATGTAAGTAATAATACCGATGATAGCGAGTATAGTTATAACAGTTATAAAACAATGATGGTAATGACGATCTTTGGTAATCCTTGATCAATTAACATTGTAGAGATTTTGCTAATAAATATGTTCTTTAGTGTTGACTTGATAACAGACGATAAATAAAACGATTGAAAAAAAAGAAAAAAAAAGAGAAAAAGAAAAAATGAAATATCGTAAGCAAACAAAAATACGTTAATAGCTTATTAGAAATTTAGATAAGTACAGAGCGATAAACTATCATGTCTTAATGAAAATAGTTTTGAATTTGTTTGAATCTTTTCAGTTGATAAACGATTCTATAGCGTTTTATTCTGTTTGTTAATATTATTTTCATATATATGTATATACATATATACGTATACATGTGACCACATAAAAATATATGTATGCTACATTTATTATTGAAATTACAAGAAAATATACATACTTGCTAAATAAAAGTTAAAAAAAAAAAAAAATAGAGTTTTGTACTCTATATCTTGTGCATGGAAGTCTGAGAAAAAGGAACGTTTCTTCGCGTATATGTATGTACATACATACATCAATCAATCGAAGATGTACGTATGTAATTTTCGAGCGACGTATTTTGTTCGTGTAACGGTTTATTGTTAGTTCGTATGAAGATACAACTCAACGAGTAATATAAAACATACTTGAATATGTTTTTCGACGGATGTCCAATGAATAATGTTTTATAAATCGTTGGTAATAACGGGTTCAAATGATGCACATTGCATAACCGTATATTTTGTAGAAAATTTATGAACGACTCATTTATATGATTTTCATTGTTGTCCACTTAATACGAGATATCGATTTTCGATATTAAACCGATATGCAGAAAAATATTTTTATCAGGGCTAGAATCGCAATTCATTGAATAAGAGCTTACGATATTTTACAACGAGAAGGAAGAACAAATTGCACTGATGCATCACGATACAAAGAACCAATTTGAATTCTATTATTCAATAATTCCTTCTCTGATATTATTGGCTTTTTGTATGTGTGATTATAGATATCAGTACACCGTGTTCGATGCCTGGCCTAGATTTTGTGTTTTTTATAAGGTAGAGACGAATATTGTTTTATTTTATTTTTTGTATTTTTTTCTCTCAAATTTAATTCACTCTAATTTGACGACTTCGGTATAAATTAACGATCAACGAGATTCGCTGTGTTAATGTGAATTAGTCCTTTTATTACTACCACCATCCAGATCTAGTTCGTCCGAATTGTTTCTTGGAACTAAACCTAAACTGTTCAACATGCCAGGTGGTACCGTATCCTCTAGCGGATAAGCAGATACTTTTCCGCATTTAATCAAATGCGTAGCTAACTGGTTTCCATCAGTTGTCGTATAACCACACGAACATTGCATCTTTCTGTCTAAGGGGATATTAACGAGCGGAGAGGGAACTACCAAACTGGTCATCGGTCGTTCGTTATGAATTTGTTGCTGATGTTCTTTGAACGCTCGCCAACAACAAGTTATGTAACGACATTGTTGACATCTCTGTTCACCTGGGTAATGGTCTTGTTCGTCGATGTCCTCCTCGCATTCTTGACAGGAGAGATTTTCGACCGGAACGTTCACCGTTATCGGACCGGTGATCCATTTTTTAATTTTTTCGTCGTATGGTAAGTCCTCGGTAAGAGGACTTTCGATATCGAACCGTCTATTCTGCGGTCGTTGTTTCGATATCATTATACCGTTGTTACTGCACGAATACGGTATTACTTTCGAACCAGAGACGCAATCGTGTAATTCTCTTTGATGAATTTTCAAGCAACTCTTCTGATTGAACCAGAGACAACATCTCGAACATTTGTTTCCTCGTCCTTGTTCCCTTCGAATAACATGCCTCTGCATATGCAAGAGAAACGCGTAAACGCTGGTAACACTCGGATTGCCTTCGTTTACGAACCGTATTACCTTCAAGCAATAAGGACATTGTAAATCTTGGCCCTTTTCGTGAACTCGATAAAAATGATCGATCGCATCTTTATGACTGGAAGTACGGTAACCACAACTCTCGCATCGATACGGCATCTCCGAGGGATAATGCATCGACGACAAATGACTGATAAGGAGGCCACTATTGCCGAACTTTTGTTCGCAAATGGCGCAAACAACCATATCGCTGTCTGAATGACCGAAATTACTGTGCGCTTCCGTCACGTGTGTAATCATTTGATGTTGAGAGGAAAATGCTGTACAACAATATCGACAGACAGGGGAATCGGATTGACCGGGAACTTGGGGCGGTACGTGACCAATCGTATGTTCGATCACATCTGTGTTGGAACGCATCGTTGACGCGCATAGGAAACACTTGAAGTACAATGAATATTTGTGCTCATTTAACAAAATAGTCTTATCACCCTCCATGGTGGCATAATAAAATTCTTGCAACTGTATCTGATCATTTTTACTTTCTATTTCCTTGTCGTTTTCTTTATCTCTAGCAACTTTCGAATCAAAGACCGGCTGTTTCTTCGTTTCGGGTTCCGGTCTGACAGTTGTTGCCCCAATATTTCTCTTTCGTCCTCTTTTTGGACCAACGTATGATCTTATTGCCGTAGGAAATGACGACACCTCCTGTTGCTGTTGTTGTTGCTGTTGCTGTTGCTGTTGCTGTTGCTGTTGCTGTTTCGCGTTACCGCTAGCTTGGATGAAAACTTCGTTGTTTGATTGCGTTTCATCTTTGTTGATCGTAACAAGAGGCGTTAACGGTGGTAAATTCGCGTTTGAATAGGACCAATTATGAAAAGGATTGGCAGCTATCTTGGTCAAACGATCTAAAAGGCATTCGTTTGAATCGATCTTTGTTTGCTCGGCAATATGTGCTATTATGTTGTCGAATGCTCGGGCAGCGGTCGAGCCGTATATTTCTCTCCACACCAGTTCGTCCAGGAACTGTTGTATCATTTGTCTGTTGAGTAAACTGAGGGTATTTTGGAACATTCGAGGAACAATTTTTCTTAAATATTCCATTATATGATAGTTGCTCATAAAATTTCGGGAAGTTTGGTCGGAAAATGCTGATTGCGTAACGTGATAAAAACCCATTTCTTCGAGCGTGTTTCTGTCAACGGTGAAATCGGTCATAATTTTCGAATCTGTATGTACCCATTCTTTCAACGGATGTAAAATGTTATTGAATCGTTGTTTATACGATCGATCGCCGTCTTGCACCGGATCGCATGCTCTTAATCTTAAATCGAGGGTGGTATAGTCCAATACGCCGAGCACCTCGACCTTAACTTGCCGTAGGTTTCCATCTTGCGACGTTGTACCTAAACTAATTACTCCAACTTGTATTACTGAATTCTTACCCCCCATTTTCCGAGCTTTATCCGAAATTGCTGCTGTGCAAACACTACGTAAATGCGTATAAAAATTTTTCACGTATACATTTGACACTTTCACCCAAGAAATAACGTTCTGAACATTCGTCTGACACGCCCAATGATAAATTAATTTTAACAGAACAGTGGGCGTGTAAGTTGCCCCTTGAAATATCGAACCGGAAAAGACAGAAACGAAACGATCCGGACAACAGCTTGAAATCCACACGTATCCTCCTGAATATGGAAATGTACCTTGATCGCTGTACATTCCCAATTTTAATTTAGTTTTTTGATAACTATTGCTGTGTTGAGCACAATATTGTTCAGATTTCACTAATCCTTGCTGTATCAACCATTCGGCGAACTTTGTGGCCGAAAACATGAGTACACTCTTTACTTTCATATCTGAAACGGAGAATAGTGGTTTCTTTTTTTAAAAAAAAGCGAGAAAAAAGGAAGAAAAGGATAATAGCTGATAGTTACATATATTAATAAATACCTAACTCCGATCTTTCCTTTTGGGCTATCTGTGGCGCGATATCCTTCGTGCGAAGGCTCGGTCTAGCTATAACAACCAAAGAAGGAAATGTTCTACCTCCGTTCATTTTGTTAAAAGTCACTTCTCTACCGTCAGGATGATTCTTCTTCGATTCATCGACTTGATCGCAAGCTAAATTGTATAAAGTTATTAATATCAGTGAGAGGAAAAATCTATTTGATACAGGTAAACCCGTCTCTTAATCTATCACAGATTCTTCTGCTAACCTGAACTTTTACTTCCAACCGCTATTCCACCGATGCTTGTGTGTTCAGTTGGTTTTGTGATAGTTAGTCTGCTAGATGATTCTGTACTCGTGCTCACAGTCGTCGACGTTGACGTCACTGCTGATGCAATTTGTTGTTTGTTCACAGATTTTATCCTAAGATTAGTAACACCTTGGGGACTTGTAGTAGCTGAAAAATGAGCGTACGCTACTTACGCACTTACGTGTACGCTAATAATCTACATACACCAAGTTTAATTGTAAGGGAAAAAGGAAACATATTTCAATACGATCATTCTTAACTTACTTGGTGTGACAACATGTGTTGAACATCCTAATTTTTGTCTTCCACGAGCAATCAGGGCTGGCTACATAATTAACAGTCAGATAGTTAACTGAATGAGAAAAATGTTAAATTAAAGGATATTTACGCGTAACATACTTCCTCTATAACGTCAGGTTGTTGCACTTGAAGAACCTTTGTTCTGCGTCCAGATCGAGTATATTTATACTGAGGAAAATCAACATACTCTTAGTATAGTATAGTTTCTGAAGTTATCCTCTTAGATTTAAATGAGCTGTTACGAGTTGATAGATCGAGTTATTACGAATTTCCCCTCCTATACATGATTTTAGTCTAAACGACCATTAGTTTACACGACATTTAATAATGTTCAAGTGTCGATAAGGTTTGTCTATCCTGCCGTAACAATTGTTTTCAGATAAAAGAATTTCAAACAGTCGGCTAAATGCCAAGCAATTTCTTCATTAATTACGAGGAATTATTTCTTTCTATACAAGCTGCGAACTCTGTATGAATTTAAAGATGAAAAAACTAATAGCCATCTGCATTTAAAACGCACAATATTGTATGTATACGTGTAGATTCGTAATAATACGGTTTATTAGCATACAAGAACTCATTAAAATCTGAAAGGACAACAACAAGTATGGAACAAGCTTTCCTTGTAAATTATGTAAATCAATGATAATTAAAGTATCATACATTTTCCGTTTGGGAATGGGTAACGGTAGACATGGCTGTTACTGTAGATACCGATGTTGATCCTGGTGTTACCATTGGCGTAGATACTGAGCTTGATGGAACAGTTGTTATAGTGGTTCCTGTAGTTTTTTCTTTTATTATTTTATATGTACATACTTCTTTACCTTTACCTTTACCTTTGTATGTATGAATATATGTGTATACCTACCTTGAGGCTGAGATACAGATCCTAAAATGACTCCCATTCGTGAATCCACAACCAACTGTATGTTGCCTTGAGAGCCATTCGAGTTATTTAATACATTGAGCTTAATAGGTTGACTTTTACTTTGATTCTGTAAGCATCATCAATAATATTAGTAATTATGCAATGTACAACGTATGGTTTAGAATTTATACAACACTTACTATGTTTACAATGGGTTGAGGATTATTTTTAACCACTGCTTGTGCAGGAGTTGGAGGCCTGGTATACGAGAAGATACAAACTCTAAGTTTGCTAAAAGAGCAGCAATTGCGAAAAGATAACATCTATGTAGAAAATGATACCTACAATGTATATTGATAACCGTTGACATTGCCAGCTTGGCATACCAATTTACCTCCATGATCTTTAACCAATTCTTCTAAAGTAGCAGCTACCTAAAATATTAAGAAAAGAATCAAGTAACAATGCGATATAACGTTTGAAATTACATTTTAAACAGTATAGTAAGAAAGAGAAAAAGGAAACAAACTCTGTCATAATTTTCCTTCAACTCTAATCGTAACGTTAATTGGGCTTCGCTAAGTGGCTCCTCTGTACACTCCAGATTTAACGTCATATGAGATGGACGACTGTTCGACGCCGAACGTGTAACTAACCGGGTTTTTGGCATTTTGGTGATGCAGTAAGCAGTTTCTCACAAGTGTAGAAAACTTTCTAAAGAGAAGAACATACATTTAACTCAATCGAATTACAAGTGTATATATATATATATATATTTATATATATACGCTATCGTTGTTGCCTTGCTCTTCCAAACAACGCGAACACAGTTTGTTCAGAAACTTTGGAAACTGGAAACGATTTTCGTAAGAAACTAATCGAGAGATTTCGTGTTTGTTTCTTTCTGTAGAGCTACTTACAACGTTTAATCTTACCGATTGTCTAAAATCTAAACTATAATGGCGGAGCCGGTGACGCCATTATATCAAAACTAATAATGAAAGTGTATAACGATTAATAACACATTTAATGAAAATATAATAATGAGATGAGCATTGTAACAATAATCACAGTAGCAGTTTGAATACGACGATACGAGAAGAGTAACGAACAATAACGAGGAGAACGCCACGATGAAAACAAGTTGAGAGCGACATCGGCGTCCTCTATGACGAACAAAATGTTAACGTTGGTAACCTTTGTCGTCCGATGTTCATTCATTCGTTCGTTCGTTCGTTCGTTCGTTGAAAGAAAGATTGGTCATGATGCAAACTCGGATAAGTATATACTTATTTATTGTGATTGTGATTAACTATTTCAATATATTGCATAAGTACATATACATATTATGCGTGATATTGAATTATCTGAATTTTATTATAACGATAAGTCTCATCAGTTTCAGTTTATTACAGCATTTTTATTGCTAGTGGTAGGAATGAAAATGTGTCGAAGCTGAACTCCGAATTCCGTATCGGTAAAACAGCCCAGAAATTGATTCAAGCGCCACCTCAGTTACTGTATCCAACTAACAGCATTATATGTATACAACGTCACCATTCGCATGCACCTAAATGACACGTGTATGCTACGATAGCTATACTGCGGAAGGATGTTCTTAATGAAACTTTTACTAACGCATTTGTGAGATTTTTCTGATTAAAATGATACCAAACATAAGGCAGGCCGTACACCAAAGATGCATCAAACACGCAACATGCAACATGCAACACGTCGCATGTAGAACGTAAAACGTACGAACGTAGAATAGGTATCGCGGCTGAATACCAACGATGTGTACTGTACGGACGCAGAATCGACACCTCGACTGGATATATGCAACGTTTAAATGCCCAAAATCGACACCTCGGCTGGATATATGCAACGTCTGGGTCCCAATGTTTGTTGCATATATCCAGCTTTTACTGTACACGAATAGGTCTAAACAGAAGTAATATTACGAACGTTATTAAATTAAAAACAGCAAATCGTGTAAAACAGTACTAAAAACATTCAATAATGTTTAGGAACTTAACGATATAAAAAAAGAAAATACTTCAGATTCTGCTGTTCCATTCTCTTATTGTGCATTCGCGGCGAGAGCCAAACGGACGTGCTTCGAAGAGGATTGTTGCACTCCACCACACTCTGCGCAACGCACCCTTCAACGATAAATCTGATTAGTCTAAATAGGAGGACGCCATAATGGAATGACCAATCACAGACAGAAATTGGTAGAAACTTGGAATTGCTTTGAAGGTTCGTTGAAAATTATCAACGCTATATTGAAATAAGGTCAAGATTACTTTTTTCACTTTAAAGCATCGAAATATAAGAAAGAAGATAGAAAAATACATAAGATATTAATGGTATTTAATAAATTATCATCATAAAAGCAGAATAAATGAGAAATTATCAGCTTACGCATTTCTGAAGACAATGTGAAAATGATGTCAGAAGTCATGACTCCGGTCTTCTCTTCAACTTTGTCTGCTGTGTCTTGTAATTTTTTATACCTAATACATATACAGTTTAATCACATTTTGGAATGATTGCGCTGTCGAGCATACTAAACGAATGAACTGCGCGTCCTACAGAAAAAACGAGGAACTAAGTTTGTAGTCTGTTTTACCTTTTTGACGTCTTTCCCGAGTGAAAAATCAACGAAATCGTAGTTCTCACTGTTTTTCTAAACAGAAGCTTGTACATCATCCCCTGAGTACTCGTTTTGCTCTATCCGATCCAAAGAATGACGCTCTGGTCTTTATTTGGACATACGATTCGCAAAAATGTTTATATTACGAACAAATTAATGCAGGTGAGTTCGATCCGCCATTTTCTTGACCGTGGACAGACACCAATTTCAATATTTTATAACTTTTTGACGATTTGGGTAAAATAAGGGCCAGAGCGCCATTCTTTAGGGCCTCCTAAACACGTCCCTCAATTTTCTTTGCAATCTGTTCAGCAGGAACGAAGAAAGGCGTGTTTTCGTAAAATTTCGCCATCTTTCGAGGACTTTCGGTATTCCAAGCACTGTGTTACCGACAATTTGTAGCGTAAACAAGAAATGGCACCAGGTAGCTGTCACGTCGTTTCTTACTGGTAGAACTTGTATACTTATGGTGTATATTATACATACTTGCATTTTTATTCGATCAGTTGCTTAATGAACGAATAAGAAATGAAATTCGCCTCGTTATTGTACATCACACTATCATGTAGAAGATGAAAACTGTGGAGGGAAAGGTAGTAGCGTTGGGATCGCATGGTAGGTTTAAATTTACGATCAGGAAGGTCATAATACGAAGCAGTATTTGCTGCTTTCATTTTCATTTTAAATTCATTTTCATTCGTCTTTTGCTACGTGTATTCGTGAACATTCGATCATTTATCACTCGATATTCCCTTTATATTTTTCTAGCTGTTTATGGATATTTTTTAGTTAATTCATCATTTTTGTCGTATAGCAATCGTATATAAAAGTAAAGATACGTTTAGGTTAACTTACTCGCAAGAAATTACCTTTTATACAGGACTTTGATACTAATCATTCATTTTACTCAGGTATAACATCTTGTATACGCATTCCTGCACTGGACTTAATAACAATTTATTACATTCTAATACGTTCAGTATTATGAAAGATATACGTTGCAAATATTGAAAATATGCATATGCTAAGAACATCTGAAAACAGGAGAGTTTTTCTGTTTTACATTCTTTCAATAAACTAAGTACACTGATTAATTGATTTTTCAGGGGTTGGAAAAACAAGTATGATTATCCGTTATGTTGGGAAGGCGTTTAACGAACATGTAAATCCTACGATAGGTGCATCATTTTTTACATGTAAATTAAATGTGGACAATGCGAAAATAATGTTACAGGTATAACCATAATTCTGTTAACACATAACGAGAATTATATGTCGCAGCGTTTACTTTTATTCAATGTTACATTATGTTTCAACAATTTGTAAGAAATATACGAAACTCACTGTAATTATGTTTAGAATATTCTTAAAAGAACATATAAATTTTCTTATGAATCATTAAAGATTCATATATACGTATATGTATAATAATTATTGTAATCATCGCGTCTTATATTAACATATGAAAGAACGAATCATAGTATTGATCGTATAGAGTATTCAGCAATATTTTTTTCATCGGGTACTATTCACAGGTGTGGGACACAGCGGGACAAGAAAGATTCAGATCAATGGCACCGATGTACTATCGAAACGCTAACGCGGCTATGCTAGTGTTTGATTTAACTCAATATAACACGTTTGCAGCAATGAAAGGATGGGTAACCGAACTTCGTAGAAACGTTGAAGAAGCTATAGTGTTGGTTGTAATAGGAAATAAATCGGATTTGATAAAAGAACGACAAGTCGATGCCGAAGAGGGTAAAGTTTACGCGACAAAAATCGGTGCCAGTTACCATGAAACATCGGTGCTTCAAAACGATGGGATCGAAAACGTATTTTTAGATATCGGTATGAGTCTTCTTACATTATCTTCGACCAAACAGGATTCTATGTCCATCAGAGTATACGAATCAACAAATTCGATTTGGAACAGTACAGATGTCTCGGTTACACCGTCCCTCGAGGAATGCCCTCAAAATCTTAGCATTGCTCATGGAATACACGAAAGACCGTACACTTGCTGTTAGTCTTTTCTCACTGATGATTCTTGAATTGTACCGTTTTTTTTTTTTTATTATTTTTTTTTTTTAAGAATTAAATTCTGGTTTAACGTGGAAAATTATACTTATTCTTTTTCTGTATTTTCCTCTTTTCCTTTTTTTTTCTTCTTTTTTTTCTTTTGCATACTCACTGTTCTTTTTCTTTTATGTTCGCTCTGACGCGTGCACATATGCACACACTTGTAAATATGTATTCACACTCTGAATCGTTGAATAGGAACGACACTCGTAAATTCAAACAGGATCGATGTCTTCCATAAATATAAGATAAAAATGATGATGATAACTGACTTAGTGTCGTGTATTTAGTACTTTTACAATGTTTTTAATAAAATTGAATAATATTTCATACGTTTAACAAATCTACATATAATTCAGGCTGAATGATACTTAACTATAATAGCATCCATCTTAATAGTTCCTCCTTTGAATAAGTACTTACATATACATATGTATATTAAAACAATGTGTATTCACATGGTTTTCTTTTTCTCGTGGTGTCTGAGCTTGGAGAGTGCAATAATTTATGCACGCCCGTTCGAACGATAATGTAGACGATAAGAAGAGTTCTAATAGAATGTTTGTATTGGTTCCGTTTAGTTTTTGGAACTATCCAATTAATGTAGTTCCGTTTTCGCGACTATACATATATTGTATGTATACATAGATATACAATGATAATCACAGAATGAGTCATTCTTTCTTGAGGGCCTGGCTTCGCGAAGCGTGACACGTCCTAGCTTTGTTCTTTATGTTTAACTGATTCCATACTGGTTACGTAAGTATTCTTTTAGTACTGTTCCACGTAAGTACCTGATTCGCGTAGTTGGCTTAATTGATTGAAAACAATGACGATACAATGTATTTGAAAATTAATTTGATATAATTCGTGATCGGACGATGGTTAGAAAGCGACAGGATTTTCTGTTGATTGTTGAATTTAGTGTCGATACTATTGAGAAGTATTTTATATACCTTTCTTAAGTAAGTAAGTAAGTAAGTACTTAATTGTAATTTTTCGAAAGGTCTTTCCCTAGGATCGAGTTGCGCGCACGTTACAGGGCAGTTGTCGCGTTCTGACTAATCGTAAATTCAGAATGGCCGACGCGGTACGGTGCGATACGGCATCGAATTTATGACTTTGAATCGAACACGCCTGTAAAAATAAAGATCTTTGCTACATCTTTGCTACGCATTAGCAAACAGGAGAACAATATGTTGCGAGTGCACGCTCCAAGAGTTTCTTTATGCCTATGAATAGATATAGCATGGAGGTAGGAGAAACAACGGCAACAAACAGAGAAACAGTTCTAACGTAATCGCAAGCGACTTTGGAGAGCTCTCTTTACATTTTGTATAAGAGAGCATTACCGTCCGACAGTATCCTCATTGTCAGTCAAGTCCGGATCATTGAATATTCGATGAAATTTTGATCAAACATAAAAAGTGTTTCTATTCGACTTACGATTAATCGTATCAAGTTTAGTGCACAGTTTGTACAGAATATAATAGGTACATACACACAGTGATTTCATAGAAACTGATCATTCATAATATTGTTATGTAAAGTATTTAAAAAAGTTTATTAATGATAATTTGAACAATTACACTTATGTATGTACATATATACATATAATCTGGTGGTGAATTTAATTGTAGATCGATGACACTGAAATGCTCGGACGGGAAGGATATCGTACGTTATTATCGGTTCTATTTTACGTTATCAACATCCTTTGTCACCGTTCACAATTCTTATGTCTTACGATCGATAATCGACTAGCAGTTGTCACTAATGGTAATTATCTTTTCGAATAGATCGCGTTAAAAGTGTGTAACGAAAATATTTAGTATGTACTTACATATAGGCTGATTCAATTTTCTAATAACGGTAATAACAAAAGAAAATACTGATCTTTCTTATTAGATTGTTATTCAAGAATATCGATTGGCTCGAAATTATCCGATCCGGATGTTGCGATTCAATTCACGGTAACCAGTTTAACAGAATGCAAAGAACAATGTTCGAAACGTGGAAATATTTGCAATGCATTTTCATTCGGGTATGAGAATAATATATGTATAATATAAAATAGATGAATAATATAATCGATACGTTGAGACATGGTTCCAATATATTCAATACATACCATCAATTTCTGTCAATTTGCTTTTTCATTAGCGTTGGCGTAAAAGGTAATGGCACATGTGCAATCAGCAACCAAACGTCGGTAATGCTTGAAAATCTACAAACTCATACGGACTACGACGTTTATGTAAAAAAGCAGCAAGTTTCGCCGTGGTGCGATTTTGACCACCTCTATGGAAACTTTGCGTTTCGAACCGAAGCTGATTTAATTAAAACCGATGCTGACAAAACAAATGATGAAGAAGTTGTTACCAATCTTAGCAATACTTTATCAACATTAGTATCGCATTCAGTTTCCCTCGCCGTATCACCGGTTAACAGAGAATCGCAATTTTTCAGGTAATCTTTTTACACTCGTTTTCGTTTTATGTATGTATAATAATAATAATAAAAGAACAAAAGAAAAACAAAATTTGTTGAGGTATTTATCTTTCCGTAAAATATAATTTAAATTTTAAATCGTATTGAACGCAAACTGACGCAAACTGAGAATCATAAAAAACGTAATCATATAAATGTATTCTTTAATATTTCAAGAAGCAAAGAAGATATAGCAAATTACAAACTCCTCGGTATCTATGATCAATCTATCAATCACCACGGACGTTTTCTTTCCGGTGACGACAGTCGTAATAGAATCCTAGACAGTCTTACAAATAGAAATGAGAGAACAGCATTGAACAGTCTTTTTGGTGAGTCCGTACATCCACACCTAAGTAAATACGTACGTTAATATGTAGCACAGCACGAAGTGGAATAATCCTATTCGAAGCAATAACTTTTTAAATAAATTAATTTTTTCTCTTTTTTCACTTTTTTCACTTTTTTTCTCAACACCAATGAGAATACTTATACGATATACGATTTTTAGGATTTTTAGGATTTTTAGGAGTATCATTTTCACGCAGATACACATAATTTGCATCGGGAGAATGTTTATAATATTACTAGAGTGTAAATACTATTTGCTGCTTTGACCAGTTTATCTTTTATTGTATACACACACACGCACACAAGTGATAACATAAGTTAGAAATATATTAGATAGGTAAATTATAGATTTATTACATCCAATCATTGCAAGTGCGTTAGTTAATGAATGGCATTGACACAAATCACCGATCCTTAGTCAACACGAATACGTATCAATCTGTACGTATACGTGTGTTAGTACTTACGTGCTTATGCGTAAGAGTATTTATCATTCATTCATGCTAGATAGAATAATAACTTTTTTTTCCAATCAATGCGACACATTAATCAATTACGACGAAAACATCTCATTGATTAAAACGAATGAAGACAGTGGTGTAGATAATTGAATGTAGAGCCATTAATCTTTGTATGTACCTATACAAATTTTAACGATTCAATACCCCTTCTCTAACTTTAACGAACACCTCCTCCCACTAGTTTTACAGAAACGTTCACTCTTCTATAAAATCATGTGGGACTGCAATTTCACCATTACTTTTTGCGTGTTTTTCCATCTGGGATACCTACACGCGTTAATCCGATTCTATCAAGTGTGCTTCGTTACATACTCATTTCAACAGAAAAATGTACATCGATAAATCCGTGAAAGTTAACATAGTAACTCGAATACGAATAAGCTAGATCGAATAAACTGATGATCGCAAAGTTCAAAAAAGTTTTAAATATAACACGGAAAAAGAAGGAAAAATTTTCTTCTTTCGTTGATCGATAAAAGAAAGGAAAAAAAAAGGTGTTCTTGCATCTAACCGTGTTCGCTGTAATTATTTAAAAACAACATAAAGAACGAAATGTTCATAAAGTTGTGGTTATGGACTGTTGTATTAACGTTGATCTTCCTTCATAAAATTGAAAACTCAATGATAATGAAGAAAACTAATAATAATGATTTCACACGTAAGTGTACAAACGAAAGGATCGATAGATTTAATTGTAAGACACACAGAGAAACAGAGAGACGGAGAGAGATGCTTTTTCCTGTTTTTTTTTCCCGTATTATGCTTTAATTATAATAACTACATACTACAATATAATGTGCTTATATTATGTATGTATATGTTTTTGAATATTTAGTTAGCATTTGTCATCGGAAAGTACAAGCTGGCAGAAAAATGATAAAAGAGATAATTGAACGCCTCGTAAATTGCGAGAACCTAGAAGATTGTTGTCGGGTTTGCGATTACGAAAAATCTTTCGTTTGCAAAGGTTTTAATCACAGGTATGCAACGTAATGATTCTCTTTGATGCGACATCTTTGTCATTTTCTCGTTAATGTTAAATTAATTAATTAATTAATTAATATTTCTTAACGAAACTTTTTCTATTGTTAATGCGACAACGGTTGCTTGAACGGTTAACTACGTATTGTTAAAAAGTAAAGAGTAAAAAGTAAAAAAATTTTTTTGGTGCAAACGATCGAAAAGTCAAAGAAAATTAGTTGAATGAAAACAATAAAGAAATTTTAACTTGACTTATTCGTAATTCAAAGACACAGAACGGACGATTCCCAATGTGTATGCGAATTAACGTCGACACCGTATTCTCGCATGGACGCTGATGACGATTTCTTAATCGATACCAACTATGATTATTACGAGAGGGAACCGAATTGTCTTCCTTCAACACGGCGGCGAGACGATCCCTCGCAATCGAAGGGTTCTTCTAAACTTTATGAGCGGATTAAACAGAACACGTGGCTAAATCAAAAAGACATAGAGAAAGAAGATGGTTTCCAGGAACTGTCAACATCGATAAATCGGCCACCTTTCTATCGAGAAAATTATCCGTTGAATGGCAAACTTACGATTAGTAACCGGCCTACCCATGGATTCCGAGAACAATTTCATTACGACGATCCTTCTGGTAAGACAAATTTACTCAACTACCTATACTATTATTATACTTCTCCTTCTTACTCATTTTTCCTCCTTTTTTCTATTTTACCTACTGTAAAGTAAGTAGAAAAAGAAAGAGATAAACGTTTTATGTTGTATAGGTTTCGTTCCTGTTAAAAACACTCGAAATTGGAACGATAACTGGAAACAATATTTTCAAATTCGTCATTCCGATTTTGCGGTCAATGAGAATTCGTTTCCCGAATATCGTTTACCGAATTACGATAAAGGATCTTACGCGGACGTAAGATCTTCAACAAGTTTTATTAAACCTCGGCTCAGGGATCAATCTGTATCCGGGCAAAATGGATTTATGCTTTTAAACACAAACGAGTATACCCATGGAAGGTATTTGAATTATGATGATAAGCAATCAACTGACGAAGAACGCGAGCAGCCACAAGCGACCCGTAAATGTTCAATTAGAGCTATCACAGGTTCGAAATTAAGTAGAAATGTCTTACGAAAAACTTGTGTGGCACACAATTTGGAACAATGCGAACAACTGTGCATAAACGAAACAGACTTCCCTTGTGAAAGTTTTGCTTACAGGTAAATACATATAATTTTCATTTGTAACAATCGTACGAGTAAGGAAATTAATTTAATCTGATAAACGTGGATATAGATGTAAACGTAAACGTAAACGTAAACGTAAACGTCTTTAAATTAAACTACAGATAAAGTTTACTAGTTTGCGATACTTGTTCATCTAGATTTTATTTCGTACAGGTACAAAGTGCTAATTACAAATCCGACCGATAATTGTTTACTAAGCGATCTCTCCTATCGAAATATCAACTTTTACACGGACCTTGAACCTGATCGCGATTACAACAGTTACATCATGATACGAGATGCCAAGAAGCATTGCTATTCTAAACAATCAATGAATCAATATCCTTTGGAAGAATGCTTTTCAAGAATTAGAAGCGGATTCGCTATACCCACGTATATTATAAAAAAATTATTATTCGCTAATGATTTGGGAGAATGTCAGTTCGCGTGTACGACGTCCCAAGAATTTGTCTGCAAAAGTCTCGTCTTTAAATACTTGACGGAATACCCTGGGCAGACTGATGAACGCAAATCATCAAATTGTTTCTTAACCGATTGGTCTTCGGAAGAAATAAATCCTGTTGATATGCCCGACATGGATGGTGCCGAATTATACGAAAGAAGCAGTTCTTCTTACGGTTGCGAAACGTATACTCTACCATTATCAATATTGAATACCATTTTGCCTGGATACAACACCAAGGAATCCTCTTCCATTCGCAAGGATCAACTCTGTTACCTCGAACATCATAGACCATGTAAATTAATGCCTCATGCAATAATATCTTCGATGCGGACTGTTACGAAACCAGAGTGCCAACAAAGATGTTCAGCAACGAGAAACATCGACGTAACACTATCTTGCATGTCTTTCAACTATATGCGAGTATTTTATACTCTCTTCTAAGGCTAAAATATACGCTTAGCATTACCAATTTACTATTAATAATAAAAGAATTTCTGATTTTATTTATAGAGTCGATACCGACAACACCAGAGATAATTGCTTATTAAGCGATATATCGATGCAAGATCTAAGACCAAATTTGGATTACACTTACGACGACGACGACGACGACGAAGACGACGACGATGACAATAATCATATGCTATACACGTGGAAAGATGTTGACCCATATTGCAGTTTGACAATGAATCATTTTCACGCGATAAATATTACACCAGCTTTTGATAAATACGATCATCCACATTTGTTCACAACATTAAATCATTCAAGTGGCCGTACAACACACTTGTTTAACACCGATATTCCGATTTCGATTCACGATTCTAGTACTCGAGATGAAAATGAATTCAAATTCGAGCCTCATCAATATGATTTGAAACATAAGTCGGCGTATATTGGAGATGAGAGCAAACCTCTGCACGGATCTGCCCATTTCGAACGTGATTTTTCTTTCTCTCATTGTAAGTAACAAAAAATATAAAAATGATCAACGACATATCTTACCATTTTCCATTCTGTATTATATGTACACATGTACCGATTAGCGAGAGAACTTTCCACTTTTCAACGGTACACGGTAAATGGTTATCCTTGCAAAAACGACACTGTCTGTCAACAAAATGAAATCACTGGATTTTGGTCTTGCGAAATCGAACAAGCTGATTACGGTAGCTGGGATTATTGTTGCGAGCCTAACCATCGATGCGGATTTTCACGAGGATATCATTATCCCTGGTGAATACCAACCGATCTACTTACTTTCATTCTTGCTCTTTTCTTTTCTCTCTCTCTCTCTCTCTCTCTCTCTCTCTCTCTCTATACATATATATATATATACACACACGGACAAACACACATTGTGTAATATTGTATGTATATCGATCATAATTCGTTCCAACTGTTTCTGACGCTTTATAGGTGTTACGTGGGTTTAAATGAAGATCAATGGAGACCTTGTAGTGAAACATATTATCCATATTATTTATCTACAAAAAATCCTACATTTTATCGTCAATCGCCAATGTACATTGCTCGTCACTGGCCAGTGATTTATTTTCACCAAGTATCACCTAATAAAAATTGTTCTGTCAGCAATTCAAATAATCAAGATTTATATCAGCATCATCGATCTGATTATCGTATTGGCTCTCGTGAAAATCGTCCACATTAGAACAATTCGATTATTTTCGTGTGTATAACTCGTAAATAAATGTGCAGGTATATGCATAATACATCTATTTCTCTCTTTCTTTCAGGAAAAGAATAAATATTAAATCAAATTTTCCCACATATCCCATGCATCATCCGCCCGAACTTCGAATTCCGCGTCGGTAAAACAGTCAACGTTTCATCAAAAATTAGGCCAGACAGAATTATTCCATGCTATCAACTAACGGGGCATGCTATACTACGTCACCTTTCGCATACACCTAAATGACACGTGTATGCTACGATAACTATACTATGTATAAGTACATCATTTCCGTTAAATTGTAGTTACAATGTGATACACTTCAGAATCTTAAAGACATAGTTCCTGAACAAAATATAACAGAGATTAAATAGAAAAAACGATTGCCCAGATCTCACCACGAGGAAGTTGCTGCGGATTAGAGACCCGCCCTACCTCATCCCATCCACCCTCCATTTATGCAAATTTTTTTGAATCGGTAGTCACTAAATATTTCTTAATACATTGCATGATAACTCTATCTTACGGACTAATAAATATTTTTGTTATTTTTATAATAAATTATTAGGTAAGAAATTTCTGAATATTTATGTATATTATTTTAAACTCCAGCCAAGTACGTAAATTGTAATTAATTGAAATAAAAAGGGTTACACATCTTCGCATCTAAAAAAACCGCAAAATGTCTTCTCGCAGTACAGGTTTATTCATTCATGTTGTTTTGTTGATGTAAATTTGCTTTTGCTTTTTTAAATATGTACACAGTGAGATGGATAACAGATTTCTCTCTACATTATTGTTCTCGTTACTACACAGTATAGTAATACAGAAAGGTTGGTTAGCTCCGTATAAATGCGTTAATGTCATCGTAAAAATATCATGATCCGATGTTATGCCTTTCTAAGATTTTCCAAGGTCTATAAAAGTGTCGAAAGTAAAGGTTAACAGTAGAAGACGTTGTTGGTTTCTCCTTCCGTTTTTCCTTTTGTCGTTTTCTCACTGATGACGAAGCAATTTGAACTTTCTCCGGCTTGGTGGTAACCACCGAAAAGTTAAATAGTAAGCAAAGTAAGCGAATGAACGGTTGACTGGGAGGAAGAAGGAAACGGTAAAGGGGAGAAAGTAAAAGAGGGGAAATGAGAAAAGGCAGGAAGAGAATTATTATCAGGAGAGAGAGACAGTGCGAGGGTCTTAGGGTGGAGGAGGAAGAGGAGGAGGAGAAAGAGCGAGTGGTCTTTGGATGCTGTATTTCCGTTCCTCATCAGTAGTCAAGCTTGCATCGAGATCTCCTTTGATTCTTTGCAGTGTCAGATGGTGACTGGCAGCGGAAGGACGTGAAAAGTGATTTTAATTCCGTTTGATTAAGTACTACATATATATCGATAGATGAAAAGAGATTGCATTTAATATCGTTGGCGCATTGGCAAGAAAATTGCAAAAAGTCGCGGTATCGAATTGTGATCGAGGAAAGGACAAGATATTTAATTGCAAGAAAGGTGAAGCGATGTCGATCTCAAAGCGAATCGGTGCGTGTCGAAGTAGAAAAGTTGCCAGAATTATTCCTTGTTCATAACGAAAAACAAGTAATCGTATTTTATTTATACGTCTAATTATCATTCGTCGAATAAGCCATTCTGAATTTTATGCTTGTGAAAAAAGAAATCAAGAAAAGAACTCGTAATTTGCGAGTAAAGCGTATTATGTTTAGACAAATACGAGTAACGATTGGATTACGAGTGTTATGAGAATAGGTACCTATAGTGAGAATTATGTACCTATAATGAAAAAGAATCAGTGCGCCAAATCATTAGCGAGTCAAGCCGAGCGTCGTTGTCAAAGTCGAAAGTAACCGGCTAACTTTCACTAATAACCAAAGGTGTAATGGTACGGTTTAACGCGTACACCAGCGCACCTTGACGAAACGTAGGGAACCAAGTAAGTACTATAAGAACGCGTTACGAAGCAACACGACGAAGACGTGCCACTTGTCTCTATGACCTGGTTTCGCGACCCACTTTTCTACCGAACCGCACTACGTGTGAATACGTTCTCGCTACGCCTCGCGAGTACCTTACGGTACAACGAATCGGACGAGCGGAAGTTCAGAAGCAAAATCTCACTCATTGTCAGATAAAATTCATTTGGTGTTTTTAAAATAAATTTTTCTTCTCGACACCGCGGATACTACATACGTATATGAACGTATAAAACATTACATTTCTTTACATTTGTATGCATGTTTTTGTTACAGAAGAACAGAATAATGTGCAGTTGTAACAGACGATCGTATACGATCATCCGCAATACCATGTACGATTTTACAGAAGTCAACAAACAGTCAATTGTTTAAGAAATCTCATCAACTTTGATAAACGTTGAAGAAAGAGAAATGGAGCCGAATAACGTTTCTCTTAAAAGTCCTTGTTGTTTTTTACACGCATTAAGAAGAATCAAGGATCGATTTATCGATGATGCATCGGCAGTCGAACTTTTTACCGCGACTCTCTTCAAATAAGTATCAAAAGCTTAAGTTGCAAAAGCAACTTATCTGAAAATCGTTCAATCATTATTGTACAGCTAGAAGAATTGAACTAATTAGAACTGAAAGTGATTTGAAACGATCGAATTATCGTTGATCGGCATTGATCACCGAAGTGGCAAAGAAAAGAAATGAATTCATTTGTACGTTTATTTTTCATTCTGTTCTTTGTTAATCTGTACTGTCCAAGTAACGGCAGAAAAAATGATCGGTATTTGGAGAACCTTGGTGAGTCTGTTAACTGAAAGGAACATTTACATTCTATGTATTATATGTATCTACTTTATGAAAAATTTCAATGCGTTAATGAGATATTTTCACGTGATTCGATTTTAGATTTTGCTGATAGAGAAATTGCAATTGGGAATACGATCGATTCGGAAGGACAAATGAGATTTTTCGACGAACTTGGCTGTAAGTTTCATTTTTTATGTAGTACCTACTAATTGTAAGTATCTATAAGTAATGTGATGATAAAGCGGGAATAATTTGAGCGGATAAAATTGACATCTTGGTGGGAGGTGGTGGTGGTGTTGATGAGGGTCGTGGTCGGTGTCGGTGTCGGGGTCGGGGTCGGGGTCGGGGTCGGAGTCGTCAACGGAGGCGGGGCGGAGCAGGCCGGGGAGGGTAGAGGATGAAGAAAGCAGAGAGAAGAGCGAAGAAGAGGATTGGTGGGGAGCCAATGCAAAGAAAGACGCGATGTCATAGCAATGAGAAAGCTGATGTGTCGGTGAAAGCCGCGAACGCTTCTTTGGATGCCGATACGATCCCGTCAGTCGCTGGAAGTGCATCGATTCGTGGCATTTTACGCGAGCAAGACAATTTCGAAAATCTTCAAGTTGTTGCAAGAATCAATCAGTGATCTACTATAATAGCATAGAATCGTCTATTTTTACGAATGTATCAAGTATTAAACCGAGTTAAACCGTTACCATTACCGAATACGATACCTAATACAACAAATACATGTTTTTTTACTAGTATCGATCGATAGATCGATAGATCGAGGATCGAGGATCGAGGAAACAATGTTAAAAGACAACTTGCAGAATATGTTGTTTGGATCGTTACTGATGCACGCACGGTGTTTTGAGAACAAGACGAAATTTTGATTCTCGATCGACAGAGTAGAGAATTTTGATACCGGAAGAAAAACGATTTACGCGCATAATTATGGTAAGAGTTGCGACCACTCGTTCACGTCTATCCAATTTATGCAGAGAATAATTCCATAGATATTCGGATCATGAACGTCGTCGTTGCTGTTATTATTATACACGTGTTTCTGATTGCGAATACCTGTGCATTCGATTACGAGAACTACGGTACAATAACGTACGATCGTTCGCTGTTCCCTACTTCTTCTCCGTCCGTATCCTCGTTTCACGGTTGGTTTTCGAAACTACACAGAGCCGAACAGCTGAACGGAAGATCAAAGAAATTGACGTTACTGGCCGGTGGCGGCGGGCAAGCGGAACAACAAATATCGGCTAATTCACCGATTAAAAATCAATCATCGAACGAGAAAAGAGCCAAGGAAGCGAACCGAGGGAATTTCCCAACTGGTGCAACTACTTCGAATGAGTTCGATAGCTGGCAGACTCGTTTCGATCCCGAAGGAGAAAATTCGTCGGAAGAAAAGTATGATAGCGACGGGAGATTTCGAAACAGGCGAACCTTTCGGAAGAGAGCAAGTTTCGTTGAGAACAAGGATAAATCGGTGCATTTTACCGAAACAAACTCGGCCGAACGCATCGCGATTAGAAGAGAAGCAGCAAATATAAATCGAATAAAGAAAAGCGAAGAAGGGGAACGGCTGGTTGAAGAAGAGGCTAGCGGTGACAACGAACGAGACGGTTCGTTCCCGATTGCGATCAACCTTCGACAAACACGACGAAATGTTAACGATGACGATATTTACTATTCGGATGATAGGATCGACAATAAGGAAAATTTACACAACTTTCTCGATCTGCTGAAGAAACGAATGCGCAACGGAAAATTTGAGGAATGGTTGGTAGCGGATTACAGGGAAGGACGAGGACGAGGACGAGGACGAGGACGAGGACGGAAATTGACCAGTCACCAACAGGGTACCATCCTCGTCGAAGCTCTCAGGAAGAAACGAAATAACACCGAGGGTCATCGAGGTCATAACAGTGATCTTCAAAACAGCATAATGGATATGTTGGGTAGAAGTATGTTTCGTTTGAAAAGATTGTTTAGAATTTTGAATGAAACAAATAGCGAAATTAGGTACCTAATGCTAGTAACGATAAAACTAGTATACCTAATTAGTTAGTGCTAATTACAATTCAACAGCTTGAAGCTATAAGCTGGTTGCTTGACTTTCCTACTCGATCTCGTCGTTGTGCGTTGAATTCACGATTTCACTTATGAAATCGCGATTCGAAACGAAAGCAACCAAGTGTTTATCTCAACAAACAGACCGAAAGAGAGCAGTAAGTTAACATGGTGCTGCATGACGGAGCAACATACAACGTACGACCGACGACCGTCGATCGGTGACACTTGACACGATCAAAAACTACCAGCTGATGTAATAAAGCGTAATTAGGAAAAAGTGTCACAAGTCGTTAGATTTTATTAAGCGTGGGGTTGAATTGTTCACGTTCAAATGTCGCGTGCTTCATGACTAACGTAAAGGTAGCTGTAACATAGATAGGCTACACTGTTAACTATTTTACATTGATCCTTTCGTTTCAGTGATACCACAAACATGTACGTACAAAGGGACAACGTTTGACTGCGGTCTTAGTATTAGTTGCGTTCTCGGCGGTGGTCGTCCGGTCGATCTTTGTTCAGGAGGATTGATTTGGAGTTGTTGCGTCGACGATGATGACATACCCGAAAAAATACCACGACCAACTACTGGATTGCTACAAAATGCCAGTAAGTTCTTTTCATCTCTTTTCTTATCTCTTCTCTTTTCTCTTCCATCGAACGCTCTTTTTCTTATCATTAGTATCCAATTTAGAAGTAGTTTCCAATTTTCGATTCGTGGCGTAGATGTAAAAGGTTAGCCTTTACAATTCATATCATTTGAGAGGATAAAACGGAAGTTATTTAAACGTAGCGCTTTCGCTAAACTTGGGAAATCAACATCCGTACGTGGACGATGATGTTCAAATCTACGAGAACGTGGCAAGACCAAGCAAACCGATGTATAACGTTCCTCAAAACGGCCATGGACCGAGCTATCTACATCTCGGCGACATTGCGAACAAACCGTCAACCATGATGACGACATCGACCACCACGATGACGACCGTTTACGAATCGTCGCAAACATGGAATTACGATCGGCCCTCGCACACGAGCCGTCCTACTACGCTCTATCATCATCCATTACAACTTGATTATCCGCAGGACGAATATGATGCCGTTTATCCTGATGTATCGGGAGTGTACACGCCGAGTCAGCACGTTTCAAACTCTCTGGATTATTCGAAATATCGTGGTAATCCGCATCAAGTCGCACAGATCGCACAGGTCGCACTGAAACTTTTGCACCGATACCTGAAAATCTTTTTCGACATTTCGTCCACGCCTTGTAACGTTATTCTGTGGATTCCTGACAAAGTGAGCAATGTCATACCGAGGAGCACACTTAATGAACGAATAAATGTTTTCGAATCACTGTAGGTACATACCTGTGGCACGTGTTCAATGGAAAAACGGGAAGGGAAGGAATAAATGTTTCTATTTGCTTCAAATATCACTTTCTCTCTCTCTCCCTCCCCATCTTTATTTCTCATTCTGTTCTTTTGCTCTGTCATTTTGCACGTTTTTATACGCTGGCTTCGCTCTGGATAACGACAGAATGGAAAGCTGACTAAAGAATAAGAAGAAAAATGAGAAGAAAAAAAAAAGGAGGAAAAACGATAAGGAATGAGTTGATTGTTTTATAAGTTGATCGATATTGTTTTATCAAATAATCGCCTGATTTGGTTATCGAAATTGTTGTTGTAGTATCTTTTTTTTTCCTTTGATTACAAGAAGCATGCTTGTTTTTCGTAATTGTTTCGAAACGTGTTTATTTAAACACGTTTGGTCCGTAGATGTAATATTTTCTCTATACCCTATGCTTATATAATTTTTCTTTATATCGTCTTATAGGTTGCGGTGAACTTTATACAAGAAGCAATCGAATCGTCGGTGGACACAGTTCCAGTTTCGGAAGTCATCCATGGCAGGTGAGCGAATACTTTGTTTTCTTCGCACTTTACATTCTATATTTAGAATTCTTTTCTATTTACTATTCATTTTTTAGGCTGCCATTATCAAATCTGGATTCCTTTCCAAGAAATTGTCATGTGGTGGTGCCTTGCTGAACAACAGATGGGTAGTTACCGCAGCTCATTGTGTCGCGACGTTAGTATCTAGAGATAGCGGAATCGTTGGTGAAATTCGACAAATAACAATTAGAAGTTGGTATAATGATAGTAAGTAATGTTTCTATCGTGTAGGACACCAAATGGTAACCTGAAAGTACGTCTTGGCGAATGGGACGTAAGGGACTCGTCCGAACGATTGTTGCACGAAGAATTTAATGTTGAGAGAAAGGAGGTAAGCGTTAAGGTTAAAACGCGTATGCATATGGGTTAAAAAATGGACAAGGAAAGAGAAGAGAAGGAGAGTAGAAAGGAAAGGAAAGTAAAGAAAAGAAGAGTCAAGTAACGGGAATAGAAACGGGAAGGGGAACGGGAACGGGAACGGGAACGGGAACGGGAACGGGAACTAAGAAAAGAATTAAAATAGATTAAGTATTAGGAGAAAAGATTCCTAATGAGATGATTGATAATAAAAATTACAGGTTCATCCACAATACTCGCCAACCGATTTTCGGAACGATGTGGCACTGGTAAAACTGTCGAGAACAGTGGCGTTTAAGCAACATATCGTACCCGTTTGTTTACCAGCGAAAAATTTGAAGCTCTCCGGACGCACAGCAACGGTTGCTGGCTGGGGAAGAACTAGACACGGGCAAAGTTCAGCACCGTCGATTCTTCAAGAAGTTGACGTTGAAGTATGGGCAAATATCTTTTTTTCCGTTTTCTTTCATCGTTTTGTACTTTTTTTTTTTTTTTAGTTTTTAAGATTAGAGCATATTCAATTAACGAAACGCTTCGGTACATTCAGGTTATTCCTAACGAACGATGTCAACGATGGTTCAGGGCAGCTGGAAGGCGTGAAACTATACACGATGTTTTTTTATGCGCTGGCTATAAGGAAGGTGGACGAGATTCTTGTCAGGTAGATAAATTGATCGGGGTTATACGACATTATTCGTTGAAAAAGATAAAATTCCGAAATATATAGAAATTCGTTTTGCTACAGGGAGACTCTGGCGGCCCGTTAACCATGTCGGTCGAAGGAAGGCACGTACTTATCGGTCTTGTGTCCTGGGGTATAGGATGTGGTCGAGAACACTTGCCCGGCGTATACACCAATATTCAGAAATTCGTGCCTTGGATTGACAAAGTAATGAGTTAAGTTTTTATGTATTATGCGACACGACGATACGAAAGAATATGAAAAAAAACGTGGTGTAAAAAAGTTTACAGATGTCATAGAGAACAAATTCTTATATACAATGTATATTAATTATACATTTATATGTATGTACATAAGTTAGTAAGTAAGTAAGTAAGTAAGTACATATTCTATAAAATATTCAAGGGATCTGCGTTACCGAGAATGGTTTCCGAAATTATCATTGATCGATCATTTGACATATCATACGCATATCTGAAAATATTGGTAAGAATTGCGTTTTTGTAATTCGTGATTGCCCTCGTTTACTGTACGAGGACGATGGAGTATGAAAAGAGATAATCGAATAAGTCCGCCAGTCGGTATGAACGGGAACGATAAGTCTGGACGAATAATTGTGCGCTGTAAGTATTTAAATACATATAGGTAAGTACTTACTTACTTACAACATAAGCTTGTACAATGTAAATAGAATAGAATAGTGAATAGAATAATTTCTTTTAAATCGCGTATCGTAGTCGTAGTCGTCGTATTAGCTGCCAGACAGAGATTTCTATAACGTCAGATTAAATTTTATTACATAGGTTTTATAGAAACCGATACACTGTATAAAATCGCATCGTGTCGTATTGTAAGTATGTATGTATATAAGATTTATCATGTTATATTAGATTGTATTACATTTGCCGATCAAACAACGATATAATCAAAGCATTGAATAGTAAGTACTAGAATCAAGTGTGATTAGTTTGATAAGATATCCGGAAAGGGGATGAAAGATGATTACAGTAAGTTCTAGTGTACAAGCTAGTTGCACTGCGGTTAAATGAATGGTTTAAACGAAGTAGAATGACTAGAGGTAGTACTTAGGTGACTGGGTAGTGGACGTTCCGTAACTGTGAAGGCATCCCTTCTCCCCCATTCGTGACCTCGGGAAAAGCTTGGCAATCGCCTATGTATGTAGAAAAAGAGGGAAATAGCGAGTAAAAAGAGAAGAGAGAGTAAAGGAGACAGATGGAAAGCTGCGAGAACCAAAGAGAGGGACTAGGTGAAACGTTTGAGACGGAGGTGGAAGGTAAGTTGCTAATTAGAGCCAGATTAAACGCTTGTCTGGGGAACCATTTTCCTTGCCGTTCCTCGCCGTGCTCGGAAGAGGATGAGTGCGAAGAGCCAGTCGTGCCATAGAAGAGTAGGGGCTGAAAAAAGGCAAGTAGGCAAGGGTGGCTAAGGCTGCAACGTGGAGGGGATAACTCGACTCCGGTTGGAGGCAGGACCGGGGCTTAATGAAAAGTGTTTGCCCCGTAAAAGTTAAGATTAATTGGCGCTCGGGGGGTGGTTACCGCGGTAATCAGCCAGTGCCAGTGGTTTTCAAACCTAACGTACTTACTTACTTGTTCCACGTTGTTGCCTTCTTTACAATTTTCCCTTTCTCCTTTTTCCTTTTTCTTTCTTCCTTTTTCCTTTTTCACTTTTTCTTTATTTTATCTTACGATATACATATACTACTCCAGTTTCATGAACGAATTATTTTTTCTTAGCTGTCGTGTCTAAAAAATTTCAAAGACTCTTCAAGTGGCGCATAAATTCTACGTAAATGCTTGAATTAGAGACAAACGCTCGTAGCAAGATCAATTTTCTTGCCCTTTCGATTTCGGTTGAGCGTTACTGAAACGAGAAGTTAATTTGGTGACACCTAGTTTCATTAACAACGCCATTAAAAGTAATGGCTGGTGAGGGCTGAAGTTGGCGATGCGGCCGCATGGGGGCCGGAAGATTCTAATTAGGAAATAGACATCGCACCGAGGCGAGGATCGAACGGTAACGGAGTCCAATAGTCGAATAGGCTATAGACGAAATGATAGAGTAAGAGGAGCGAGCGAGTTGAAAGGGAATGCGAAGAAAAATGAAAGGCGTAGAAAAATATGAGTTAGATTTTTACAAAGCAAAACAGAGGGACATGGATAGAGAAATGTGCGATCAGATTTACAAATAACAGCATTTACATTTTCCACGCGTATACACGAGGCAATGCCAAATCGATACATGACACCAATTAAGATTTATCTATGGCCGGTGATAGCTAATCTAGCTGTTGATCAAGCAATCTTATCCCTGCGATAAGAGAGGATAAATTAACCATCAAATCGTTAATTACCTTCGAGACGGGATAACAAGACTTTATACGCGCGGTATTTGTCCTAATTTTTTATCGCTAAAAGCGCTAAAGTTGGCCCACTCACCACTTAGAAGCATCAATATCATTTAGGTTTACTAGTAACTTTATCTGGACTTTATACTGGTCGCAACGATTGAGAGATGTTTTGTGTAAAATAAACGCACACGTAAGTATGTACCAGGTAGGTGTAGGTAAGTAATTAAATCGTCGCGTTGGTGAAACTTTCTTTCTTTTTCTTTGCTCAAGGAAGAAGAAAGGTAATGAAGAAAGTAGAAATTATTGAAAATATGTTGAAAGAACGTAGAATAGAACAGAGTAAAATAGAATAGAGGAGAGAGTAGAATAAAAAAAATAAATTAGACTTGTCGTGACGGAGCATAATCACCGCTGAAAATCTTTGGTGTTTACTCGGCAGTTGAGGAGAAAAAGGTACTACCTGCGTACACAAGTGTAGGTATATCTATGGGTATGCGCGTATGCGCGTATGCGTATGCGTATGCGTATGCATAGGGCATGCACAGCATCGTAAAGATGGTCATAGCGATACAGCTACATATGTGTGTATGTATCGTATGATAAATGAAAATGAAAAACCTTTTTTATATTTGCAATAATTGAACACCCGTAATATCAAAAATCGTACAGATCGATAAAAAGAAGTGAAATTTTTGAAATCTGACCAACCAGCAATAATCTGCATTTGTCACCATACCGTAGATGCACACACAAGAATCAGACGCATTAGGAGAGTCGTGAAAAATGTTGACTAGTTATGCGCAGGTTGGACGTGCTTCGACCCTTGAGTAAATATTCTTCCCTTCGTATTATTTGGTTAAAAAGCAGTGGCCAACGAACTCGTATCGTTTGCCTTTCGACTCGTACCGCATGAGCTACCTTAGAAGCGCTATAAGGACAGGCAAGAGTCACGAAACTCTAGGTAACATAACAAGTACGAGGAGCAACTGAGCGATCGTTATAACGATCCATCATTCTTTTACTAACGATCCATCGTTGCTTCAAACACATTATCATATGTCTACGTTACAAAGTCAAATTCACGTTGCGTCGGTAAGAATACCTGAAATAAAATACGTAAAGACAATTATCGATATTTTATCACTCGTTTCAAAAGTATCTACTCATTATACATATGTATATGTAGTATAATAAATTGTTTCTTTCTCAAAAACATTGTACATTTTTGTTTTCTTCTTCCTTTACCCCTTTGCAGTGTTTTAAGGTACAGAAATCAATACCTGCAAGAAAAAAAATTCTAAATATTAGAGTAAACGGTTTAAAAACGAATAAACTTTATCAGCTGGATAAGCAAATGCGTCGTAGGACCCACATCAAATATCATGCCTGACAACCGATAACAGGCCGATTACTCGAAAACTGGGTGTGATTCCTATTACGCGGCTATTAACTGTTCGATAAAGTGATATATATATATATAAGTATATCGTTAATGTTTTCTTCAGAAGATTGTAAAGAAATATAGAAAACGTAAAGTAACAATAATGTCATCGTCGTTGCCGCAACGCGCCATGTCGCGTCCTCCTCGGTATGCTTGTTGATTATTCATCAAACTTAATCGACGATAAAATGATGTGTTGATAGATTTAAAGATGGAAAATAATAGGGAACAAAAAAGCTAGAAAGATAATACGTATTATCCTTGCCAATCATGACACTTAGGTAATTAGATGAATAGAAATTTTCTATTAGAGAAGCTACATACCGTAATAGGAGCTATTACTCTACCCATTAACTTGACATAGTAAGTTTGCATCAGGAACCGTTCTATGTATACCTATTTGATGCCGAATTGGATAAAATTCACCAAAATTTCATCGCGGAGTTTACTAAATAAAATTGTTCGCTTCTTTTTGTTGTTTTCATTTTCTCTTTTATTAGCTTAGTTTTACAAATCTTCTCGCTACCACCAACTACCAACTAGCATATAGTGTCTTCTTCCTTACCTTAGATCGGTATTTCGTCAACGTACTTACGCCCCCCCCCCCCTTCCCTTCTTTGCTTTTTCTTTTGTCTCTCTATACCTACATAGATAGTATCTTGACGAGGTGCATAAATTCAACGAGCCGAAGGAATTTTACCGTGTACGGGAACAGCGTGAAACTAAATTCTATATAGTTTTATAGTGGAAATCCGTCGCCCGGGGATTGAGGCTGAATGCTTAAAGCTTAGGTGCGGGATTCAGAGTTCTATGCTGGAAGCTCGAAGCTCGAAGCTCGGTGCTTGGGTAGATATAGTACTTGGTGTTTAGTGTGCTCAAAGCTGGTGAACGGAGAATCGAGAATCGAGAATCGGGAATCAGGAATCGGGAATCGGGACCTGGGAGTTGAGGCTAGAAACCGATGACATACGGGCGGTTCGAGGATAGAGGGGAACAAAGGGGATGCTCTGTAGGCGTGGCAGAATCGCGAAGTATACCGCGATAGGCGTGGCAGAATCGACTGACCGCGGAAACGCGGCAGCAGAGGGGAGCGGTTTTCCCGTTACGGACACGCGGTTCCTCGCGACGTCACTTTGCGGCGCGGCGTCGAGCTAATCGCTCGTATTGCCGCCAAATCGAAACCAGCGTGTTTGATCGTCCGTGGTGGAAATTTCGTTGGTCGTTGGTAATTGATTTGCGGTGTTTTACGTTGCTGTATTCTGTATTTATCCTTTACCGTGTCGCGTGTTACGTTTTGCGTTTCGCGTTTCGTGTTTCGTGTTTCGTGTTTCGGGTGTCATAGAAGAGACCGAAAAAGAAAAATTTAAAAAAAATACGGCTGCGTGAAAGATTCGCATCGCCTGTCAAACAGTTGCGATCAATTTCGAAGAGTGATCTTCGTTTATTTGGCCGATCGGTCGCGGTCGGTTGTGCGGTCGATCGATCGATCGATCGAATTCCGTACACCGATCGGAAGTCGATCGGCCATCGATCCATCGTCGATCCGATCATCGATCGAATATCCGTCGGATATTTAAATCAATCTTGCCTCTCGTTCGTAGACAATTGAATTTGACACGGTCAGTGAACAGAACTGGTCCAAGTTTCAAGTGGTATTACGATAGTTGCGTTTGAAATTTGGTGGTGCTTGTAAGAAAAACTGGTAACCAGTAAGCAGGTATGCGCTAACGATCGATCTTCGACTTAGCGAGCCCAGGTATGCATTATAACGCGTCAAGCATTTCGGAGGACTCGTATTTACGGCATAGACAGCAAGAATATCAGCAACGACATCGAACAACTGGTGAACATACTGTTTACGTGTACGGTGTTCGGCAAAAGACTCGTGGTCGTAGTTGTTCGCCAAGATTGGATCAAGTGGAATCGTCGAGTAACATCACCGCTGCTGCCGCCGCCATCGCGATCGGGAATAGAAGCGAAACGGTCCGTTTGCTAGAAAACGGATCTCCGTCGGAGGTTGAAGAGGAATCGCGAATGTCGAGATATCGCGAGGAGTTTGATGCGAAACGATCCTCCTTTTCGAAGCAGGACCAGGATTCGTTGAATTTTCTCCGAGATCCGGAAAATGGAAGCGTAACGTGTTTCACCGAGGAAATGGTGTCTGCGGTTGCGAGCCATTACAGAGATGCGGATCATTCGCCTGATAGAACTTCCCCGCACGAGTATACCATTCATACGACTGACAAACGTCATAATTCTCTTGGAAAAACGTCTTTCTGTATCGACGCGCTTCTCGGTCGCGCTACCGGCAAGCAGGAGAACCACGATTACGATCGATCGGAACGTAGTCAAAGATTATTGTTTGAAACTCGAAATTCTATCGTGGACGGAAGCAACCCTTGTTTAGCTAATTGTTTGCTCCGTACTCGTGAACAAGAGACCTCTTGTACTCACGGAGTTGCGAGTGGAACGGAAACGGGAACGGGAACGGGAACGGGAACGGGAAGAGGAATCGGTACTGGAACCGAAGTTGCTACTGGAACTGGAAGTGTGACTGTTACTGGGTCCGGAACGGGAGCTGAAATTGCAACCGGAATCGGAATTGGAATTGGCATCGAAATTGGAAATGGAAATGGAAACGGGAATGGGAACGGTACTGGAATCGCAATCCTGGGAACGGACGAACAAAGAACATCGTCTTCTTTGGGAAGTATTTTGAATCCAATATTTGACAAGCCTGTTCAACACGGCTCGAATTCGCCAAAGTTAAGTGTTATCCGCGAGGACGGCGACCGATCTATACGCGAGATTTGTTTGTCCGACACTCGTGCAGAATCCGTCGAGGCAACGACACTATCGATTCAACGCGGTAAAGCGATATTCAAAGGAAGCGAAGAGAGTGGAGGATTTCGAATCGATCGGTTAGAAAACATCGAGGATGATGCTTCGATCGAAGTTGATCCAACGAGAACCGGAAGTGCTAGCTCCGGAAGTAACGCGAGCCGTAGCCCCGTCTCGAGTCCCCCGATTTCCCCGGGCTCGGAGGAACCTAGCAATAATAGCGTTCCCGGTAATCCGAATTTACCAAGCGGTCACTACGGTGCACTAGCTGGTGGTACCGCTGTAGCTCGTCAAAATCAAACTCTTCTCTTACATCCGACCGGCCCTCTTATTCATCCCGGAGGATTATATTACCATCCTGCGAGTGGTAGCGCGTTTCATTCTATACACAAGGAAACTCAACCCGTTGGACACTCGCAAACTGCTGGACCTCATCCTCAACAGCATCATATTCATCCGCTTCAACTCGAGTGGTTAGCCAGAACTGGAATGTTGTATCCCAGGTTACCTGCAGACTTAGCTGGTGAGTTTTCATCGACATCTACATATTATACGATCAACTAATCATTCCTTTGCCGATTCTCTTACTCAAAGTTGTTACTTCATTTCACTATAGGTACTTACTTGATACCTATACATTTCCCCTTTTTGAAATGATACCTATTGCAAAAGTTCCTTCACCAACGTGTCGTCGCTTCAAATCGATGGATTTTAAATACCCAATTTCTTTATCGTCGCTCGGAAGTTGAGTAGCTACATACTATTTAGTGAATCTTCTTTCGCCTTTTTTTCTTATCGATTACTTCTCTCTCTTTTTTTCCCATGCTAAACATATTGTACGTAAAATACATAGGACATATGTATGTACAGGTAGGTATATGAATGTGTTCTATCAGTCCTTTTGCAGACCTTTTCGATAAATAGTAGTACTCACCCCATTTGGTTTCAGATAAAAGATTTAATGTGTTAGCAATTCAAAAGCAGTTGGATGAAGTAATCTAGAGTGTACGATAACCAATGTGGTTTAGGCCGATAATGATTCTCCTTGACAAAAAATTCGATTAGGTCGATTCGACTGCGTTCGAATGGAACGATATCTTGAAAAATGTGTACTCAAGATACGTCACCGGTCGTATAGTTAATCATTTCTGAGCTTCTGACTGCGTTTTACGTATTGCTATCTAACATGATGATTTTAGTTAAAAATAAGGGGCATGTTCTTTAATTTTACCGTAAAACAAGAACAATGTGGTTAATGTAGGTGAACAGATTGCTCGTACGGCACGGCAGATAGTCTGTGTTTACATGCCTAATGTAATGCTTTACCACGACTAGGCATTACTATAGGTACCTATAAGTATACGTGTTATATACATATACGTACAGGTAGATAGATCACAGGTAGCACATCTATAGGTATAAGATATTGATCGTATATTCACGTTTTCATGTTAATTGTTAAACGATAACATTACATATACCTACATGAAGAAAATCTTGAAAATAACATACAATAAAATTACTTTTAATCGAAGAAAGTGTGACTGTATTAAAAAACAAGCTGTAACGTGAGATAAAATTTTCAAAGTAAAACCGAAATTCTTTAGCTAAAGAATTGCCGAAAATAGAGAATGAAAGGGACCATGTGCCCGTTACTGCGGTAAATTTCATGCTTAGAGGAGGAAAAATGAAAAAGAAACGTGGCCGCGTTGTCTAGCTAATCAGTCGAGAGCTTTTATCGAACAAATTGGTCAGTGAACGTAGCGAGCCAGGTTTGCCGAGATGAACCGAATTCGAATAAATGGGAACGAAGATGCAGGAGAGAGAGATAGAGAAGGGAGCGAGGAGGAGACGATGGGGGGAGGAGGATCGCTAGAGAACACAGGGATGGCGGCGAGTAAACGTACTGTGCGGGTGTATATGAGAGAGAAGGGTAAGGGGAGGTCGCAGAAAGGAGTGAGAAGAGAAAGAGAGAGATGGTTGTCGTTGGGGGTTGGAGTTGGGGGTGGAGAAATGAGAGCGGGGATGGGGTACTCGGAGCAGAGTGCGGGGTACTTTCTGTCAGATGATCCTGATTGGTAGTTGCCGAGCAATCCAACGTCGACGAAAAAGGCGAAAACCCGATAGCGTAAAACGAGCAACGAGTACAAAAAAGCGCTCTCGCGGAATAAAATAAAACGATCGCGTTTAGCCCCACCTGAAGCAGCCGTTATCGCGTCGACGGGAAACACGGACACGACTTGTTAAAAAAATCGTTGGATGGAAGTGCTGTCCCGTTCGGTCCTTTTCTCTCTCTCTCTCTCTCTCTCTCTCTACTTCGTCGCGTTTCTCTTTTCTTCTTCTGTCTCTTATACCATTGCATTCTCGTATACTTTCGATGGATGTGTAAATAACGATGAGTGCACGACTCATCGGGTTGGTACTGCGACACGATAGAAAGGTACGGGGTAAAGGTAGGAGAGGCAAGCTTTTATTTGTGGAATATTTGTCGGGCGTTATACCAGAGCGCCAACACCATGTTTCATCTATTTTGAGTCGAATATTGAAATTTAACTAGTGCGATGCGGGAGAATGGGAGGGAGAGGAGGGTGCACTGGTATCGTGGCCACGAGTATTTCGCGATCTTCTGTCCCCGATACATCCCCGAATGTCGATATCTCTGCCTCGTGTATGTACATAGACTGAAAACTGTACCTCGTACGCTCTCGTGTGTCTAGCCGCATGCCCGATACCAGTTTACCTTCGGATTAATCGAAATCGACCGAAACACGATGTTTCATCTCTTTTATATTTACGTGATATCGATGCGTGTAGTCGAAGCAAAATATAATATTTTTTGCAGGTAATGTCTCTTTCATTTGCGCCGCCATGCCATGCCGTAGATACTCATTGTCAGCTTTGCCCGCTGGTATTTAGGCGTGTATTAAGTGGCATCTGGTCTATTTAAGTCGAAATATTAGTTTGCAAAATTACCGATAGGTAAAAGAGGAAAAACAAAAGAAAGAAAATACTTCTTATATCGGTTTATGCCATCTAACTTTTGTAAAATTTTTCATCCCTTTCTTTTTACCTTCTCTATTTATGCTTTTTATAACATATCGTTCTACGTCATCTTATCCGTATGATTTATCATTGCTTTAAAATATATTTTTCAACGTTATATATACATATACATATATACCGTGCTTTTACGTTCCCTCTTTCGCCAAGAATCGGTTAGGTTCTACAAAATGCGAAGGAAAAACAATGGCGGAAGATGTCGAAGAGATGGTAGGAGGTCTGCCAACAAAAGGGGATGATACCCGAGAGATGAAGCACGCGAAGGGTTGGTGGATGATTTAATTAGTTAATTGTGCGTCATTCATCCGTCTATTCATCCCCTTCGCCCTTCTCCCGACGAGATAGCATAACGCCGACGCAGACGTTTCACAGTTACCATGGAAACTCCGCGGACTTATATAGACCGTTCTAACAGCTAATTTCACCCGACTTTGAAATGATTCAAAAACGTAAATAGATTCTATTTCTTTGCCGAGCTTTTTCTTTTCTAATCCAATACCAAGTACTTATAATCGTGTGCCTATGTATCTATACATATGTATAATATGTATTTGTTAAATGTTATCGAGAAACTTTTAAAGACGTACAATTTCGGTAAGGATAGATAAGTATGCGTTTGAAAAGTAACATATATGAACTATGTGTATGGAAGAAAATTGGCAGATGCGTATATGAAGAGTAGGTACGTATGTATACAGGACTGTTGGTAGGTAAATACGTGAAAGTTGGTGGTCGTCACCACGTCGCGGCGCGGCGCGGCGTCGCATCGCGTTGCGCCATGCCGCATCCGTCTACCTATCTATAGGCATATAGCCAGTAATGGTGTTTCTGAATTAGCTGTCAGCTAGTTTGGCCGGCCGCAAGCAAACAGATCTTGGTTACCCGATGTGTAACGTTCCACGTTCGCCCAAACCAATCCTATATCTCTATGATCTGGTCTGATCGTGTCGTAACCATGAGCGCGTGCACACATCGTGTGGTGGCACGACTTTGTGGATACTTGCACGTGTCATACCAAATACTAAATGCAATTTTATTGATAGGTATACGGCTTACCGCGCATAACAAGGCGATAGAAATGTGTGTGTGCATGGCATTGAAAACCAATTAAATTTCAAACATGTAAGTAAGTATTTATGTGTAAGCTCGAAAATTGTTTTTTCTTAGAATACCTATCTAAGTAAGTACTTACTTACGTGAAAAAAGAAAAAGAAGATAAATAGAATATGGTATTTGTGTATAATTGTGAGAACAATAAAAGGAAAAAGTCCGATGATAAAAGTAGATGGTAACGTTTTGAATGTTTATGGCGTGATTTGTGGTGAGTTCACGAGGCGAGTTTCAAATTAAATCCAACCATTTCGAGTAGGAAGAATAATCCCTGAGAAAAGTTTGCCAACTTTTTCCTCCTCGGTGCATTATACCTATATAAGTAAGTACTATAATGTACATACTTATGTACACCGTATCTAGTCTTGCCACCGACTTTCACGGATCTCTGACTGTAACGCGAAGGAAACTGGAGTCGATGACGTCTCAAGATCGCGAGTGCAAAGTATGGAGCGTATGGTGTAGAGTGTAGAGTATAGGCTGTGCAAGTGTAGAGTATAGAGTAGAGCGTAAAGCGTTTGGGAGACGGTGGGTACCGACTAGATGTACGTTACCCTCGCCTGTCTTCCTTCACCTCCTGTACGAGGGGTTCGGTTTTCGGGGGCGGGTCGTATTGGGAACTCGGGGGCTGCAGGCGGAGCTTCTACCGCTCTGCGAGGCAAAGAGAGGGAGAAAGACCTCGCGCGCGCACACACGATTGCTCACCGTCACCACCCATCGACGGAAGTTGAGAAGAACCAGCAGAAGTAGAATAAGAATGTGGATGGTATCGAGGATACCGAGCCTATGCGATTCCTATAGGTAGTTACTTACAACAAAGTGTGTCGGGAAATGAAGAAAGATACTACCGTCAAAATTGAGCAGTTCTTCTAGACGAGAACGTTTTTTATTTTACGAACATTATGAGTCCGGCAATGAATCTGATTAAGATAACAGGACAATAGAAGAGCGAAGAGTGGTAAAAGAAAAGGAGAGGGGGCAAATAGGGAAAGTGGAGAGAGGAGAGAGGAGAAAGGAGAAAAGAGAAAAGAGAAAAGAGAAAAGAGAAAAGAGAGTAGCGTTAAGTAGAGATAATGGCTGGTGTTTACCGGCACGGTGAACAGCATGATTTAAGGGTGACCTGGCGTGAAGCGGCTAATAGGACCCCAAATAAATTAAATTATCATGATAAAAGTGTAGCGGGGTGAAAACGACGTTAACCTGAACGGCACCCTACCGGTTTAGTCTGTACAGAGGAGTAGGAAAATGGTGATTGTCCACTCGATGGTGGGCCGCCCTTCTTGTTTACCGACATCTGTCATAACTCGCACCATTTCACCCTACCATCTTTTCGTTAGTATAGTTTATGTAACTTCTAAGCATCGTTCACGCTTTTATTCCATTTTTTTCATTCGATTTAAATGTTACAGATTATACGAGACGATATTACAATGAGAACATAAAACTAATCGAATTATCGAGTGATTGTCAAAAGTCAAACTTTTCACGATCTTCTGATGCCGCGTCTCACCACTATTCCGCGCTGCAGAATGAAATTTTAAAGGGAATTTTGATCACGCGACGATACATCAAATTTGACAAATGCATTAAATCGTACAAAGAAATGAAAGCAATGATTGAAGTAGCTAATAATTGTCAGGAAACGGCTCTGGTCAAAAGGGGGAATTCAGCGAACGGAGCATATGTGCACAGCGGGTGGCAAACCGCCCTTTAAAGGGACGATTAATATCTATGTACCTACTTACGTATCACGTAAATAACCAAAGCAAAACTGTCAGCTAGCTATCTGTTTGCAGAAATACTAAAGATCGCAAACGAAAGCTTTCGTAAAAAAAGAATAATGTTCTTTCGAACGAAAGGAAATAGCTTAGACGTATAATTATAATAGTTTGCTAATTGTGAGATGCGACGCATCAGCGTGTATTCTGGCTTAGCTCTCCCTAAGGTAGATAGAAAAATGAAATACACCCTCGGTGTCGCGAACGTTTGAGCCGTAAGCGGCTGATTAACAGCGACATAATGGTATCGCACGTTTCAGATTAATCTGAGTGTACGCGCGACTAAACATTGCCATGTGTACAAACATTGACAGCCGGTCACGCACTTGCTAGTTAGCGTCGAGGGGTGGATCGTCGTCAGCTAGAAGCAAGCGATAGAAAAAATTCACGTGATGGTGAACCACATCCTGAACTTTACCTTACTTTACTTTGCTTTCAATTTTTCTTCCTTTCTACTGTAGCTATCTATCTATCTATCTATCTATCTGTCTATCTATTTACTATATCTACATATCTGTATGTATTTATTTTCATACATATTAACGATGAGAGTTTGTGCCAATGCGATGGCAAGTAGGCTATGTTAATACTTCATTAATTCTGGCAAACAGGGATAATGAGAAATACAGCATTTTCGCTTTCGGTCGATGAAAAGATGAAGGAAGCACATGTTTTAGCAGAAGAGCAGCTGATTTATCTGTAAATCAGACACAAGCATTGTAAGCGATTTTCTGAAATTTTTATACAGGTTCGAGCATTCCCTCGTATCGTAGCCTTATTGATTTTATGAAGGAAAGAGATTAAACTGTGTCTTGATTTACGCGCGTGGAATCGTCGTAGTGGAAAGAGATTCGAGCCTGGCCAAAAGTCGTTCATAGGGCTAATCGTTGGGGCGGTCACCCTACTTTTCCGTCCCTGTTTCCAACCCCAAATCATACCATCGCAACCCATAGGGGTTTATACTTGCGATAATTGCATTAGCATTCGATGATTTTTATTAGTATCCGTTCCCCGATTGGTATTAATACGAGGCAATGAGATTATCGATGGCGTGTAACGGTAACGATCGCGTATCTCCCTTCTCCCTTCTTCATTCCTTAATTTTCTTCATTTTCTTCATTCTCCGAGCAAAGAATTTTTATTCGTTTCTTTTCGTGAGTACATAATTAGGAACTCGATACTTGTTAATTCCTTTGCAATAGCTACATACTAATGATATGTGTTTTGATACATTTGCCTGTATAGGATGCGCGGCTCAACACGCTCTCCTTGGAAAAACTAGAAGGCCAAGAACCGCCTTTACGTCGCAACAACTTCTTGAATTAGAAAAACAATTTAGACAGAACAAGTATCTTAGCAGACCAAAGAGATTCGAAGTGGCCACCTCGTTAATGCTTACGGAGACCCAGGTAAGAGTTTTCTTTAGTATAATATTTTCGATTTTATCTTCTTTGCGTCTTTATTTGCGAAAGGGTTACAATTGTACAAATAATATAGGTATTACAGAGTGGTAAAATCTCGTTTTCCAAAAGGAAGAAATTTCTTGCTGCGAGATTACGTGGTCACACATGTTGAAGAGAAACTAGGAACCGAGAAAGAGGGAGTAAAGCCTCTAGAGAAATTGGTGAAATAATCCAGCACCCTTCTCTCTTGTCGCGTCGCGTCGCGTCGCGTCGCGTCTCGTCTCGTCTCGTGTCGAGACGAATCTGAACGAACGAATCTCTCATGTAGTATGTACCTAGTTCAACAACTTAAACATAACTTTGAGCTTACGTATTCTGACAGATCGCGCTAGGCAAATAGTAACAAAAGTCTGAGTTATGGCAGACTGAGTCCCTGATTTGTTTCGATATTTTTTTTACCGATCCTTTTTCAAACTGTTGTCTTTCGAATATTCGAGTAGTGTGCACCGTGCACTATCGCCTTTTCTCTCACGGCCTACATAATGCCCATCTATGTACATACATATATGTATGTATGTGTAAGTAATAATATTAATTGAACATTCGCGTTCGAATAACAGAGATTTCAGGTTCGGTAGTGGCATACCACGCCAGCGATTGCCAATTATTTTCGAGCTTTCTTTTTTCTTACAACTCAACTCTCAACTTTCTTCTCCTTCTTCTCTTTTTTCTGTATTTTAGTGATTTCGTATTCTGGTATTCTAACACGTGCCTATTACCACGAAAAGAAAGCACAGTTCCCTCGAAGGGTGAAAATGTACTAGGGCTGAAAACGAAGCGGGTTGGTTCGAGCGCATGATATGTTGTCTGAAAGATTTACATCGTTTTCTCACGGAGTTGGGGAAGAAAATATCGAGTTTTGACATTCGTGCTAACTCGAAGAATTGCCTAACACTCTAACGCTATAAATCATTTATTTATCTAACAGTTAGAATTCATTTTATCGTTTTCGTATCGTTTCTCTTCCTTTGTTTCTTTCTTTATTATACATAAATATATGTATATACCTATTCTAAATACTTTCTCGAAATTTTCTATTTTTTTTTCTTTCTTCTTACTTATTCGTACTATTTGTATCCGCGACACTGATAAAAATAATAAGTAGGTATCTTTGTATTCAGGTAAAGATCTGGTTTCAAAATCGACGGATGAAATGGAAAAGGAGTAAAAAAGCGCAACAAGAGGCAAGGGCAAACAACAAGATGGAAGACGGTGGAAACGTACGAAGCACGGAGAAAGAAGCTGGAAGCGATCCGAATCCAAACTCACCGAGTTCGCAGGACGATGGTAAAGGAACGTTGCAAGAAACACAAAGAAGTACGAACGAACTTCAAGAACCTCTTTATCGGCCTTACGTGGTATAAAACTCTGACCAAAGTACTAGCTGTCGTAGCAGTGTGCCAAACAAGAACTAACAATAATGTAAGTTGTTATTGCGCGTACTCCTGTACCAGTGGCTATTTTCTATGGTACATTCGATCGCTTTCGGAAATTTCGGAGTTTTAATACGACTATTACCATGCGCAGACTGGATAAAGGATAACGTACGAAAGAAAAATATATGCGTCATTCATTTGCGTGTCGTTTAGGGTTTAAAAATGAAAAGTCAACGAAACGAAATCAGAGTACATGTACATACATACTTACAATATACCTATGCCGATGTAAGTAAATTACATAAGAAATGCGATTTATAATTTACATGGAACACTTGTATGGAAATGGAGGGAACAGTAAGATCAACAGCGACAAGTACACATGTACCTCTATGTACTTGAATGTAAGTATACGACCGCACGAAATTAATCGAATCCCCTTCGGTTCAATTGTTTCTTGAACCATTTTAAAAACTGAAATAACTAGTTTACAAACTGACAAGAATCCTACCTACCGAATACGTATGTAAATGTGTTTTTATTCTGTACCGTGACAACGCGATTACCTGATTAACGAAAAACCGAACGAATGAGAAATAAATTGTATGTATACGAGTAACGATTGACGAGTGACCAGTGATAAGTGACGAGTCCCAAAACCCAAGTCCCAAGTCCCTAGTCCCGAGTTCCTAGTCCCAGAATTGTACAGAAACTAACAAAATGCAAAGAGTACGCGCATTAAAGGTTTCATCTTCACGATTGTAACTTTGTTCCAACGTTGCTCTAGATTTACATGAATCGATCACACGCACCTATTTATGATAAATGATATAACTGTACATAATATTCATATACGTGTAGGATAGAGAGTGCGATGCGAAAGAAACGTCTCATGTTATGCCGCAACAAGTTCCTAAAATAAATAATGAATATCGAAGCAGAAGAAGCATTTCTTTCTGTTTACTCCTTTTCGATTTGAAACGTTACAAAGTCGTTAAAAAACGGCATCAACGAGCCAAACTGAAATATGCCTAAATATTATAGCTACATTGTCTGGTTACGTAAGTAGTAAACTAGGCGCTTACTTTCTTGCCGAATTTTCACTTTTCACGATACCTATTCGAACGCGACACGATTCTATCTACCACTTTCTCGCCAGTCACCGCACGCGCAAGCGACCGACAGATCATCAGTATTTATGATATGCTAATTCCCCGTTACAAATTCTCCGATGTTTCGCGGATGACTGCTTCTACTAGCTGTAGCCAAAAGCCGATAAGCCAGCCAAGCCGCTTCGAAAGAAAATCGTCAATGAAGAAATGGTGGAAAAGAAAAGAAGAAAAATTGCACGATTCGACGAGATCGGATTGGTTTGTAGCGTTGCGTTACATAGATACCGTGTTTTCTCCAATCTCAAGAAAGTATACTCGCTGTATTGATTCAGCGATTAAATTAATTTGAATTTAACTATGTTTTTTAGTGGCATACCACGAGACATTAACGGTACAACAGTGAAAACGTGATAAAGATTAACGGTGAAGAAGCTACAATTTCTTCTTATTGTCTTATTTCTATACGACATTGAACAACAACTATCTTTTTTTCCTAAATAATTAGTACCACTAACGATAAACGTTTTTCAATAGAAAATCAACGAATTCTGGAAAATCCAATCCTAATTTACCAGCCCTGTTGTTATTTATATAATTATACGGTTTCGTATTAACAGATCCGATCGCGTTAGAACGCGCAGACGATGGAAATCTTGATTCCTCCGAGTCGAGGAATAGGATGGTCGCACGGGGCGTTTCGCGAGACTAACTAGAGGGTGGCGCAAGAGTAGAGAGCGTGCAGACGAGCACAGAGGCGGGGCACTCATGTTTATATGCATTGTATTGCTAAAACCCTTTTAACCGAATTACATTTAGCGATTCTAGTGCCGTTTTCCCAGCTCTCCTTCCCCAAGTCTGCCACCGGCCGTCGCCACCCCTCGTCGCGTCGCGTCGCGTCGCGTCGCGTCGCCTCGCGTCGCCTCGCCTCGCCTCGCTTCCTCCCTCTCGATCCCACTCGATCCTTTTCTATCTACCACGATATCCCTCGTCATCCCCTCGCCTCGGTAACCATACTAGGCTACCCCTAGCGCGCTTTTCACTCTCAACTCCCAACCTTCGATTCACGATTTCTGTCCTTCTTCTCGGTGTGTGTCGCGTGCCCGTGCCAGAGGGACGAACACTACGCTCTTCTCCTCGAAACTCACCAACGAGCAAGCGGAGAGAATTGCGCTACCTCTGAATGGTAGTGGTGTGTAGTCGTAGTGGGGCTGGAAAACCGATGGAGCCAGATTCCGAGACTTGGAACGGCATCCCTGCTGAATTCTTGATTCTTTTGGTAAACAAGTGCTTAGGTGATTCACTGCTTGTTCGCTCCTATCGGCCGTCGTTTGTTTCTAGACGCCATTGCGTTCTGTGATTCTACCTCGTTTTCCGGTCTAATGGCTTTCCGAGACTAACGGAACGATAAGATTGCTCGAAAACTCTTACCCCCTATTTTTATTTATCTTCTCTATACTCGATCCCTTTCCTCACCTTCCTTACACAGTATTCCATTTACCTCCTACTCTTTCACTCTCTGCCATCCTCTATCTGCTCGAATCTTATGAATATAGGTAAGTACATACATATGTATATACGTTATCGGACATCATCTACCCTTATTATATTCGATTACTCGGTTTTTTTTTCTTTTTCTTTTTCTTTTTCTTTTTCTTTTTCAATAATTTCATCAATTTCAATACTACTTTCGTACCGGTAATCGACACCGAACAAACTAATGCTACCTTTTTTGTACACACTATTTACTTTCTTGTATGTTCGATGCGATAGTAAAAAAATAACGGCAGAGAATCAAAGATTCGACTTGGACTGTTTCGTTCGCGCGTCTCGTGGCGAATTCCATCATTAGCGCTAACAAGGTTGCCCTACGGCTACAAGGGGTTAGAGGACTTTACCCTTCGTTGGGTTAACCTCTAGGTATACATGCGCGCGCAAACACGTGCAGAAATGAACACGAATAGAGAGAACGTACGCGTGTACTTACACACTACCACCTACCATCTCGCTTGTAACTCGGTTCCTCCTCTGAAACAACAGGGGATAATAAGATCTAGGACAATCAACCCCAAGAACGTTGCTAAGCGAGCATCACGATGCTCGATATGTACTTACGTACTTACTATCTATTCGATGAGCATTTATAGACGCGATGTCGGTCGCACGTTATGTTCAGAACCTTCTTTACTTCACCACGGTCCGTACGTTTCCTAATTCGTCTGTTCGTTTATTGGTTGACATTTCTACTTTTTTTTCTTTTTGTCTATCTTCTAACAAATAATAATAACTAATTAAAACGGTGAAAGACACAGGCGGCAAAGAGGGAGGAAATACGCGCAATACTTAAACGTCTACAGTCTATTGTGTAGTATGCACACGGTTAAAATATTAGAGGGATAAAAATGGGAAGAGTAAACTAAAAAGATGTAAATGAACACTGAAACGGATAAAGAGAGAACGTTGTAGTGTGAAACGAGTAAATTTTACGGAGAAAGCATTGGAAGGGCTGAATTCTGGTGATACGCGAGCAGAGAGGATGATGGTAGAAAAGCGGAAGAAGCTAACCGCATCGTAATCAACGTAAAATGGCGTCAGAAACGGAGAACGCAGAAGGGGGAAGAAAGATATAAGAATTCTTTCGTTTAACAATATGTACATATATTGCCTTTTATGTACTTCTTCTATCTATGCTGTTCCTTCAAACCAAAGAACAAGAAGAATTCCTTTCTCGCAACTACTCACTTAAATAATTATGATCATAAATAGTACCTCCGAATTCCTATAATTACACCTTTATGCCGAGGATCTGCTAAATCAGCCTTATCAATCAGCTTAACAAGGAGATTCCGATTAGCAAAACGCTTCCTTTAATAACCAGACAACCTATGGCCATCTAGGCGGTAGGCCGAGATACTAATGAAACTAAGTAAGTACTTTTTCCGCGGTATGTAGGGTAAGTACTTATGTATATACATAAGTAAGTAAGTAAGTAAGTAAATACTACTATTTTTCAATAGCGCTGCTGTCTTATTCTATTCTGATTCGATAATGACATATGTGGTAAGAAAACGAGGGAGGTGGAGGGAATCTTGCTCAGATTCCTCTTTTTCCAACTAGACGGCGCTCAGGAGGATACCCTTCCTATATTGTTCAACGAATGCTATAGTCTATTTTAGAAAAATCCTGTGTCCTATTTTTTTTTTATCTTTAAACATCTATTTTGTTCACTATTCGTCTGCCCTTTTGTGGCCAACAGCACATGGCCACTCATTCTTTGGACGAACCATGCCCAACGTACTTGGCTTGACTTGAACGGTAATATTACGGGTATGTTGTTTTATGTACTGGTAAATCTACGTGGCTAAGGCCGTTGACCGTTGTCCAGAGCATGGAATAGGAATTTACATTGGATGAGAGAAGTCTATCTTATACCTCGTTTATGATACTGATCAGATGAGAATAATGGATACTCTTTGTTATATATTTTAATATGAATCAGAAACATCGAGACACGATAGATTTATATTGTGAAGATATTGTACCTAGAATTAATGTGAATAAATTATGGCCAAAATTATTGGAAAACAAAGTGTTCAACAGAGACGATGTAAATATTCCCCGTTGGAAGGTAAAATTATTTGTAGTTGGTACTCGATGTGTAAATACGTTGTATGTACAAGTAGTAGCAAATTGATCTGAACCGTTTTTCTGTGACTGAAATACTTTTTTCAGAAGAGCTTTACGGACAAAGCTACCGTAAAGGACATATACTTAACTATCAAAACACGAGGACCACTAGCATTCGATCGCTTTTTGGCAAGTTTAAGACAAAGCGATCACGAGAATTTAGCAAATACTCTAGAAGGAAAGAAAATCACATTTCGGAGTATTGAAGTGGAAAGAAATGTGAATCAAGACAATAATATAAATGATAACCATGTAGAAGAAGAAGCAGCAAGCGTAGAAGGGTAATATCAAAATATCTGCAGTTAACTTTACGACTTTCTCGATTGTCATATTAGACGATATAATAATATGTTTATTTTTCAAAAAGAGTGCAAGATGACTTTTTCAACATTATGCAACTGTCAGAGGTACCCTTATGTATTAGAGTACGAAAAGCTAGCAAATTTTTGGATGGACCTGAATATGAAAATGTTCAGAGATATCCGATGCGAAGTAAACCTCGTGGATTAGTTTTAATAATTACAAACATTCATTTTAAACATCCAGATATAGAATCTAGAAATTCAGCTGTGCACGATGAACAGAATCTTAAAAGACTTTTTGAACAAATGGGTTTTCAAGTTATTACCCATCTTCATCTTACAGGAGAGGTAAATATTTTGATGTTTCGCAATTTTAAACAAATAACAAGTATTTTTAACCGCTATGGATAATATTTTATTTTAAGGAATTATTAAAAAAGATTAAAGAATTTTCCCAACTTAAAGAACTACGAAAAGTTGATTCCTGCTTTATTTTCATCAGCAGTCATGGTAACACAAATACAGAGTATGAGGTTACAGAAATACAAGGTGTAGACTATAATCCTGACAGTAAAGAACGTAATTACAAAACTGTTTTGTGTACAGATATTTTGCGTAACTTTACAGCAGAAGCTTGTCCCCATCTTGCAGGAAAACCAAAAATTTTTATCTTTCAATTGTGTAGGCAAGTATTCTAAACATACCTATTGTAATAGTGTATTTCTACTGCTATGACGGTTAGGCTTTGTTTTTTTATTGTATATCAAGGAGGTATTTGAAACTACATAGTTTTATTTTAGAGGAGACAGAAAGCAAAAATCAGTAAAAAAGCCGAGACATACTACAGATACGTGTAACATTCGTTCGTCAGACGAAATGATCAATCTTAAAATGAATGGCAAGGAAACAATGCGAAACAATGCAGACACGTTAATCGTGCATGCCACGCTTCCGGGACACGTAGCTTTTCGAGATAAAATAACTGGCAGTTGGTTTATACAAATTTTATGCGAAGTATTTATGAATTATGCGCATAAAACTCATCTTGAAGATTTGTTACACATGGTGAACAAATTACTAAAACATGTTATTACCCCCCCCCCCCCCCACCTTCACGCCCCTTTACGTCGGTTACAACATTGATTGTTATTAATGACTTACAGGTTGATGAAAGATTAAAGATACAAAGAACGACTAATGACGAGTGTCAAACGTTAATGGTAACATCGATAGGATTTAATAAGCACTGTTATCTCAATCCTGGTCTTTTTGAAGATACCTGATGAAAGTAATTGCAGTTAATAGAATATTTTTTAATGTATTTTTATATTCGTTTGTTACACGAATCGTCGAAGAAATCTGATGAATTTTATTCGTTGAATAAATTTGAATTGTTTTATACTTTTTATTACATTTTATAAGATGAATCAAGAAATATATGTATAAACGAAACCGAAGAACTATCAAAATAAAAGTTTGACAAACTTGTAAACGCCAATTTTTGGCCGGTTAACGAGTTTGAACGGCGTTTAAGCAGAAGATAATGCGAACCGTCAATATTTGAAGTTGTGTATGTAGTACATTCTGTATCGTATACACGGTCAAACTTCGTCTTAGGGGTTCAAAATATGTGCTCTTGTAGTTTTTGACTTGAAAAGTCCGAAAATGCAAGTTATAAGTTTAGGAAATCAATAGTTTAAAAGATACGAGTATATAAAAATGTGTGTACTTGGCGTGTACTTTGACAGGTCAGTATTTTGCCCACCATCCACCCCAATCTTCGATTCCATGATATTAAACTAAATGAAACTTTCAAAAAGACAGGAAAAAGCAATTACAATGCACTGTACCAAAACACTAACTAAGCTTTACAGCTCTGATACGTGACTTATAAAGCAATATGAGTTCACATTGACGTTCGTGTATCATTCTAATTGCTTGATACCGAGTCTCCGTATCGTTCTAAAAATGCATCAATTTGATTTGTTAGAAAATTTGTTGTGCAGGATCCGCTATTATTTTATGGAAACGTTGGCCCTTGCGCAGTCCTAAATCGTAAATTTTTACAAAGAAAGTGAGCAAAGAAAAAGTGGTCGAAGCACCCACAATGATGACGTAATTAGTTTTTATGTATCCCTTAAAAAGTGTCCCTTAATAAGGGTTTTACTGTACTATCGTTGAAAGAGTACACATATAATATTTTCCTGCCTTGTTTTCGAGCATGCGTACAACGTCTCAGCGTCACTCATGGACATGTTTCTGCGTTATAATATAATGATCCCAACAATGTTCTTTCTCTTTCACGGAAACACTATTTGTTGTTTTATTTTCCAGTATCTTGCACCTTTTCTGGACTTATTCAACCAGAAGCATTTTCTCGTATTCTGTAAAATTCCTGGTTCTCTCCTTTTTATTTACTGGCTCCATTTGTCTATTTATCTGATTAAAATAAATTCTGAACTTTGGAAAAAACAATTTAATTTAAATTATAAGCTTATTATTTTCAGATACAAATATTATAAATAAGGTTAGACAGACTTTGGTTATGCTGCTTCTTTCTGGTTATGACACGCTCATTACCTATGCACAGACTGGATCTGTAGTCACTGCTATGCACCAATCACATCACTTGATACAAATATAGTTTGGGTTAGCACGCATAAGGTATACGTTCAATTGATTGGAAGAAAGGTGGCGTTGATGGTACGTTGATTAAAGATTAAGCTGCGTTCAAAGTTGAACGCAGTTCACAGGAACTCTGAATTGATCCACGTTGGAGGAAACTTACGACAGGCAGGGGTTACCGTGGCCGTATTCTAAACACCCACCCCGGGCCACTGTGCGTATCAGGTCGATATTTCATTTCATTTCATTTCATTTCATTTCATTTCAGGTTTCCCCAATTAGGGGTGGCGTACTCTAAGGACTTTACATCGGTCCCTTTTTGCCCACCGAAAATTTATCAGTCACGCGCGTGTACGCGTCATTTTTCAAATCTCTTGTCATTCGCACCGTACGTTACTTCACACATTCGCCGTACTTTTTCTTCTGTTTCTTATCCTTACTTTTACATCATACTACCTCGCTCCATTACAAACCCCTTTTAGTCGCCTCTTACGACAGGCAGGGGATACCGTGGCCGTATTCTGATCCCCCCGAGCCACAGGGGGCACACTCTGACAGATCGATATGCAAAGAGCGCCACCGGTTCAACGGGGTCCCTGACACCCCAAGATGATATGTCACTGTCCATAAAGCGTCACAATAAAATAAAAAGAAAAATTTTGAACAAATCAAAATTAATAAAAATAGAGCAAAATCTCACTGTAATGATAAATTTTGTAAGCATTTCAACTTTACATCATCTCGAAAAATGAAAAGGGTGCTTTTTAAGTTAATATCAGTTAATCTAAAGAAAAACACTTGTCTTATCTTGATTTATCTTCTAACGATCTTACAGTGGTAAATTACAAATTACATGCTTAATTGTATTTAAAATTTAATTGGATGAAAGAATAAATGTCCCACCGATTTTGTATCTATTTTTTATAAGTACGCCACATCGTATGATTAAATGGTTGAATTTATATACAAAAACGAAAAGGAAAGGAAAGATTACCGGAAATTCGTCTTACGGAAAAGAACGATACAAAAATTTCTTTTTTACGAACAAAACTATCGATTACCTATTTTGGAATTACATGAACAATTAAAATATTGTAACTGAAAGTTAATTTAACCGGAAGGGAAAAAATAATTATTAGTGTTTATTATTATAAATGAAGTTAAATAGTTTGTTTTATATTTATAATATTCTTTGTTTAAGAGTGTAGCGTTATCATCGATTTTTTTACTTGTAGTGCCGCTTTAACCCGCTTTGAATATGGCTCAAGTGGATGAGTCAACGTCAAGGCGATTCAATGGAAAAACAAAATGAATTCGAGCTTTCTACCGAAGAAATCGAGAATGACATCCTCTCTGTCGTGTACATACACCGTATTTTTTCTTTTTACTTTTCTTTCAATATCGTCCTGTACATTATTAGGTATAGGTAGCGTGTGTAGCGTTTAATACAAGGATTGCGTATTGGATGAACGTGGTTTTTTGATCTTTTCCAAATTCTTGATTACCAAATCGTGTAAAGAACAATAACGATTACGAACTTCGCACATTACTAGCCATAAACTCACATACTCTTTTTCATCTAATTCTTGAACTGCTCTTCTATAATCGCTAATGTGCGGATATTTCGCAACTTTGCTAACAATCTTACCTCTTGAAATAAAATACCTATGGAGGAAGAATATTTTCCTTGAATGGGACTAATGTTTTGTTAAAATGCTATAATGTTTTATAAAACATTACGATTTCAGTTACCTAGATATTTGATCAAAGAATGCGGCCGCTTCACTCTCAACAGATTGTATTTCAGCAAGTGTATCTTCTTGGATCGATACACCAAAATTATTTCCATCTTCGATTTTCGGAATTAAGAAAGAGATCCACATTTTCAACTGAAAAATTAAGACAACGTGTTTTCACCATGTTGCGACTTGTGCGAGGAAATGTGCGAGGACATGTACGAGAACTCGGAAAGATTGGGAACACGAGTATGATTTCGGATTTTCGGTACCATAAATACATGATTCAGTCTCTTGAAACTCTTGGGAATCCCGATATTCTCGAAATACAATTCGGGACCCGGCTTGACGTTTTTGGATTCTCGCACACTTCTACACGTTGGAAAATACCCACCAAATTAGAATCTTCCAATAGTTGCCGAATATAAGGTTTAACTATGTGAATAAGATCACACAAAGGCTTATTGCAAGGTACAGGCCCGTTTGGCAGTACCATTACTTTTGTTCCACTGGTATCATTTATGCTATTGTCTGTCTTTCGTTTTTTTGTGGTAGATTCATCCTCGGAATGATTAAGAAGTATAGGATCTGGAATGGGTACATTTAAGTCTTGATGAACATCTGATAATTTCCTATTGCAGAATCCAGGTGTTTCCAATAATTCATTCAACTCGACGATCTTTTCTGGAAATCCTTTCAACAGAAGTTGTTCAGCCTAAACAATATATGTATATCAATGTATATGATTTTAGAAAAAGAGGAGGAGGAACAATGTTATGTATATCGTAACTGAATATCATTTAAATTTAATTACCTTTGTTTTAAGAGAATCCTTATAGTCTTGAACCTGTAAGATAAACTTGAAGGGTAAATACATTAAATAGGATAGCCATACTGACTTGGAATTGATATTTTAGTTTAGTTAAAAATATAGCACATATGTATAGGCGAGATGTGTAAGCAGAATGATTGCACATATGAAAGCATTTCATTTGCAATAACAAATTATCAAATATTTTCTTATATAAATTCAGACAAAATATCATGAAGAAATGAACAGAGAAAATTACATAAAAAGAATTGCATTATCCGATCCACACGAGCAACAAAAATATGGTTTTGCATTAAGCATTGCGATAAAATCACTGACCAAGGCCAACCATTAAAAAGGTAATCAAATTGAATGAATGATACGTTTGAACAGTGTTAAAAAGATTATATGTTTTTGAAAATGTTGTTAAAAAGAAACACAAATATTAATTCGAATATAACGATGCCGGGTGGTAAGATGAACGCTACGTTAACCTAAACGTTTTCATTTCCAATTTATCGGGCAAATAACGTGAGCTACCCGAGTTGATATTTTTACAGATTTAAATAAAAGTATAACACAAGATATTTTACCTTCTGTGCAGTAGTATCCGCCATTATATACTGTACAAAAAAAATTTTATAAAATATAACCACACTGTCTCTTTGTTGTAATGTACAACTTCAAACAGGAAGTAGTAGTACATATACATGTTCCTACTACGCCATCAAATCAGAATCTGTAACATTTTACGTAAATGAATAATTGAAGTAATTTTACAAGTATTTCAAGTTCCCTTTATATCCTATAGATTATTTCTTTGAGATCAAGTAAATTGATGACCAAGATCAATTCATGAAATTATATTTTAGAAATGTTATAATATGTATTATTCAGGATAGTAAAGTAAAACGTATGTACATATACCGCAGTTCACCAGAGTCCATAACTGCGACGCGCAGGTTGGAAGATGGTGGGGGAACGCAGCGAGCTCTCCGCCAATCGCTTTCCACTTCGTTTGGGAGTATCGCCTATCAGGGCGAAGATGCGCACTGGAGATGCGCGAAGAACGAAAACTGGTCTTTTCGCAGTTATGGACTCTGGTGAACTACGGTACATATATAAATACATTACTCTTTCACGTTTATATTAAATTACATATGTATATTGCTTATAGTATATTCTTGAAAGAAATTTATATTATCACAACTCGATACGTAAATTTTGAGTTAGGTACTTACTTATACATATATGTATACACATACATATGTATGTTTGCAATAATCTGGACGCCCGTGTAAATGATGCTCAATTAAATTACTTAATAAGCAAAAATGTATTAAAAAAAAAAGAAAAAAAAGAAAAAAAAGAAAAAAAAAAGAAAAAAAAGAAAAAGAAAAGAAAAAAAACATAAATTATTATGTTTTAGGCGTACATGGTATACGAATATAATTTATTTTAAGATAATAAGATGTCACGATTCTTTGCTTTATTTGTAATACTTAAAATACGTAAATCAAGAATTTAACGTTATCTAACATGATTTTTATGTTTTGTAAATTTTGTAAATGTCAGAAACATTCAGAAAGTATGTATGTTATGTATATATATTCTTTTAAATGCTGACACGTGCATGCGCATACGCGGGAAAAATATGGAAGCATTTCGTTTTGTAATAAACTTTACAAAGAAAATATCTATTATTATTATTATTATTATTGTTATAATAAAAGAAGTAGAGACGTGTATGTGAGGCAGAACCAAGTTTTATATTACACAATGAACATCGCAGAATGAAATTTAATTTGATTCTTAAGGACACCAAATGATAATTAATGGTAATAATAATTATAACAAACTTCACTGACAAAAATATATATTAAGTAAGGCTAAGTGAGTTTTTTTGCTTTTTGGTAAAGAGTATCGACGACCTTGCCCATGCTGTGTATCGTATCTAATGCAATTTCATAAGTCTTATCGCGAGGGGTGTCTTCAAAAACGATTAAGACTCCTTCCCCTTGATCGAGGACACCCCTCAGTTTTTTATCCAGTATCATTTGTGAAAGTTTCTTTTCCACTTGCGCGAGTGGCAATGATATACAGGTTGCGATATGACTGACCTATATGAAATAATGAAAAATAAAAAAGTTTTCTTTGAAAATAAAACGATCTAAAATATAGAAATCTTACATGTTAAGTTTAAGTTAAGATTCATAGGAGAAAACTATCTGATACCTGTACGCGTGAATAAGGTTCGACCAAGCGGCATAAGTTTTGTTCAAGCATCGCATCGTAGAGAGAGCCCAGATGAGCGCGCACGATTACATCGTCTTCTAGTTCTTCGCGATATTTTTTTACGGCTGCCTGAAAGTCTGCTAGAGAACGGCGATGACTCGCTTCGGCAACCGCACGCATCGCGTCTAAATCTCGTCCAGCGTATTTAACAGCTAATTTTCCGGACATAATAGACTGAACATCTTCCGGTGTGCGTAACATAATTTTTGACAATAACATATATTTTAAAGCTGTTAAAGCCTTTGGACTTTCGACGCTGTCGTAGCTGCAAAAAAATAAATTAATCGATGAATTAGATATACGTATAGATTAAATTGGCTGAAAATGTAATCGATTCAATAAGGCAATATATACCCCTCAAATGCCTCGTAAAAATAAGAATATGCAGTTTTAAAATCTCGCTCATCCGCAGCATGTAAAATGCCAGATTGTAAATCCAAAGCAGCTTGCATTTTAGGAGGACAATAAATTGCATTAGCAGTTGTTCTAGCGCTGGTAAGAGCTGCTCTTGCTTTGGCTAAATTACTTAACGCGTGATAAGTTTTACTTTCCAGTAATTGAACTTCCACTAAGAGTTGCTTGTCATCCAGCTTCTTAAGCTCTTTCAGCAATGCTGATCCTAACTGTAAAGCTTCACTATACATACCAGTATCGAAATATAATGCTATTAAACGTGCTTCTAACGATTGCCTTAAAAATGTTCTATGTTCTTCCTTTGCCCACTCTATACATTCTTTGCACAACTGAACCTATATAAATGATGAAGAATTAAATTAAACTAATTACTGAGATCTAAAGGAATGTATTTATACCGATACCTCAATGCCAATACCAGCCTCCAGATCCAAGAAAAAGTCTACCAATGATCGTACAAGTTTGGCAGCTTTGGCTTTGCTAATCAAACTTAGAAATGGTCTAGTAGCTTTAATCAATTCCGCTAATTCTTTAGCTTTTCCTTCTTTCTTGTAAAGTTCACCAAGATGTAAAATACCCTGTTCCTTCACACGAATGTTATCCTCGTCATCTTCGGTAACACCGATACTTGGATCAGACACGATTTCATTTAAAAGTGAAATGCCCTCGCTACGATTTGTCATCGAGACTGCTTGTGCTCTTTCGAACAACATTGCTCCAGCCATTTCAGAAACCTTCACTCTCGGAAAATGAATATTAAAAGTCTGGTAACCTCTATTTCTCTTTAAAACTGGTAAAAAGTTTCAGACTTTGGACAAATGATCAGGTTTTTAAGAAAATTTTAACGTTCTATTGAAAGTCAATAATAATTTAGTTTAATACATTAGACGTTATATGCGCTTAAACGCATAGATTTTATCAAATTCGATTCAAGTTTTCTGTTTTGTCACTTTCTTCGCTTGATCCTCGGAACTACAAAACACATGTCACGCTACTACGTAAATCGAATCAACTATTCTAAATTCCAAAGCATTTATCATTTAATTCATTTTTAAATATCGTTTGTTACTACCCTATTCTAATACACGTAGATTTTAATGATTTACTGTCATATTATGTAGAAAGAATGTATTTTTCGATGAATGTTTGTTTTTCGTAGTCTCTATCATGAGTAAGCAAATAAGAGGAAGAGTATAAGGGCGGGAGGAAGGGAGAAAGAAATAAAAAGGGCAATAATTGAACGTTGAACGTTCGAGATACAACGTTTGTATCTGTATTATTTATATTTATATACTTACTTATGTACCATGGTTATATCAAGAAATAACATGTTATTTATGACTATTTTTACTAATTATTTGTACATATACATACATGAAAACATCATTGTATGATGACCTTTTGTAATCAAAGTATTTATAGTATATATGTATATATTGATTCAAGTTTATTTCAATTATTATGTTACTATTAACTATTAACCACTTAATATGGTGATAACAATTCTTCTAAAATAGAATTTTATTTTTTATTACAACTGAACTTAGTACCATTATCATATGCATTGTTGGAAACTTTATTAAAAAAGATGTGGAAACATCCAGTAATGGTGAAGGGTATCATCAATCGGACATTCTCTAAGTCAATGTATCGTAAACGTAAGTTGAAATTCACATAAATAGGTATAATGCAACTGAATTCTTTTTATTTAAGAGAAATTGATCGTTTGCGTGAAATGAAACAAAATATTTTATAGGTAACAAAACCAAATCCAGTTTGCCTTTTCAAATGGCCTTATATATAAATCTTTGGTTATTTCCAGTGTGGCTACTGATTGTTATTACAAACTTGGATGTTAAAGTAAATACATGAATTATTTTTAAAAGTTATCTAAAAGTTATTTGTACTTTTATTAATTTGATTTAATGATTTTACAGTATGATAGATTAACAAATATTTATAAATTAATAGGTCTAATGGTATTTTTAATATTGTTAATATCAGAAATTCTAAAGTTATATTTGGGATACATTGGAAATCTTGCTGGAAAGGTAATTTTATTTTATATTTATAATTTACTATTAATTATTAATATATACAATAGATGTTTGGTATGGAAGAGAGTTTTTGTTAGATTCCAGAATTGGCTAGTTGTTGGTTCATTTCACTACTGATACAACTTCCTTTGGAAATGTTTCTTCTTCTTGACCATGAGCTGTTACCACAGTATAGTGAAACAATCATAAATTGTGTTATGGTTTTTCTTCTTGTTGTTGAAATTTTTACTGGTATAATTGCTCTTAAAAATTTAGCAGATTATCGTGCTAAAACATTTTATTTGATGCAACTGTATAATGGATATACGTGTAACAAATATGAATTTAAACATAAGTAACTTTACTATTGTTTTTTCTCCTAATTAACTTTAAGGATTTTAAAGTTATTATTAAAATTATAAATTTAATAAAATCTAATAAAATTTAGTATTTTAAAATATAACAAAATTATTATTATTTGGTATTTATCAAGAATCCTCAAGCAGTATTATCAAAGTTTTATACTATAGCACGTTTCCGATCAAATGTTTGAGGTAAATAATATGGTCTATATGTGTGTAGTTGATACTGACACTGATACTACGTATGTACATATATAGTATGTAATATACTTACAGTGTTTCATGTATAGTACATTAAATATGTTCTATACTATATTTTCTAAATTATGTGTTTTGTAAAATGACTGTATTACCGAAACGTTGCGTCGCAAATGGATCAAATAGATTTCCATATCGTTAATAACAATACCATTTTTGTTGTCAGCTTGTTCGTTGGCAAGTACCCGTAAAAGTTGGGAACGAGTAGGAACCATACGCGAAAGTAGCTATTAAAAAAAAAAGAAAAAAAGAAAAAAAGAAAAAAAAGGTTAGAGATTTGATTAAATAATTAAGATATTGTTTAGCGAATTCTGTATGAGTAGAAAGTATAAGTATCGCCCATATTTTGTCTGACTGTCAGTATACATATGTATTTATAAATTGTTTACTGTTTACTTCTTTCAAATGTGATTAGAAAATATTTTTATATTACGAACTTACATCAAAAAGTTGTTGTGCCATCCATCCATGGTATGGTTCTAGGGCTTCTTTGTAAGACTTTTTTAGAAATGCTACTAAATCTTCCGTTGGTGTTCCTGTTTTAGCATCTTGAACAATTTTTTCAAAAAATAATAAAAACATGTGTAATCCTCTGTAATAAAAATTTGTAAATTAAGTCGAATCGAATGAAATCGAATCGAGTTGAACCGAATTGTATTATGTAAGTATACTATGTACATACATGTACTTATGTATATAGATTGTATATGAAACCAAAGCAAGAAGAAAAATGGAAAAATGGCAGAACGGAAAAAGATGGAAGAGGTAAAGAGCGGTATATACATATACCGCAGTTCACAAGAGTCCATAACTGCGAAAAGACCAGTTTTCGTTCTTTCGTGCGCATCTTCGCCCTGATTGGCGATACTCTCAAACAAAGTGGAAAGCGATTAGCAGAGAGCTCTCTGCGTTCTCCCACCATCTTCCAACCTGCGCGTCGCAGTTATGGACTCTGGTGAACTATACATAGGATACGTACCGAGTTAACCACATTAAAGCATCCGTAGCAATGAAATTGGTGGCTGTTTCGGTAGCTATTTCAATTAGAATCATGTCTTGTAGGGTTGTATTTTTTTCTTTGTTTGTTGCGTATCTTGTAGCGAGTTTCTAGAAAGTAAATTAAAATGTATCAGTTAGCAGAAATAATAGATCAACTGTTTAAATACTTACGTCGATGTTACCCTGAATATCATATTTAACCGGAGCAAAAACTTTGCCAAGTTTATCTGAAAATATTTTTCGTTTGTATTGCCTGTTTGTATAGGTTATTGTGAAGTAAATGCGAATTTACACACATAATAGGTACGTACCTACAATTCGCACAATACCACGTGCCGCGAATAAAAATTCGAGGGTCTTTATCTTGTCATCGATGATTTCTGGGAACAAAAGTTTCATTTCACTTTCTAGCATACCTTTGTTATTTTCATTGCTCAAGGTAGGAGACAGCATAATTCTGCACTAAGAAATTTAAGTAATTTTAATTACACTCAAGAAATAACATACAGCCAAGATGCTGAAGCTTCAGTAACTGTTGAAAGTTTTTTCTCGATGTTGTCTGTCGATATGTTTTATAAAACAATATCAAATGGTACATACATATATGTACATACATATACATACATACAGATGTATATGTGATTGGACGCGATAATAGTGAATGATGTAATGTTACGATATGCTAGATAACCTGTGAACATATATCTATATATTTATTGTCTGTTGTTTTATTTTTTGAACAATTAGATATGATATAAAATGAATATTGTGTTTCGTAATTTAATGAGGAGAATGATGAGATCGATGATCGTAACGAAAATAACAGTGGATGTAATATCATTTTCGTTTTAATACAAATATTAGAGGTATATTTTGATTACTGTGTCCCTTTAACTGGCACTAGTCGGTTTTTCATTTTTATTAAGGTTTTCTTAAATATTAATAATACTACTACTGTAAGATGCTAATCGGTATCCTATAATACTTATTTTTATGTTTATTAGTTTCTTGTACTTTCAGCTATTTTTATTTATTTATTTATTATTATTATTATTATTATCATCATCATCATCATCATCATCATTGTCATCATGTACGACAAGGCATCCTAGTTTTCGTACAGTATGTCGAAAATTAACGTGTTTACCGATTGAAATTACATAATTGTATAGTTATTAAACTGTACATGGTTTTATAATTTTTGTTTTGTCACGTTGCAGTTGCAATTATTAATACATAATAGTTAATACTTTAGTTTAGTTTTTACCTCATAAGATTGCAAGCGGAACTATATTTACAAAAGGTACTACAGTAATTATTATTAAAATATACGATTAACGGCGTCGTATAAAATTCCTATACAGTTGCAACGTTTTACCAATATGCATGAAAAATGGATGTAAGGCATATATGTATATATATATATATATCATACACTCTTACACTTATATGTATTTTATCATCACTGTTGCATTTTTGTTCATTCACTCCGGTATGTTAGCATTAGAAACGACTAACTTAGAATCCAATACTTTTAGGGTTTAGTAATGAAAGTTCTACTAGAATAGTTTTGGCGAGAGCTGATCAAATTTGAGCTATTTATGTTCGCGAGTGTAACGCATTTAACAGAATAACTTAACGGTATTAGTGATATATCGACAGTTAAAGAAAGAATATACGTTAATGCTTGAAGCGTTAAAGATGGTAATAAAAAATGTTGGCAAAATTTCAAGGATCGTGATGAATATTTAAAATGCTGTTGGAAGAGGATGTTTGAGTACGTTGCCAGTTGAATCTTCAGCGACGAGAGTTAAAGCAGCGATACAGTGGGGTGGAGTCGGTGGGACTAATGCTTCCAAGGGTGGACGAGAACCTGGAAATTGTCGGGAACCAACTACCATTCCACCCGATGTTTCCCTGAGTTCTATTACTCGTACTCCGAAACGCGATCTTACCACGTTCCTGTGATAATAAAAATATTATTGTTTTACGATTAACACAACATGTGAAGATATGAAGATGGGAGAAAAGAGAAAAAAAAAAGCGGATTAATCGATCAAGTTATAGAGAAATATTAGTCGTAGAATATTTTTCTCCGGAAGCTAATATGAGAGAAGCAGGTTTGTAAAATTTGTTTTACGATTTACCTTTTCCCATCGTATTCAATGTCATGAAAAGGCCGAGTAAAAATGTTGTCCGTCTGGTTGTTGAACCATCGGTGATAGGCAAGAAAGGCGGCGCAAGAAGGTGTCCAAAAGGTTCGATCTATTTCTAAATAGCTGGCCGTTTGTTCGAGTGTAGGTTGTAAGAGACTGTTGGAGAAGGATCTGTTGAGTTCTGGGCTAGCGGGCGCGGATAATCGTCCAAGCGGGCGTGGTGGACTTTGAGAAGAATAAGAAGAAGAGGAAGGTCGAGATGTTTCAGAATGTAGACGACTTCTTCGAGGAGCGTTTAAAAGAGCAAAGGATTCTTGTACGGTAACGGTGACGCTGAGCGGTCTGGTCAATGCGATCGTAGTGTGCTGAGGATCTCGTCGCACAACGGGATTACGATTACAATCGATTCCAGCAGCCCCGACAAACACACGATCGACGTAATCGAATCCGCGGCCCATTATGCCCTCGCGAGTATGGCCAAGATCAAACGTGTGACCCAATTCGTGGAGAACCGAGCCAAGAGTGGTAGCGAGGCATCCGCCGTGCGTACCACGATAATTACTGTCGTCCATCAATTGTTCCGTATCGACGATGGTTGCGTCAAGGAATCTAGGCAATATCTGAGCCATACAGGTGGGCCAGGTGTGCAGACAGGCCGAGCCGAACAATGCTAATCCTCCACCGCCGAGCGCGACATGGCCTTGCGTCCTGGCAAGGGTGTCCTCGTGAGTGCGTGGATTCGGTGCGCCACGATATCTCGTGCAAGACAGAAATGCGAGGTATTTCCGATCTTTCGACGCTAGAGGACCGGTCATTAATTCTCGAGCGATCAATTCCCAAAGTCCTCGTTGATTCATAGCGCGTGCTCGATCAACATTGAGCGTACTATGCATTACCAGACACTCGGCTCCATCCAAATCTCGTTCCAATTGAAACGTTTTCCTTCCGTACCCTGCTTCTCGTAATTTTTCGGCGGTCAGAGTTTGCAACAGTCGAGCACCTAGACCTATTCTTGTCGCGGCACTTTCCGGCGACCGATCCTCACTCCGTGGACCCTGGAAATATCCATCGTGGCCAGAACAGATCACGTAAACGGGTGTTACGCGTAATCGCGTAGTTCTCGGTTCGTGGATCAAAAAGAGCGTCTTTTTCTGGCCGGCTGCGTCAAATTCCAATTTATTTCGACCCCGCATTAATTCTACTACGGCACGAAATTCACCAGCAACGATTGGCCATTCGGAACTTTGCCTTTTTTGATTTCGTACGCTGACGAAGGTGCATGCGCTCGGCGCACGACCTCGTATAAGAGCTAAACTGTAACATAAATTTTCTCCATCCACTAAATTCGTTACGAATATTTCTTGGGGGTTTCCATTTTCGATAGATGTGCATCGTCGCTCCGTTCGTTCTTTCGGTAATGGCCTATTGTTCTCGTATCGACATCTACTTTGATACTGTTGCCGTTGATATTCTCGCTCTTCTCGTTCATCTCGGCGTTCTTGCTGTTGCTGTTGCCGTTGTTCCTGTTGTTCCTGCCGCTCCTGCCGCTGCTGCTGCTGCTGCTGCTGCTGCTGCTGCTGTTGGTCTCGAAGTAGATTTGTCAAATTTGTATCTGCAAGTACCTGAAAAATGTTGTTTCTGTTTATGATAATAGAGTTGTTTTTATTTTTGAAAGTAACGATTAGACAAAGGTACATATAGTGAGGATGATGATATAATATCTAGAAGATGGATAAGGATAAGAAGGACGATGGTGGCGATACCAACGTAGACTGGTAATAATAAATTTGTTTAGTTTGCAAAGAACTGTTGAAGGAAAGGAGGTTTTACTTTGACATCGTTGTATCTTTAATGTTGTTGGTAGTACAAGAGGTAGCAATAAGTAGCGGTCCTAGGAAAATGCAATAGTATCGGTATAAAGCGGTGTAGTGTGCAGTTCCAGCAGGTGCTGCTATCTTGCAGTCATTCGACGAATGTTGGAGTGAAATTGTCTGGAAAGTTTGCTTCCTTTCCACCGCGGATTAGTTGCTTTCCCGACCGCACAAACGTGTAACACGATTAATTGATTTGCCTTGATATATTGATGAAAAAATTCGTGAAACTTTCACGAGTAATCCATTAAAATAGATTATTGGCTGTTGAGAATAAGATGTTTTTTAATTCGAGACAAGTTTGTACCGTATAAAACGCGTAGAGTTTTGTATCGACGGGACGAGATGTCGATAAGCGATGATTCGAATCCGCATTGGACGGTCAAGGATGCGCTTACATCGAAACAAGTACTTACTTACTTACGTATACAAGCAGACAGATTAGCGATTTTCTATTCACTTGAATTTTGATGACTTACCATTTTCTAAGAGTGTAGATGCCACAAGCGGTAGATGTACTACTAGACGCTTTAAAAGAGAAGGAAGAAAGGAACGAGTTGAGCCGAACTATGCTTCAGCTGACTTCAGCCGGCTCCGTACATACGGAGAGAGAGAGAGAGACTGTGGCGCCGGGACGACGGTAGACGGCGCGGCGGGTTGCGGTACTACGGCGTCGCTGCAGCGGCGCATGGCGCATGCAGTCGCGCACCCGCACTTGCGTTTCACGGCTTTCTTTCTTTCTTATCTTCTTATTCTTTCTGCTCTCTCTTTCACCCTTTACGACTCTACGATCTATACTCCCCTCGTGTTATTTTCTATTTGAATATTTTTAAAACTGCATAAGATCGCAAAATTGCCTGGTCAGTTATTAAATTGGAAGACTCAAATTATATGTAGTTGTAATTATCCGACAAGGGGTGTCGAATCCCTCGGTCTATCTTGAAATAATCAACTCGCAATTCGATTGTTTTTTTCCTGTATGACAGGAATACCCTACAAGTACTTACTTACTTGCATTGTATAATATTATCCGAATTATCCGAATTATCCGAATTTGTATATATTGTATATATTGTATATATTGTATATATGTATATATATACATATGTAGATATTTGTTACCGAACGAAAAAAAGTCTATCGCTGACAGTCTTAATGACCTACTTCCTTTACGAAGGTTATTCGAGAAACGGTTTGCATTTCTAACAGTTTCGAATCTATTACAACGATTTGCGTTTCATAGCTTACGTTCGTTTTGTCGTGAATGATTCGTACTAATGAAATACATGTTAGTTGTAAAGAGCAGTGACGTTTTGAAAATGAGTAACGAGCGTTCGAGAAATTGGTCGTGTTTCACAGCGTGATACTAATTCGAGCAACGCCACTTACCTATCTAATTGTAAGAATAATGATTATCGTTTCCATGATGGTGTAGTCCATGAAGGTTACAGGCTTTGGAAAACTTTGGAAATGCTTTGAAATGCGAATTTTTGAGGAAATTATTGCACGAACCCGAATTAATCGATTCGAGTACTCTTTGTTATTGTGTACTTTGTCGGTGCATTCGTAGCATTCGTAGCATTCGTAGCATTAGCAGAAATATGTAGAGAAAAAAAAGGGTTACTTTATGACATAAGCGCGCATATCATATAGTCGAGTTGCGTTACCGGACTACATCCGAAGCCTCAATTGGAAAGGAAGAAAAGTAGCGTATTAATAGCGTATCATAGCGTATAATATCATAGACAGACGATACACATAGGTATGTACATATGTATGTAGGTACTAACGCAAAATATAGACGTTAAGTTTCGTTGCCGTGGGGTTAGCGACCGTGAAAGTGCTCCCATGTAAAAGTAGAACGACAGTTTTTCAAAATCGTTGCGACGATTGCGTGCGCCCACAACTGACCTACTTGACGGCCGGTCGTTGCACCGCGTCTCGGTTTCCTCGATCGTCCTGGACGATCAAAGGGTCGTTTGATCGTTTGGTCGTCCTCGAACGAAACACAGTTGAGGTGCGAAAGACAGCCATAGGAGGAGAAGTAACGTGTAGAATATTTTTTATGAATAAATTACTTTCTCGTTCAAGTGTATACTTTAAACAGGCCAACTGTACGTTTCGCCATGAAAATTTTATAATCAGAACGTAATAATCTGTTTTCTGCTTCATTTACGGGGTAGAATTAGTTTTGTCGACGATATCGACGATATCGACGATGTAAAGGGCGGAAAAACGGAAGGATCGAACTGGCAATAGATCGAGCTCGGGAATTGATAGTAGGTAATCGAAGAAGTGGATCGTATTTGTGTTTACACTGAGGTTTAGCGGGAATTTTTTGAAATGGCGGATGGGTGTTTGCGTGCTTATCCACCCGCCTACCTACTCGATCGGTTACCTACCTATACGATCGCGTGCTATTTGTATGTGTTGCGCGTGCCTTTCAGATTTCGAGCCGGGAACGAACGATCAAGAAACGAACGACTTTTCCCACTGAAAACTAGGTCGTACCGAAAAGCGAGGCTTCGTTCGTTATCGTCGCAATCGCGTCGTATAAAATTCGATAGTTTTCTCGTTGCAATCCTTCGGAGAACGTTTCTTTCACTGACTATGTACATAATGAATTGAAATCATTTGCTCCATATTAATTCCTACTTTACGCGTTGTATCGTTCTACACCGTACGGTAGTTTCTTCTGGACTATCGATGCTTGTCTCTTGCTGTTTTTTCTTTTGCCTTCTCTTGCCTTTTTAATTAACCCTTTTTCTGTTCTGTTTCTTTTTCTTTTTCTTTTTGTTTATTGTTATCAACGCTAGACCGTGTTACATCGTATGCGCGATGTATCCGTATAGGTAATATATTATATAGAGTTGAAATTCAATCGAGTTTCGAAATTGTCCACAATTATAGCGGTATGCCGCGACGGACGGAGAAGGGATACCGTCTAACGATAAGACGAAAAGATACGAAAGAAAGCGAGACTAGGAAGGTAAGCCGGGGAGAACGAACCACACCGGAGAGAGTAGGCCAATGCCAGTGTCAGCGACATGGCTAGTAAGTGTCTGACGGTAAACCTGATCGTGAAAACGGAGAAACAAGTTGCACCGATTACATTTGTCTATCCGTGATTGCTTTCGATAGAATTTTCTTTCTTTTCCTTTCTTTTCCTTTCTTTTCTTTTCTTTTCCTTTCTTTCTTTCTTTTCTTTCGTAATGCTTGTTAGGAGAAGCGGTTAAAGCTGATCGATTGAAAATTCTACGTTTTTCCAGTTACCTAAACGTCGAAGCTTACTTGTTCTTTTTATTTCTTCGTCATCGTTTTTATTTGGTTTGTCATCAAGAGTAATGCAGAAACCGATCGATGAACGATGGCGCGCAATGACGCCCGACGCGACGCGACGCGACGCGACGATACAGGATTATGTGGATCATTGCCGTTCGCGGTGGGTAATAAATATGCAACAACGAAATCGTAGGATACTGAATAAAGCTAGCTTGCTCGCCAGCACGTTGAACACACACATTTAATACGAGCCGAGTAATATCTAACAAGTACTTACTCGGCGCTAAGTAAAAAGGGAAGAAAATCAGCTCGTATAGAGAAACGTCACGTGTGGAATTCAAGATCAAGCAGTTAGTTACACGGATTACGAAACACGAACAAATGATTTTGAAACAATTTTGCCATCGAATCGCGCGACGCATAGATACGATGAAGAAATTCGTTATTCATAACAAGACTTGGTACGATGCTAACTAAAGACGTGTTTTAATCGCGTACAATGTACAGTGTACGGCATACAGGATTCGAGAAGATAAAGTTCATTCAACTGTGATGATTGGTGGCAAGTTGGCGCGCTTCAAGGTATTCTTGCTCGTTTCTCTTGATAAATTGTTTTTACTCGATCGATCACGTATCTTTACGCGTCTTCGCGAATTAACAGAATTGTGCAAAGCAACGACGAATCTACGACGATTTGATCGAAATGAGACACGAATTCTTTCAAAAGACGCAACGACGATTTACGTAATATGTATTCCTTTAGATAACGCGAAAGCTGTATCCTATTAGCGTTAGCGCTATTTCGTCTAAAATACTTTTATTTGAAATTAATCTTGCCGACTTTTACAAATAACGTGTTTCTACGTTATGTAACCGTGTAAGCTGACATCTTAACGTTACTAACGTTTATCTTTTTTACGAGTACGCGCTCCTTTTTGACGATAGTTTTCTCTTTTCATACTTAAACCTTAGCAGAAGAAAGCGATTACCGTCGATCAGGAAAAGGAAAACATATCTTAACCTAGACTCAATCTAAATAAAAAAGAATGAGAAGTAGATACGCAGAGGGGCAGGGAGGAGAGGAGAGAAAGAGAGAAAGAGAGAAAGAGAGATGGATCAGGAAGGAAAATGCCGCTGCGATCATTCATCGATTGACCAATAAGTTATTCGACCAAAAATTTCCAGTCACGTTGTCTCTAAATAGCCAGCCTGTGTTTCACTTTCGGCGCCTGATGAGTAAAATTCATTCGAGTACTCGGGACGACAGCAGCGATGATGGTGTGTTCGTGTCGTGTCAAGGACAACGCGTCTATCGTCGGCTACTTTCCTGAGAGCCAAGAAAATCTCCGCTTCTGAGACGTATATGAATACGATCGCGCGTCGCGCCGCGTCGCGCCGCGCCGCGCCGCGCCCTGCAGGACGCGATTGTTGTATATGTACCTAGAAATGTCCTGGTTCTCTTCATCTTTCATTTCCTCCAACTTTTCATTCTTCTCCACTGATTTAGATATTTCAGCCCAGAATCTACCCCAGAAATCAGTCGTTGTAGACCTATCGTTGTAGGCGCGTTGATCGCTGACATCCAAACGTTAAATCGAATTTGAAAGGATAGGACAGGGATGAGGTGTTTGTGTGTGTATGAAAGATGTGCAAGAGAGAAAGAGAGAAGAACAAAAGAGGGGAAGTGTATTGGGTGAGATAACGAGTAACGATCTTGCGGAATTAGGCCGACGGGGTCTGTCGCCGATGTCCTTGACATGCTGAAAGTGAGACCCAGTCCGTGCGTGCTGACTTTAATATGTTACGCAATCGGTCGTAGGTGTATCATCGCGAGCGTCAAAATTCGCATCAGCATCGGTACCGGTCACCGCGGTTCGGTAGGGTTTAGCAGGGTAGCGGCGCCGCGACGACGTTCGGTTGCTATCGCGTATCTCGCGAATTTCTTATTTCTTTTCAGGTTTTTCCTTTCTTTGCTTCTATTCTCTTCTGCTTTCTTTTTTCGCATCAATACGCAAACAAATTCGCATTTGTCTAATATCAAATATGTATTTCAAGCGAATAAAAGAAAAGTCGGAGCAAACATTTTACAAATACATCAAAGTAAGAATTTCCGTTCAATTTATTTACACCTACTTTAATATTTAGTATAGATACTTGAAATGCGTGTTTAAAAACGATAGTATTAGAATTCTTTGACAAATTCTGATCTGCAATGTAATTGTTTGGCTATATGCCTGTGTTTTTTCGGGATACGAAGAAGATGATGCGGTGCCGATGCAGACTATCTAGTCGCTCGATACGTAGGCGCCAGGCGTCTTGACGCACGTATCGCGGCCATTATCACCCTCTCATATATGCTGCATATCAGTTAACTCGGAGCTACCAGTGCAAATAGTGCACCCTGTATGCCGCTAAAATTGCCGATATCGCGGGTAATTATATAATTATGTAAATGAAAACGAAAACGAAAACGAAAACGAAAACGAGAAAGAGGTAAATATTCGACTTTTCGGTAAATTGGTAAAAGTTGATTTGAATGGTCAAGGTCACATATCTACCCCTACAACATACCAACATACCTACATAAATATACATAAAATATACACATGCACATGAAAAATAGAAATAACTTCTGTATACTTTCCTTTCCATGTAGTACATGAGATATGTATTTAGTATTTACACACGTGACAAACGAAAGCGTTACGTATTGCGCTACAAAGAATTCTCGCAACACCTTCTATGAACAGGTTTAATGTCCGTTTTTAAAATAGTTCCTCGGTTCGAGGTACGAATTACGACCAACAAAATTTACCATGTAAATTACGAAAAAGCCCGGAGGGCGTGAAAGCGAACTCTCTACAGATGCAAAGCAGTTGGTTAGATTTTTGGTAGAAGCTGAATTTTTAGTAATTGAATTGCGAATCGTTCACCAAATTGGGGAAAACAACGAATGATCCTCTCTCCCTTTTTGTCGTAATAAGGTGTAAACTCGCGGTTGTCATTTCGGTATCTCGCTCCTTTAAGACGGCGTAAACCGTTAAGACGGCTAAATGACCGACAAGACAAGTAGCAGTTGGTCGAAATGGAAATCGTTCCTTGAATTCGTGTTATCTCGAACCAAGAGATGGAGTAGATGGAAAGGGTAATCAATCGTGATAACGTGACACGCAAAACTTCCGCGTTTATGTAGTGCAAACAACGCAACGCGACGCGACGCGACGCGACGCGACGCGACGCAACGCGACGCTTCGAACTACTACACTTGGGGAAAGGGAAAGTGGTTTGTCGAGGTTGTGATCGTTGGATGTAAGTAAGTAAGTAAGTAAGTAAGTACTTACGTATAGTCGTATAGTACGTATAGTCTGGTGTTTCATCCCTTATTGCATTTGTCATGATGAGTTGTCCAATCTGTCTTGAAAATTTCTTTCGAACAGAAATAGACAGTAACATTTCGGAATTATTTCGAATACTTCCTTTTCTTTCGGAAGGGGACATGGAACGTGTGATTGTTGATAAAAATGGAAAATGTGTGTTTGATTCGGTAGAAAGAAAGCCTAGCGATAAATCGAACAACACTCTAAACTGATGAATGCACTATGAAATTATTTGTTTCACAGAGAATTCGAGCGAACGAGCAAAGAAATGTACGAATAAACGAACGAAAGAATAGTGAATTGTATTATGTATTTCGTTTACATCCCAAGTTTTTCTTATTAATTCATAAGAAAAACTAAACAACGTTTCCCTATAATAGATTTAATTGGTGGTTCTTTAACGATCGATTCAAGATCACGTTCGTGTCGTTACCAATGATCAGACAGAAGATCTTAGTGTTACTAGACGCAAAATAATTATTCGTTTGAAGGGTGTAGTAATGAAGGGTATAATCACAGAATCAACAAAAATGAACAAATAATAATATTCTTCGACTTCCGAGCAGTAGAACGATCCGTAAAATTGTTTCGAAAATGATTAAAATGTTCTTGCTCGTCGTAAGAAGCATGTTTGAATAGGTATATGTAGGTATGGATTGTCTACCGATTAACCGCTGACCGATTCTCTTCGGTCACGAATAAGCAATAAGGGTTAGCAATAGTTTTGAGTTCAGTATTGTGAGGCCAAGTCAAAATCTGTGAAGCGTATCAATGGTCTGGGTTTTGCGTGAGCTGTACATGGATAATTGTATTTACGAATGCAACAAGGTTTCCATTCGGTCGGCCGAGATAATGCAGAAGTTACAAAAATACGTGGAGACCTTGCTGGACAAGGTGTGCAAGAGTACGCTGCCGTTGTATCGGTTTCGGTGCTGCTTTGGTCGATGCTGCATCCAAAGCAGCAGCCTCCCACCTGCCACTGATTCGACATTAACGTAAGTTTTTCGCTTGTTGATGCAATGGCGAAGAGGTTTTGGTCAGAATGTAGCCAGTACCAACCGGGCCGTTTACGCGATTCGCGTCAACTAAAACATATATGTACATGTGTAGTACGATCAATATAATATTAAATTAACCGTTCTTCTCTCTTTCCTTACGTTCTCCATATTATGCTTATGGATTCTATTACCTTTTTATTTAGTGTGTAAGATTAGAAGGGGTTAGGTGATGCGTTTATCGACCATGCTTAACGAAACTTACATTACACTCTATTTCGTTCTCTTTTAATATCATTTTTTTATCCTTCACGCACGATTTACACAAATTTTCCGTTTTTATGGTAAATTACGAATAAACGCGATATCATTGAACTGTACAATTTTTAATTAACGAATCGTTTGTTTTTTGACATCGTAATGAGTCATTTTTTTTTTTTTTTTTTTAAATAAATTACGATCAAAGATCGATATCTTCTCTTTCCACTCTCGCTTTCTTTTACTGATATAATCGAAGAGTAAAATGAAAGAGGGCATTTTGTATTTCGTGAAACGAACAGCCGAAACAGGCATTAGCAATGGCAGTGAGTCGAAAAAACGTTACGTAAAGGCAAAGCAATGAATTTCGAAAGCATATAGGTGGGATTGCGTTGATGCGTGCGTGCGTTGCGTTGCGTTGCGTTGCGTTGCGTTGCGTTTTGTTGCGTTTTGTGCGTATGTGTGCGTCGCGTAATTACGCGTAGGGGCGAAAGCCACGTTTCAAAAAATAAGATAGGATTCCTATAGACATATAGAGATGTTTTGATTTTCGAGATGACAAGAGTAGAAATTCGAACTTCGGACGAGGAGCGTTGCTCGTGATTCGTGGTTCAAGAGTCGACTCTGTGTACGCCATACTCTTGAAATGAGGTTATAACCAAGGTTACCAAACGGAGACTACCTAAATACCCAGATACATACGATTATGGCCATCCACTTCTCTTTGATCGAACATATTTATTTGACGGGGTGCTTGACGATCCCTCGAAACTGCACGTCGGAACGCGAATTAAATGTCTGAGATATACATATATAGCAGGTAAAATGCAGCGAATAGCAAATAGTGAAAATTAAATTTCAAGCCTTTTCACCTTTAGTGTTAATGTTTTCATCAAGAAAATGTTCGAGATTAAAGAGGATTGCAAGGTGGTAGTTGGTCAGGATTATACATGTATGTACAGCATGTAACTCGTCCCTGGAATTATTAAGTGACAACAAGAATATCCCGTTTCTATTTATTTATCTAAAGTAGCCTAGGTAACCCAGGCAATTGTGCGGAGATGTGGGCAATTATGGGAGCAGAAAAAGGTGAAAAAATTATCCATTCACTTCTCCTACCCTTGAGAGTTAAATAAAATCAGAAAAGACGAAACGAGGGATTATGATCTGTGCTTCTACTTATTTACACTGAAAGTGACAGTGATTCTATATCTGTCGCCATGATGACGTAACGACGATTGGCTTGTCAGGGTCGTCGGACATCGTGTTACTCTCGTACAGAAGTCGATCGCATCGAAGAGGGCGGCCGATTGTTTTGTTAATTAAAAAGGAACGAATTTTGAGAAATGTTGATAGGAAGGAAAGACGATTCTGTTTTTCTGTCGATCGTCGCGACGCGACGCGACGCGACGCGTTGACGGTCGGGAACAGAGGTGTTCTTTTTCACCCGAGACACTACCGTAGCATTAATTTTTAGCTCAGGAATTTAAAGCGATCAGGGAAGAAAGGGCAGGGCAGGATAGGACAAGACAAGTAATCTCGTATTCAGCTGACCAAGATTCGCGTTCGTATTCACGGAACGCGAGGACGCATCGATGGTGTCTTTCGGCGAGGGTGTTGAACGGCGCGGCGCAGACGGAAAGACAGAGTATTTTTGCGCGTTTCCTATTCGCTTCGGATTTCGTTTGCTCACCGCGCCAACTCTTCTTCTATTCCATTTCGATTCGAGTTGTTGGATATGCATCGCATATGCATATACATATGTATGTACGTATACTTGAATTAAAACAGGCAGGCACGTGGCCTCTAGGTATAGAAGAGGAAACGCGTGTTCCACCAGTATCTCTCCTCCCTCCTCTTATTTTTCTATGGAGAAACCCCCTCTTTCTTTCTTTCTTTCTTTCTTTCTTTCTTTTCCCTTTCTCTATTATGTATGTACGCGTTCGCAAGTACACACCTATTTCTCTGTTCCCTCCTTCCGTTGTTGTATTACGCGTTTCTATGTAAGTACGCACACACGATGCACGCGACATGATCTTATATGCGTGGCTGCATAAGTATTTGATACACTTGCCGTGCTCTTAGTGCGACACCGGTCAATGTCCTTTCGAAGGTTTGGATCATGCGATCCGAAAGGTAAGTAAGAGTGAGTGCGTAGTACGTGGCATACCGATCGATCGATCGATCGATCGATCGATCGATCAATGTAAACGACTGGTTACAGGAACGGGTTAATGAAGGCTTGATCGGACGACTAATCAACTTTGCTATCTCGTAACAAAGTATTCTGATAAAAAGCTAAAAACACGAAAGCGATGTAACGATTTGCGAAAACACACGTTAAAGGTAATGCGGCTTAATACGTTCCTGACTCGGAGAACACGGAGACACGAGTGACGAACGTCTCCTTGATAAATACCAACTAGCTTGTTTCCTGTTTAAGAAGTTTGCTCGTTCGCTCTTGGTCATGTATTTCCATTTTATTTCGAGTCAATCTCTATCAAATACTATTTTACAACTGACCGAATCGATAAAGAGGTTCGCGTATAAAGTTATGCAACGTTTTTCTTCTAATTTCGACTCTATTTGCATTTACAATTTGCAATTAGCCAAGTTCAAGTAGGGTCGAGGTAATGTCGGCATTTTTTATTTTCTTCGATAAGCAAATCGAGGTCTAAAATCGACTTTGAGCAGATCGTTCCGATAGAGTGTGGGACAAGAATCGAGAAATCAAGTTCCGCGACCGACTTGGACGCAAGAGAAGCCGAGCCGTTTGTCACTTTTACTGTTGTTGAGGTCAGTCGAGCATTGACCGCCCGTCGATTCGATTCGATTCGATTCGATTCGATTCGATTCGATTCGATTCCATTCGATTCGATTCGATTCAATTCACGTGTGCCCAGATTTTTTTCATATTTTGTCTGTTTATTTTAAAATCAATTTTATTGGTTCAATTTTCTTTTTCCTACCGAGTTTAGCTTTTCAACAGGACAAAACAAATAGGTACATTTGTAATAAATCGAATTTCAAACTTTCGATCGATTGGCTACGAAAATCGGCCAGCCGGAGAGGGAAGGACCAGATAGAGTGCTGTGCCTACAGCCTACTGGAACACGCTTTGTATACGGCACTTATATACCACTTTACCGGTCATTCACCTCGGCTCTCGTTCAAGCTTGAAGGTGTTAGCGTTATTTGCCTCGTTCCGCTTTGTCGTTATCATTCTAAGCGTTGATCGTTTCGATCTGATCGTGCCTGTCGATTTGTCAGATTCATGGATTCAACGGTCGGGCCTCGTCTGTTAAAGTTGCGGACGTAACGTAAACCAATGGAGCAATAAAACAATGGAGCAATCGTAGGAAGAAAAGAAACTGGTAGGAACGAAAGAAAGAAAGAAAGAAAGAAAGTCGGTAGAAAAGTGTTTGTCCTCTTTGGGTTTCATGGTTGTTGCTTACGAAACAAGCGGAACATTTTGATGAATTTTGCAACGCAACATGGACGAGCGCTTTTGTAATTCCGCAATACTCTCGATTCGATTGAGGAATACGATAAACGTACTTACATCGCATCGGTGGAACGAGTGGAGGAGCACGCTCGTGCGTATGCATAACGGCAAAGGAATGCATGCAAGGCGGACGAACGCGAATCAAGAAATTCGTAGTATCAGCGATTTGCAGGTAGAAGGACAGAGAGAATCATTAGAGTGTTCGTGTTCGTGTTCCGTTTTCGTTTTCGTTTTCGTTTTCGTTTTCGCGACCAAAGCTGCGACATCGTTTAAACGAGCCGCGTTTACATACGCGCTGGCCACCACGAGTTTTGCCCTCGTTACATAATCCTTAGAGGGATCTATTACGTTGGAAAGTGGAATCGTTCGGTTTGTCGTTTGGCTAGCCGGATAGTTATTTAGGTAGTTAGTTAGGTAGCCAGGTAGATAGTTGAAGAACTGATGAAAGATGATGAATAACATCATTCTGTTCGTCTCGTAACGACGAGAAAAGATACGTTGGGCATCTAGAGAAACGTCGTCAGATACAGAAACGAATGGTGCGGCAAACCGGTGACACGAGTACTGACGAGCATAATATCTGATTGAGAGAGGAAGAAGAGAAGCGGAGAAAAAATAAATGTTGATTCGATACGCTAGAAGAAGCTTCGAAAATTTCGGCTGCGAAAGAGGTCTCAGGTTATCGACCCGTTGGCAGTGGTCAGTGATGGTAACGGGCGAGTAGCGATCGAGCAACCAAGCACACGAGCAACCGGACAACAACCAGTTCATCCGTTCGATGCATGGTTCGGTCCTTCACCCGGCATTATACCAAGTATTACGTACTCGCACGTACCGCACGTGCTCGCAATGCATCACGTGCTTCTACCCTTGCACCCTTTCTTCCTGTTGTCGCTTCATCTTTCTTCTAATCACCCTTTTTTTCTAATCGATCGAATCGAGCAGGGAACTCGGAACTAATGCTAAGAACGTAGCGAGGAAATGCGACGCGCGGCGTCGCCTGTTTCAACGACTCCAACTACGGTATCTAACGGGTCAAACGAACCTCTCAGAGGGGCTATGCGAGAGGATTCGGGAGACGAGCCGAAAGCGGAATAACGGACAGTCAAAAACCGCCTTCTCGTACCTATTCGAGCGGAGTCAGGGTCCGTTATTAGCCGTTAGAAAGGAAACCCGCTCCAAGGTGGATTATATGCGGGCGTAGGTATCGCTAAAAACTATCCGAGACACGGACCCGTTTCTTTTATCTCGTTTTATCTTTCTTTTCTCGCGTCCCGTGTTCCGCGTTCTCCAACTTTGCTTCCATTCAATTCTCCTCTCTACTTTCGGTAACGATCTTTTCGCTACAATCGAATCAATTAACGCTAAACGATTAACTAATATCAATTTGGTTAGTATTTCGCAAGTATTGAAGACATTGAACGTACGCTAATCGATACAGTTTGAAACGTCTAATTCGCGTTTGTCTCGTAAGGTGTAAGGTTTTAGTCTTTGTAATTTGTGGTTGGATGAACTGGATCGATCGTGCTCGAACGCGAGGAGAAATCGAGGGCGCAACGAAAGAGTAATCGAATTGGAACGAAAAAGGTACGATATACGTATAGGTATAATCGAGAAAGAGAGTCGAGAAGAATCGAGCCGATCGAATTAGATCGGTCAGCTAGCAAAGCAGTCGCTCTTTGGCCAGAATCCGTCGTCTTTCTGGTATCGGGCTGCTGTTGGTATGGTTTACGCGTGGTTTGCAATGCAATTCGCGTATAAGCACATGTATTCACGCGCAATCAATGTACCTATGTGTATATGTAGTCGTGAATACATCTTGTAGTGTTGCGCGTCTCGTGCTTTACTCGCGAATACGAATGTGAACGCAAACGCGAACGCGAACGCGAACGAGAACGGGAACGCGTACGCGAACGTATATGCAAACGGGTCGTATACGGTTCGTATACCTGTCGTAGGTTCCCTGGAGGCAGTAGGTGGTTGGAATCGCGAAGAGGTAGTAAAGGAAGGAGTGGTAACACTTGGAATGTACGTAAGGTAAACGGCATCCGGGCAATGCCCTCGTATGTAAACAATCAGAAATTGCAGGCTTGATTACGCGAGCAAGTTGTTTCTCGCGTATGCACACGTTCGAAGAATCGATCACGTTTACCTGCACGCGTGCTCACTGTCCGTAACAGTTATAATAGTACGAGAATGCGAGTGCACCGCATACCAGCTCTCTCCCATTTGCGTTTCTCTCTTATCTTGTTCGCTGTTTATTATTCTGTTCACCGATTCTCTGCACTAATGAACCAATGATTTGTTGTTATTTCAAAATTAATTAAATTAATTATAAGTGGTGTACGATTAAGCTGCTGGCAAAAATCGATGCAAGACTGAGAAACAAAAGAAGAGAGAACCGGAAAGATATCAAATCCGATTTCAATAGCTGCTTAGTACATATTAACTGGTTAATTTATTATGACGAATGTGAAAATTTCATTGAATTTGTAGCGTAACGTGCAAAATTTATAAACACACATACATGTACGTAAGTGCATGTAAGAACGTACATAATTGTATACGACACAAGTATGCACGTTGAAACTTTCGGAGATCGAACGTTTACCTCGAGAAGTGAAGAGGCGTCGCGTCGCGTCGCGACGCATAACATTGTGCTTTATCAACCCTGGCCGAGTGGATTGCTGATACTGCTTATTCAATTTTGAACAAGTTCTGCGTGTCATTGATTCGGTAGCAATCGATGAGTCAGTTTCATTTCGTCACAGAATCCGAATTGCGTTACTTTACTTTATCTTTGTTTCACGATTGATAAATCGTCATACTTTTGCTTGCGAAAGAAGAAATTTTCTTCGATACGATGCATTTTATGAAAAATCGTTGCGAAGCGTTGGTCGAATGTTTGCTATTAGACTCGCGAACGGACGAATCGAATTTTGCCAAGTCTAAGCGACTCTTTACACTTAATAACAAAATCGCGTTGCAGTCAAATGATTTTGTAAATCGACCCAAACGATTCAGACTCGAGCAACAAGAGAAATTGTGAAAAAAATAGGATTGTTCAAATTATTCGTCATACTATTGCAATTATAAAACCGTTCAACGAAACGGTACTTTTTCCTCCCTCCTTTCTTTTTCTTCTTCTTTTTATTCGAAGAAGCAGAAATGAACAAGATAAAGTAAAAATATAATTGAAAACTAGCGTATAACATGTAGATAAATTTTAAGAAGAAAGTACAATCAGTTTCGTAGCAACGAGCACAGAGCGCAGAAGGGAAGGAAAACGAGCTATCGTTGCTGTTTTCAACGAAATCGAAACCTTGAACTTGACGATTGATACCGATAAGTTTAGATCGTTTTATGAGAAGAGTTACCGATTACGAGGCGAACAAACGGAGGGTGGTGTTATCGTTTATTTGGCAAAAACGACATGATTCGCAATTTACGTATGTTTGTTTGAACGCGGAAGCAGCGTACTTCGGAGGACGTTCGGCTTGGTTAGCACAAGGGATATTTCTGGTATCGTCCCTGGTGAAAACCGGACATGGTTATCGAGAAAGAATACGAACTGGGTCAATGACCGGACCGGACCGTCGAAGAACCGCGACTGCTCGCCGGACGCCGAGTCTCTGACTCTGTGTCAGCACGCGACGCTAAATGAGATTCGTTTGAATACGAAACAGCAAAGCAAATCAGCGAAACGGCGGCCAATACGACGATCTTAACGTCTGCTGTTTTATGCTATTTTATGCCATTTTCTGTCGTTTTATGCGCGTGGTTCCCACGGTATACTTTTATCCGTAAGATGCGACGCGACGCGACGCGACGCGACGCGACGCGACGAATGAACAAACAGTCGATATAGGTACATACGTACCGTTCTTAATGATCGTTACGATTCGTAATGATCGAAACAATATAGGTTTCTATTTTGTCTTTACCATATCCTTATAGTAAGTAACATACGTGGGTATCATGTTCTTATTAACCATCCGTTTGATCACAATTGTTTACGATCGGATGTAATCGATCCAACTTTTCGCGTATTTGCGTGTCGTCGCGTTTTATTGTGAAATAACGAGAAGCAGAAACAGGAGAAGAAGCAAACGGGAGGGCGAGAACGGAAGAAAGAAAAGTGCAAGACCAGGTGACCCGAAGCGAATCCTTTGCGAGTAAACCGAAGAGGCACCGTTGGGTTTGGTGATAGCGATCCCTCCTTTTCCTCTTCTCTTCTCCTCCTTCTGCTTTACCTCCTCCTCCTTTACCACCTTCACCACCTTCCCGCCCCCACTACAGGGTGACAGTTTCGAATCCCTGCAGGGGGCCCGAATCCCCCACCCGAGAAGAGTGGCGGCGGGACAGGAGACCTCGTGGTCTTGGACCAACGAGACGTAGGAACAAGGAGTCCGCCTTCGCATCCTCGACGGAAGTCGATCTACTGGCACTGTCCTGATGGAAAGACTCGTGCTGTATCCCCCACTGAGTTTCGCACCTCGCGGTATCTCGTTCGACCGACTACCGTCTTACCTGACTCCTTCCGTTCGTTCGCGATCGTCTCCTGCTCCTCTTTCTGCCGTTGCCCCACCATGTTCAGAGACTGCCGAGGGGCAATCGAGAGACGTACGGGGGACTATTTACAGCCGCTGGGGGGCCGGTACTCGATGAGTCACTATATAAGACGGGCAAGGACAAGAAGGTGTATGTTAGTATACATTCAATCTTTCCGTGGCTCGCACGATTCACGAGGTAGCGAGCGCCGGTAAATTCGGCTGCGGCTGTGACCGACTTTTTTCTTTCTTTCATTCTTTTCTTTAACTTTCCTTTCCTTTCCTCTCATCTCCTCAGCTCTCCTTCCCTTTCGCCTTCTCGATCCTTCTTAATCTTTCTTCCTTTTGCTCTTCTTTTTCCTCTTCCTCTTCCTCTTCCTCCTCCTCCTCCTCCTCCTCCTCTTCCTCTTCCTCTTCCTCTTCCTCTTCCTCTTCAACTTCCTCTTCCTCCACCCTTACGACTTTCTTCATTCATTTTCAATCTCCTGCTTTTACTTTTCTACCTTACCGAACTTAATCCATGACACGCGGCAGCATTGTATCGATCTCATCTTCCTTCCTCCACCCAGCTATTTTATTCATCTACTCGCTAACCTAAACACCCTCTGAATAAGACGACAGATACTTCTGTAGTTGTCCGTTTCGAGACTCATTTTCCTTTCGCAATCTCTCTCCCTCCGCTTTCTGTCCTCGAACCTCTCATTTGGCACCCTCGCCTGTGCGTAAATCGAAATGGCGCGATAGTGTCGAAGACGCGTAGATACGAATAATCTTCCTCTGTTCGCTACTACTTATCTTTCTTCTTTTATCTGAGTCCTTTCGATCCCGTGCAGCAGGTGACTTTATTCCATTTCCTTCATTCACTTCCATCTTTTCCTCTCGATTCTCTTGTCTCGTTTTTCCGTTCATGCGTTTCGTACGTATCTTCCTGATTCTTGCACAATCGTACAATTGCCTTCAAGGATTCTTTGACGAGCCCACCCCCTCCCCACTAGTTCTTCTCTCCTTCTCTGCTTTCCTCCATTTCGCGAGATCACATACATATACGGACGCATCACACGCATATAGACGCACACGTCCTCTCTCTCTCTCGATCTCTTTCCCTGTCTTCCTCGTTCCGCACCCCTTCTTCTCTTTTTCATCGTATATTCCCCTCCAGATTATACCCCACCAGCCCGATCGACTTTGATACTTATAGCCGCGAATTTCGGAAGCTTCGTTTCGAGTAAGAAAATCGTGTTCACAGTAGAAACGAATCGAGTTAAGGAAACTTAAATGTGCTTTTCGCCGAGGCCGGTACAGTTATCGTGATTGAAAGGGAAAGCAAGGAGAAGGGAAGAAAAGAGAAGCGTGGAAGGGAAAGGAAACGATAAAAAAAGGTGGTGAATGCTGAGAGGAAGGGATCGAGTAAAAGTTTTAAAAAAGGGGTGAGGAGAGACGCACGAGGAGAGAGGAAGAAGAAAGTAGTGTACATAGAACTTTTTATCGAAGAAATTAAGAAGATTTTTTGAAGGAGAGCGGTGAGGAAGAAAGAGCAAGAAGTAGAGAGGGCGTCTAGAAAGAAAGAAGGAAAAAATTGAAAAAAAATCGATCGAATCTGTTAATCGAAAGGGAAAGGATCGAGCGTAGAAGGCGCGTAAAGGCTAAGAGGCTAAGAAGAATAGCGCAATGTTCGTGGAACACGCGGCCCAGTGGGCCTGGAAAGCTATGGGTGGTACGAGAATCGAAGTTCTTTACACGCTTCTCGTGTTCATAGGTGTGTTGTTGGTGGCTAGATGCTTGCAATGGCTTAGGTACGTTCGTTCTTTACCTCCTGGCCCATGGGGCGTACCCGTGTTTGGTTATTTGCCATTTCTGAAAGGCGACGTTCATCTTCAGTACGGTGAACTCGCGAAAAAGTATGGGCCGATGTTCAGCGCCCGGCTGGGAACGCAACTAGTGGTTGTTCTTAGCGATCATCGCACGATTCGTGATACGTTTCGTCGGGAGGAGTTCACTGGCAGACCGCACACCGAGTTCATCAACATCTTGGGCGGATACGGTAAGTGTGGATCGTGGATCGTGCACCGTGCATCGTGCACCAGCATCGCGTCGCGCGTGTCACGCTCGCTTTCTGATAATCGCAGCCTTCTTATCTCTCAATTTGCTGTCTTTGCAACTTTTCGACTTTGCATCGTTTTTTCTCTTTCATTTTTCCTACTTTCATCTCCTTCGAAACTTTACGCACAAGCTTGCTCGCTATCAATCATTTCGTCTCCTTTTCCCGTCTTTTTACACTCTCGACTAACTAAAAGGTGCTTTATCATGACCGCGAGTCGCTTCGATCGTATCAACTCTAATGAGTTTTTCTTTCTCGTAGGTATTATCAACACCGAGGGTGCTATGTGGAAAGAACAAAGAAAATTTCTTCACGATAAACTTAGAAGCTTCGGCATGACCTATATAGGCGGTGGAAAGAAAGTAATGGAATCGAGAATCATGGTGAGCACTATGTAGAAGCAAATCTTCTTCTTTTTCTTCGTCTTCGTCTTCGTCTTCGTCTTCCTATTTTGGTTCCGTTTTACTTTTATTTTACTCTTTTATTATGTTCGAGAGCATTAACTTTCGTCAATGGTATTGAGAAGGAACTAAAGGAGCTTTCTTCTCGTTGAATTTCAGCGCGAAGTGAAGACGTTCCTTCGTGGACTGGCGTCGAAAGGGGGTAGATCGACAGACGTTTCGGCTTCTCTTGGAATGTCGATTAGCAACGTGATCTGCTCGCTCATAATGGGAGTGCGTTTCCAACACGGAGACTATAGATTCAAGAGGTTCATGGATTTGATCGAGGAAGGCTTCAAACTGTTTGGCAGCATGGCTGCGGTGAATTTTATTCCTGTGATGCGTTATTTGCCCTGTCTGCAAAAAATTCGTAACAAGATATCGGAAAATCGTGCGGAAATGGCAGACTTTTTTCAAAAAACGGTTGATCAACATCGAGCAACATTTGACGAAAGTACAGTGCGAGATTTAGTTGACGCGTACTTGCTCGAGATCGAAAAGGCGAAGGGAGAAGGCCGCGCTAGTTTGCTCTTTCAAGGAAAGAATCATGGTGAGCACTCAACATGATTGTCCTTTTCTTTTCCATCGTTCTTACGATTACGGATTATCATTATTATTATCATCATTATTATAAATTCATCGTCAGATCGACAGATGCAACAGATTCTCGGAGACCTGTTCTCTGCTGGCATGGAAACGGTTAAGACCACCTTGGAATGGGCAATAATTTTGATGCTTCATCACCCGGAAGCTGCAGCCGCGGTGCAAGAAGAGTTGGATCAAGTGGTGGGAAGGTCGAGGATGCCCGCTTTGGAGGATTTACCTTTTCTTCCTATTACCGAGGCGACGATACTGGAAGTTCTTCGACGATCGAGCGTCGTACCGTTGGGTACTACTCACGCAACTACACGGTAAGTAGATAATAAGTGTATTTTTCTTCTTCTCGAATGTGCACCCCATTTGAGTTTTTCCAATACCAATACCAATACCAATACCAATACCAATACCAATACCAATACCAATAAATTCTCTTTTTTCTCTTTCTCTTTCTCTTACTATTTTTATTTCTTTAATTTTCAAAATCTCCTCTTCAAAATCTGCGTCGAATCCTCGGATGAGATTAATGGGAATGCAAACGGCGTTATCGTTTCAGAAATGTGACGTTACACGGTTACACGATACCGGCTGGAACGCAAGTTGTCCCGTTGTTGCACGCGATACACATGGATCCAGAGCTTTGGGAGAAACCCGACGAGTTTCGACCGAGTCGGTTTCTCTCGGCCGAAGGCAAAGTCGAAAAGCCGGAATACTTTATGCCTTTCGGCGTTGGCCGACGTATGTGCTTGGGTGATGTACTGGCGCGCATGGAATTGTTCTTGTTCTTCAGCTCGCTGATGCACACGTTTGAATTGAAATCACCGCAAGGTTCATCTTTACCGAGCTTGCGCGGTAACGCTGGTGTCACTGTCACACCCGATCCTTTCAACGTTTGTTTATTACCGAGAAATCTGGACATTATCGAAGATGCGAACAACGACACGATCTTTGGTGCAATTTTACGGAATATCGGCAGTCACTGAAAAACCTGCGATTCCCTTTTACGCTCCAACGACAATCCACGGAGCACGGTAGTCGTTCCTAGTGCGACCCGATTTCATTTTCTTCTCTTCTTTATTTTTTTTTTTTTTTATTTTTTTTTGCTTTTCCTCACCCGATTCCATTCGATTTCACTCGATTCGTGGCTGTAACCTTATTCTTATTATTATTATTATTCTTATTATTCAATCCGATCCAATTAAGAATCGCTTCTTTTTCATTTCATTTTATCGCCTACATTTTTCCACACTTTTCCTATCGCTTTCCTTCGACTTGCTGATTTGCAATATTTAATTCGCAATTTGCAATTTAACGGGTGTGTACTTATTGGGCGAGTTCTCCTCGGTTCTTACACCACCTTTTATTTATTCGCGTTTAGTCACTAGTTATTTAGGAAAGGTATGTTATACGTTATACGTTCAAACCTGAAGAATTTCGAGCCTGACGAGCTTAATGAGCCATGTCGATCCAATGTTTGTACTATACAATTTACAAAGGCGTTTTGCAACAACGTTACCTTTTGTCGTTAAAATTGTTATCGTGACGTTGTCTCAGACGCGATAAGAGACAAAAGACTTGTAAATAGAGAAACGGCAGCAACACAACTGGTGTAACTGGTGTAACAGTGCTATAGTTGAAAATATAGTAGTAATAGCGATAGTAGTAAAAGCGATATAGCGATAATAATATTAGTAATATAGCGATAATATGAAGCAACAACGATAGCGCATCGATAAGAGAATCAGTAACAGCTATAACATTGGCACGTAATATGTAGTAAGAAAGAGGAGAAAGAAAAAGAAAAGTAAAAGTAAAGTAAAGTAAAGTAAAGTAAAGCAAAGGAAAGGAAAAGAAAGAAATGGAAAGGAAACAAGTGCGCGCAACAAAGTGTTCAGTGTGCACAGATTGTCCAAGTACCTAATACATATAATAGGTTTAGGGTGTAAAGCGTAGAGGGGATAGTGGCGGTCGACGAGAGCGCGAGGTTGCCTTCGTCTCTGAATTCTCTTTTTCTTTTATCGTTTGAAAGTTCCAACGCGACTGGATCGGAATGGATTAAGTCGTAGGGCTGGCCGTTGGATGAACACGGCTGTTGACCTACACAACACGGTGATTTTCGTGAAAGTTAGAACGAGATTCTTGCGACACCACAGCGCAGTTAGGTAGCGTGTAGAATTCAAGAGAGACATCGAACAACTCGATCCATTGGGTGCGAGCAAAGATTAAGGCTGTGAATCTCGAATTTAGGACGCGGGATCCTCGAGGTCCCTGTGATATCGCGATCGTATAAAAATCATTTCCAAAGATTTTTTGTTGCGTGTCCGGCGAACACCGACGAAGCACCGACACAATTTTTTACCGATTTTACTTACAATTAACTAACTTTATTCATTAGCTTTCTTTTTATTCCCTTCGCCTTAATAATTTTGATACGCCTCTTATCTATTAGTAGATAACAAGTCTACAAGTTTCATTTGAAAGAAATCTAATTGCGTCGATACCTCGTCTGTATTCACCAGTAAGAAAATGATTGTATGTACATACATGTGGCATGTTCGAATCGCGGAGCACCGCATTGTGTTCACCCGCCGACCGCGAATCTGTGTTATTTAATCTGTTGTTCTCTTTTCTAACGATCATTAAATGTATCTACATATATTGCTTTTTATCCGGCAATTTTATTTTTACCTGCCCCTCTAGATATCCCGTATCCACTAATAAAAGTATCTACTTGGTACTTTGCGCGAAATTCCAGTTAATTACCCCGTGAAAGTAAACGAATAACGGGTACCTACTGAGTACTCGGCACTCGGACTCTTTCTTAGTATAGCCTACAAAGCATTCATTCGAAAAGTTGATAGAAACGAGGGAAAACGATGAAAAACGAGGAAAAACGAGGAAAAACGAGGAAAAACACGGAACAAGTTCTTTCTCCTTATCGTAGAAACATAACCGTGAAAAGAGATCGAGAGAAGAGAAGAGAAGAGAAGAGAAGACAAGACAAGACAGGTGTTTCGAAAGTGTGGATGAAATGTTTTTGTTCTTAATCGAACGTTGTTGGATGAAAGATGTTTTTAATTTAACGACTGCTCGAGAATAAGTATTTCAAGCGATTGAACGAAAATTCAGGCGTCATCACATCGTCTGACAAATATCAAACGATGTGGCTTTGGGACGAGCGTAATACCGCATTCGCCTTCGAGATCGACACTTTCGTCCGATGGTGTCGATATAACGAACGCGTGCAATATCCTTCCAGTGAACAGAAATAGTATCATCCTGGCGAGTTCCTCTCCGATGCAGACTCGTTTTCCTTTCGACATAAAACGTATCGACGCGTTATAATTTTTCAAAGGAACAGCAAAGTCGAACAAGATAATTACCATTTTGAAAGGGGAGAAACGATTCCGGTTTGAAGAAGTTTCCATCTTTTGTTAAGAATCTGTCCGGTTGAAACTCGAGAGGATTTGTCCAGTAAGTAGGATCAGTATGAACGGCCCATTGCATCGGAATTATCATTGAGCCACGAGGCACATCGTAATCACCTATTCGTGAATCCTGAAGAAAAATGAAATGAAATGATAAAATCAGCAGTAAATCGGTCGAGATGCTCATTCGAGTACTTTAGATACCTCTATCGTTCCATGGGGCATACCAAGCGGTGTAACGCTTCTTATTCTTTGCACTTCTGCTAAAGCGGCTTCGAGACGAGGCATAGCGCTCCTATCGTTCAATGTCGGTGCTTCTTGTTTTCTCAAACACCGATTCATTTCCAAATGGATTTTTTCCTGAAGAACGATCAAATGGTCGATCGCGAGGCTACTAGTTGCTTCGATTCAGCTACGGTTACGTACTTACCTGTTCTATAGGATGGGCAGCCATGAATAGAAGGAACCAACGAAGCGTTGTCAAGGTGGTATCGGTTCCAGCACCAAAAAGATCCGCCAACAAATGGTACAGCTGAGCTTCCGTATAAAAGGCCGATTCTACTGGCCCCCTTTTTCTCATTTGTTCGTCGAACGCGGCCAAAAAGCTCTCGGTCATGTTTTCCTTTGGCAAGCTTTGCGCGATTTCTGCACGATGCTGATCGAGTATCGACCGATATATCTGATGCGTTTTTTCTTTACCCTCGACGATCGATCGAATCGTTTTTCCGTATCGTGGTAAGAATCTAAGGGACGTGCGTGTTGCGCAAACCAATCGTTGCGTTGTCGGGAAACATTAGAAAAGCACAAGTTTTAAGACTGATTCTGAGTGAAGAAAAGAAATCTACATGTGTCGTATGTATGTACGAGTACCTGAGAAAAGGTAAAAAATTCAGAGGTCCGGCAACGCCTATCTCTTTTACTCCTTCTTCTTGCAAATGTCTCAACCATTTCCAAACTGGTTCGTTCTCTTCGTAAGTTTTTCCAAACACGATACTATTGATAAAATTACCCATGTAATGATGAAGCGTGTCCAATGGATCGATCGGTCCATTCGCTGAACGCTTTTCGAGCACCTATACCATAAGTACAGAGGAAAAACTACGATGCAACGGTGTTTCATTCAAATACCGATAATAAAGAAAAGAAGAGAGAGAGAGAGAGAGAGAGAGAGAAAACTACCGATACACATTCGTCGGCTGCATCGAGTATCCTTTTCTCCATTTTTTCTCTTCTAGATCCTTCGTGTTTCACCATACCGAAATTTCTTAGGCAGCTACTAACGAATTTCCTTTGATCTCTCCATCGTTCACCCTCGGCACAAACCAAACCTGCGCAAACCAATACATATTAATAAGTAAGGGTTCCTCTTCTTTTTTCTTTCAATCATTTTATCGCGTTTCATTCTTGTACGCGAAGCAAAACAGTCGTTACATTGTTAGGTAGAAGGCATGAAAAATGACAGAATGATCGTCGTCATTCCGTAAGTAGGTGCTGCAGCCATTGAACTCGTCGAAGGATAATCATCGAATGAATAAACAATAATCTTTCACCGCACCTACTCTCGCCTCCACCCCCCTCGCACGCACAAACACACACACACACACACACCTCTCCTCCCATCCATTCGTGCTTCCACATACTCTCCCCATCCTTTGCAACATCCCTCCTTCGTTTTACGACTATATCATCATTGCAACCGCCTCTCTGACTCCCACCTGCTCACCTTCTTCACACCTACGCCCACTTGTTCATTTAATTGACGCGCGTATCGTTGCGATAGAACTGCATAGTGTGTTACTAATTAAATGCTTACTACGCTACAACAGCCTTTCCAACGTTTTTATCGTTATGGTTACGATAATATACGCGTATTTTTTACGTATATGAAGAGCGCGGGAGGCTTACAAGAAAGATCGAGTACATGCAAAAGTATGAGCAAAACGGAGATTTCACTCGTTTCGTTCCCGTCTTTGTCCTGGCATCTTCACCACCTGCCGACGTAGTTCTCTTTCTTCCTTCCATCTGTCCCCCCGTCCCCCCTACCAACATCACTTTAACCCTTCCTTCCCGTAATCGTTTCACTCCCTCCTACCCTGTTATTCTGTACCAATCCGTAAGCAAGAAAGGCCGTCGGTGCGTCCTTGCCGAGTTAACTGTAACTTTTCACTCTGATGCAGCGCGCAGAATCGGCAACGATCGGATCGGATCGGATCGGATCGGATCGGATCGGGTCGGGTCAATTTATTTTCAAGAGATCGAGCGGATAGCGAAAGCGAGAGTGAGAGTATGTAGGTACACTTTTGTTATCGTAAACGGAGATAACGAAATGTAGGTAAATTAGTAAATTGACCAGACGGTTCCCCTTACCATATCCTTGCATGATTCCATGAGTAAGATAGAGCGGTGCTCTGCCAGCAAACGCATCCTTTGCAAGAGTTTGCTTTATCAATCGAGGATCCGACAGTAAAACAGTATAGACCGAACCCATACGAAATCCACATACGGGTCCATAAATCCTGGATAATTTCGTGAGAGATTCGTGCGGTTTCTCTGCGTCGATCCACGGTAGATAGCCAACGATCGGAAGTTGCCAGGGACCGGGAGGGAGACGAGATGATGCCTTTCGATTTCTACGAATAAGGTATACGAGAAGGAACGAAGATAGGAATAATATCGTGTAAACCAAGTAGTTCATCGTGGACGACGTTAGATTCTCAAACGGTATCTTGATCTTGCTTGAGTGTCTGTTATCTGCAAATTAAAGTAAAGAAAGCTGCTCGATTAGTCTGGAGGTTTCAGGCTTAAAAAGAGATCAAAGTGTTGTTAACTAAACGAATAATTTCCTATAGTGTACAATGTGTAGGTGGAAGAGTTTCGAAAACATCTGTAAAACTCTCTGTAGATCGTGTACAGTGTAAGTACATACATACGCTGCGCGCTGTTCAGTATCGAAGCACGTGTTTTCTGCTCGACAAATTTTTTATTCTTTCAATGATACACATCGAATACTAACTAGGTATGTATCTTTTCGCGATCAAACACATATTATAATTGTAGCTATATGTTGGTAAATAGGTAAATAGATAAATAGATTTTCGTACGAAGGCGCTGGCCTTTCGATGCACCGTGTTTAGTTGGATTTAAACGATGGACGTTAGAATTTCATCCAGTCCGAGCAAGAACGATCAAACAACTGTCGAACTCTGTCGTAACTTGAAAGGATATGCTGACGCGTTGTCGCGTTGATCGTTATCGTTCGCTCTTGATTCGTCGAGAGTTCGACAAAAGTAGGAAAAGTAGCTCTGGTGTTGACTATCGAATCGTTGATCGACTGTTTAAAAGTGGTGAGCTGTCGACTACACGGAAGAACAATGTAACCGATACCATCGCCTAAATCTACGAATACCTTTACTCCACGAACAATCCTGAATCGTCTGCTTCGAGGAGTTGAATTTTACCAGCCGATACCAATATTTTCAACTGCTTTAAACTCGTATCTGATCGCTGTATGTATCAACTTTTGCTGCGCGAACCAATATTATGTCATGCTTAAAAACTGCCAAATTTTTTATATGGCAATACCCAAAATTCTTCAACTTTCTTGTTGCCCATCTGTCAAACCGACTCCGTTTGATTCATCTTCACCTTTCGACGTACATACATACCTACATATCTTTTTTATTCGTTTCGAGACGTTTTTCGCTATGTTTCGGAACGGACCCTTTTGACAAAAGTAGGTATGTACAAGGTATAAAAACGAACCTACCTGACAATCAGAGTAGAAAGCGTAGAAACGAATAATGTTATCAACTGAAATAAAACTAAAGACTTGTTGGGCCTTATGTTAATCGTCGTCGTTGTCGTTCCATCTTTTTCTCTGTGATCAGCAGAAAGTGCATAAGCATAACTTTATTCGCCAAGTAGACGACTTCGCTATCAACTTACATTTTCAACAAAGAAAACTTAAGGTAAACTTTCTTAAGTCGTGTTCTTACTGACCGTGTTATCAGACAAGGTACTTGTGGTAGTACCTAGTAAATATATTCGTAATGATAATTATTATGCATCTAAAATCTAAAATCTAAAATCTAAAATCTAAAATCTAAAATCTAAAGAGTAATTTATAGAGAAAAAGCAGCGACGGCAAGGGGAGAATCAAAAATTGGAAAAAAATGAAGTCTTTATCATCTGGCAAGTATGAAATAAAGGAGAAGTAAGTGGATGGTAACGAATACAAGGAAAGGTACCATAAGTGACGCGTATTGGCAGTACCCCTTGGCCCTTGGGACGTGCAACGACCGACAAAGGTCATTGGAAGCGTACAATCGTCTGCGTATCTTTTTGCTATCTTTGCGCGTGCAACTTTGCTGACTCGCGCTACGTCTCTGTTGCTTTCATCGTCAACGCGCGAATCTAGCTGTATCATAGCGAATCGTAATGAAATAATACTCACACGATACGGATTAATTCATATTAAAAAAAAATTCACACTTTACAGGCAAAAAGTTCCAAAGATTTAGAAACATTTATGTTATCACGCCAGTATATTCTAAAAATTTCGTGTATCTTCTGAAATTTGATAAACGTATTCGTAAGATTAAAAAAAAGAAAAAAGAAAAAAGAAAAAAGAAAAAAGAAGAAAAGGAAGAAGTGATTATAGCTAAGCGAATATACATACTGTCACGCTCGAACTGGATTCGTGGTCGCGATAGGCTATACAACCTCTTGTAGTAATGAAATTATTTTTCGTTCAACTTAAGGACGACTACTTTGGGTTCGATGAAACGAATTTTTCTCCAAGGACCGCTGGTTCGCGAAACACGAATGATTGGCTGGCCGGTGATGGTAGAGAATGGTCGACTTTTTGTCGATTCTCTTTCAAGAGTATAACGAACTCCGTAGCGAGTCAATCCTCACGGACAAACGATGCAACTTTTCTCAGCGATTCTTAGCCTTTCTTCCTCCTCCATCCCTCTCTTCTTCTCTCTTTTCATGTCCCTCCCACTAAACACCTATAGCTGCGTATTATATCTGCGTATACAGGGTGGGTCACGCAAGTGTTTCTGCTGATAACTCCGTTATTAGCGCATTCACAATAAAAAATTCCATAAGAGAAAGATAAATGGCTCGAACACCACATTCATAGGACGTTAGATTTTTTTTCAAGTCCAAACAGTGCATGTGCAATTAACGGTAGGTACAGAAAAATGTAGAAAACGTTCGCCGCATACCTATCTCTATCTATCTCGGGTGAAATGGAGCCAATCCAAAGTTGACTCTACATCTACCTCGTTTAGTTCGCTGCGGCCAGGTAACCCAGGTCACAATTACTATCCTTTTAGTCGGTAAGCAAGCAGACCTTTGTTTACTGGCACGGCGACCGCGATGCAACCGCCTCAACAAGGAGGGTGCTCTCCTCCAACGAACCGCTGCGCTGTGTTGGTTTAAAAAAGAAAAAACCAGGAAGAAAGAATGAAGAGAGAGAAGAAGAGAGAGAGCCGAGAGAGAAAGCAGGTAGAAGGAGAGGAAGAGGGGGAGAGAGAGAGTTGATTCAAGTTTTGAGCATGTCTTCTTCGATAACAACATTTTTTGAAAATATCTCGAGAACTAATTCCTTTTTACGTAGAATGAACAGAGGAATCGATCTGTGAAACAAAAAATATACCTTTTCCTTTTCCTTATCCCTTTCCTTTCATTTTCTTTTTTTCTCTTTCGAGTACCTAATCATCCTGTTCAATATACTGAAAATTGGGATTTTTAGTGGGACTTAGAGAAATGAGATAGTGCTCCTTGGAAAGGGGTTGACGATGAAACAGATGGCAAGATTGCTGCATACGTAGCACGCTATCTACCTGCTCCCTCTAATTCTTGCGGTAAGCTACAAGCAGGTAGATCAGGGGCAACGATCGACTTGGGTCATTGGCTGAATCCAGTTATCAAGGTTAGGGTCCTTTTCTTCGGTCGCGAGAGATCATCGTTTCTCTTCCACGAACTTTCCAAGTTTGCTCGTGTGAATGCAATTAAAGTTATTATACGAATCGTGTTCATTCAACCGCTTACTTACAATCGAATTACTTCAATTTCTTCTTTCGGATTTTTTGCCAACTTGAACGACTCGTTAACAAACGGATAAACAATGGATGATGAATAAGTAAATGGATAGCTGAAAAAGAAAAAGAAAAAGAAAAAGAAAAAGAAAAAGAAAAAGAAAAAGGAGAAGGATTTGGGTTAAAAAGTGATATGATCGTGGTTGGCAGTGGTTGGTAGTTGAGATGGTTGGTTCTTTGTCACTTTGTGTACCAGTATCTTTATCCTGCTGGTTGGAAGAGTCGTTCACAGAAGAATTCACAGATTCGGCAGTTGAAGCAAAGGTGGTCGAGCGGCCGACGACCGCGACTTTCTCCTCTTATGCTAATTTTGTTAATACGCTATTTTCACGACTCTCGTACTTCGCATGCCACTGTACCGTTTGGTTGTCTGATGTGTACGAGACGGCCAAAGAAAATATACTCGGCGAGAGGCGATAATTAAGAAACGGTTCGTGGCTTGTATTCGTATATTACGTAAAATCGTATCGAAACATACGTACATGTACATATTTCGGAAAGCGGTTCAGCCAATTCGATCGTTTCCAAGTTGCATACTGTCCTTATCGATCAGACAACATTGCCATTGAATGCTTTCGATCGATCCATCTACAACGACAACTTGTTACACAGACATCACCTATGAAAGAGTTATAAAATGAAAGTTGTAGAATTGAAGAAAATTTTGTATCCATCGCATCGGCTCGAACGATTTACATATATTGCGATTGAATTTCGTTTGATTCATCGATTGGTCAATTTCTCCAAAGAACGTACACACGTTACCGTAACGAGTGACACCGGTGTCGATACAGATCGAGTACCAAGAGTTCGTTGCCCTATAAAAGAAGGCGGGTGTATTGACCCCGACTGGCATTTCTGGGTTTACTACCTTTACTTGATCGCAAACAACCGTGAGTCTGTGCCCCGTAAACTGTTTGCATCCTTTTCAACGCGACAGTCATCAGAGAAACGCGATACGCGTTTATTTCACGGAATAAGTACCTCTTCTCTTGAATGTATTTTCTTTTCTTTTTTTTTTCTTTTTTCTTCAAATGGTAATAAAATTGTACGACTCGAAGAATCGATTACCGAATCTGACGATCAACTGTTAACGCATTTTACTGAATTTTACTAATCAGTAGAGGTCGACGTATTCAAAAGTTGAAGCTTTCGTGTTTTTTTAATTTGAAACTTCTATCCAATACCGTTTATCTGCACAATTTCTGACACGAATTTACATCGATAAACCTTCAAACTGATCTGCTTAAATATTCGGTAATTGCTATGATAAAACACACGAACCGAATAGGTGTTTCATCATTCATGGAAAAGTTTGAGCAAAGAATAGAAACGACATCAACGACACGAACACTATAGGAAATTCGAAATTGCGAAAGATGGTGTTTCTCGACAACAATGGTTGCAACGATATTAACGATACAAATGGTAGCAGCATTAACAACAACGATGACGACGACGATGACGAGGACGATAACAGCGACAACGGCAGTGGCAATAGCAGTGCTGGCGTTGATGTCAGCAACCACGACTATACCGTATAAAATTGTTAGTGGGGATGGAGGACACTTTCACTCTCACAGGTGTATGACCGAGTTGAGAGTTCGGAACTACTCGTTACCTGAATGAGAGTCACGCTGTGAAACAGAGAGACAGAGAGAGAGAGAGAGTGAAGGGAACAGGTAGGCGAGGGACGGAGAATACGATAAAGAAACAGAGTTCAACACAAGGGTGGTATAAAAGAAAAGATAATGAAAAAATAAGATAGATAAGAAGAAAGAGAAACGATAGGAAGAATATCCATAGCATAAAGGAATTTGTGGATGAAAAAGTGGAGGGCATAGTTGCGCGTGGTCCGCTAGGTAACGGCCCAGCGACCACGTGCTTACACGTACGAACCAGCCTACACCACCTTCTGCCTTCTTATTGTTAGTAAGTCCTTACGTTGACTTAATACCCTTCAGTTTTTTTTTTTTTTTCTGTTATCCGATCGTTTTGCTTTTGTACGAAATAGTTTTGTTTAAACGTCGACTTTTTATCATTTCCTGCACACGTATGTATCGATGATGACACGCAGGTCAGTGAAAAATGCGTGGAAATAAAGGAAAAAGGTGGTAAGAAAACAATGAACAATGTGTGTATAGTATGTAGATGGTAGCGAAGAAAAGGCAAGGAAGAAAAGAAGAGATGGTTTCAGAGGTGGCTGAACGAGGTCATTGAACCACGAAAAAGTATGGCCTTTTGGTCGGTGTACGCACTACTACCGATATTCATTCCCCTCGAACCAATCTTGATGTTTCCAAGTGCTTCTAGTGGGTCAGTGGTTCACAAAGATTCGACAATACATAGTTGGACATTGTATTCGAGAAATTCTGTTTCACCTCTAACCCAAATATTTCAAATTCGAGCTTTACCTATACTAAGCTAGCTATCTTACACACACACATCTATCCATATAACAGCGAGGACGAGGAGAAGAAATCGTCCGGGCGACGCGGTGCGACACAACGAGTTGGTCGTTAGATATACTCGTAAAATGTGTACTCACCGCAACAAACGCGAAAAAAGCAATCTGTGTTTGCCTGCGGTTCCAAGAAATCCGGTTAGAATTTAGGCTACGTGGAGCTCCTACTCGAATCTGGAACAGGCTGGTCATTGACCTTGCTTCGATACTCTGAGAAGATTTTCAGGTATGATTATAAGCTTGCCAATAATTGTCTGTGATACCTGACTCCACAAACACTTTTCTTCTTTTCACGCAATTGTCAGATTCGAAAACGAACGACCGTTGTGTGATACACTGAAGAAAAATCTTTTTTTTTCAACGAAAATTTAGATAAAACAGTGAATCTTGTACGAAATAAACGTCTTGTATCCAATAAACGCGGCTGCTTGACATAACTCACTTTAGGGGTGGGTTAATCGGAAATAAATGTTGGATTTGATAGGATTAAGATTGAAATTGTAGTGATCGAAAGACGAACAAAGATGTAGCAAAAGAATAGGGGAGCACAGGTGGGAAAGAAGGCTCGAAACGATTCTGAAATGACATGTCCATGTACTGAATTACACGGTTCACTACCGAATCATTTTGACCTACATCCGATACCAACGATGATATTCGTCGCCCAGAGCATTTGGAATCAGTGTATAGTATATATATATGTACACTAGTTCTATATACTTCCTTCTTTTCTTTTCCTTTTTCGATTGTATTATCGAAACTAATAAAAAATGGTCGATTGGACACACGTTCGGATGGAATACATTTATCATAATCATAGCGATAATTTGTTTAACTGCTTGACAAGTATTAAGAGCACAAGTAACCGAATAAGGTTCGAAATTAGTATTCGCTCGACGATTTTCTTATCCTTTTCCATAAATTTGCATCAGTGTATGTATTAGGGGAATATATTGTTGTACTAGGAGGAAGTAGGTAAAGATTAACTGGGAAGAAACACTGTTTTCCTATCAATCTTTGTCGTTTACGTTCAATCATTTCACTCCATACATACCAAATTGAAATAGAATAATCCTATCGTTGATCAAACAATGGATCGATTCTTTTAAACGAATCGAAAATTTCTTCGATGCTAAAAAAAGAAATGTTTCCTAGATCAACGGAAATTATCCTGCATATCGGTTACGTTCAAGTTTTACAAAGTAATGTTTGATAAGAATAGGATAAGCACGAGTCTAGCGTATAATAAGTACGGTCGGTAGGGTATATGTACTCGTATGTATGTAGACATATAAAAAGATCGCGGCAAAGTTTTTAGTGTTCCTTTTATGGTATTATTTTATTCGTACCTAATTGGAAGCTCTGTACAAATTGAATTGCTCGATTGTTGCTAGTTACGTAAAAATGCATCGGTTGAAAAGTAATGAAATGGTAGCTACGTTTATCTTGTATATTGCATCGATGGAAATTTTAACGATTTCGATAGCGATCGATCCCGATTTTGAACGAGCCATTCCACCGACGCCAAAGTTTCAAGGCACATTTGACGAAAGTCATGCGCACGAAATCATCGGTATATCTACACGATATCTAAAATAACAAAGAGATAATTTGTTTGCTTTATTCTTTACTTTGTTAATAGCGGATCGTGTCAGATCTTGGACGGAACAAGAGAAACAGCATCTTTGGGAACTGAGCGGTTTGTACGAAGGGGACATAATGTTGGTCGAAGGAAAAGATTTATCGAAGAACGGACTGGTGAATAACGCGTTTCGTTGGCCTGCAGGAATCGTACCTTATTACATCAAGGAAGAAGATTTCGGTGATTCGAATGAAACAGAACGTCTTGATTCTTGAAAGAAATATCGATAAGTAAATCATATGACGATATTATTGTATTTTTGTCTGTAGATCAAGAGGATATCGATTTGATCGAAGCCGCCATAAAGGAATATCATGAGAGTACTTGCATACGTTTTCGTCCTTTTAAGAAAACCGACAACGATTACATTAGTATAGAAGGAAAAATGTCGGGTTGTTGGTCGTTGGTTGGACGACACGTTCGTGGACAGGTAGTGAATCTACAAAATCCGGGCTGCGTAAAACACGGTGTGATCGTTCACGAGTTGATGCACGCGGTCGGATTTTATCATCAACAGAGTGCCGCGGATCGTGACGAATGGGTAACGATCAATTGGGAAAACGTAAAACCAGGTAAATCAGAATTGGATCACGTTATCATTTCTTATTAATTTTACGTTTATGATCACGATCACGATCACGATCACGATCACCATCAGGTAAAGAGCACAATTTCAACAAATATGATAACCGTACCGTCACGGATTATGGAATCGGCTACGATTACACGAGTGTGATGCATTACAGTTCTCATGCGTTCTCGAAAAACGGCGAACCAACTATTACACCAAAAGTAAGTAGGTACTTACATACACGTGTACTCTTCTATCCATCCATCCATTCATTCATTCTTTCTAATACTTTTGCGTAGAAGAAAGAAATCAAACTTGGACAGCGAAAAGGACTCAGTGGAAAGGATATATTAAAGTTGCAAGAAATGTATAAAAAGGAATGCGGTGATCGAGATGGCGAAGGAACGACAGGTAACGACGACTCATCGGACGACATATCCATCGACTGGATATTTCATTAGTTGTAAAATATCCAATGGATGAAATGTGGTTGAATTTGCGGAAATGACAACATAAAAATGATGAAAAAAATAAATTTCATATTTTCATTCCGTTATATCATTGTCGTTGTGGTAAAATACAAAAAAAAAATAAAATAAAATAAATAATCTAGAGAGAATGCGTTAAACGGCAGGATTTTCTTGATTGTAATAGGTCAATTCCTTTAATTCGCTGACTGCGTTCTCGGCGGCCTGAAAGTACACAATCTCGTATTGTGCATAGTCGCGAGGTATGGTATCGTTCATATTCGGTCATACTCTTATCTCACAATAGCTTGTGAACTACATATTTTTTTACTTACGAGCCTTACAGTCTGATCCTCGTCAATGATTAACTTCTCTATCAAATTCCTCACAGATTTACCCCAGATTTGTTGCAAAGCTCGACAAGAAAATCTACCCAATAGGCGAATCAAGTGACAGGTTCTCGCTCTGAGTGTTGCTTGTCGATGCGTAAGCAGTTTACCAAACTGGTCTATCGAATTTCCTTTTTCCAGAAAAATACGCATCGTTAAAACTTGAAAATTATTGTGAGAAAACATTAATGTTGTTTTTTCTTAACCGAAAAACAACAAGAAGGGACATGTTTCAGAATTTCATAAACTTACCCGCCGATGAATACGAATGAAACACAACTTTTTCCACTAGATGAGCATTCTCAGGTTGAGAACGTAATATGTTGGTCAAAATTGCAACGAGATCCGCGACTACGCGTCCTTTTCTTTTCTCCAAATTTAATAACTGCTGTAATAATCTTACTCCATTTACGATGTAAACAGCATCGCAAAATTGGGTAAGAAATTGTTGCCGACTATACGTTAATCTGCAAAGCACGAGCATTGTATATTCTAAGGTTTGAAGTTCGTCCGCGGATAACGTAGAGGCTAATCTAGTGTTCGCGTTTGTCGGTTCGGCTTTCTTATTCGTCTCGGACTCGAAACGTTCGGACATTAACAGTTTTAGAGCATAGACGAGATTCGGTACAACCCTGACGTCCAAATACACCTGCGCGATCTTTTCCAATGTGTCTTTGGTTATTGAAATGACGAACGGTAAGGATAACAAACAAGCAACGTATTCGACCACTCGACAACCAGCGGCTGGATTCCGCAACGGAGATACGAATACCGATACACAATTTTGCTGAAGCAACGATCCTACTTCTCCTTCCATAACCTCCTCCATGGATCGTTGCAAAAACGCGATCCATTCTTCGTTTTCGATCGGTCTTTCGACAGCTTTTGGATCCCAGTCGGGTAATCTGGTGTTACCCGTTGAAACGCATCGACGCTCCTTCTCTGAATAAATCGTGTCATCGATACTCTTTTTTGCCGCCGTTTCTTTCGTTTCTCGACGTTGCGATTGATTTTGTTCTTGTTCTTGTTCTTTTTCTTTTTCTTGTTCTTGGTAATGGTAATGGTGATGATAGCGGTGTTGCTGTTCGTCGAAACGAATCGCTAGTTCCCGATTTGACGTCTCTTCGAACTTCAATATCTCTTTTTTACTTTCTACGATCCTAGTGGTGGCTAGACAATCACTTTGACACAACGCATCATCCGCAGAGAGTAATTGGCTTTTCAGTGACGCTCTTAAGCTAAGATTTCCTAAAAGGACATCGACGCTGGTGCTAGAATCTGTTCCACTTGGTTCGCTATGACGTAAATTGTAACACTGCTTTGTTCCATGTTGGCAGTGGCCGTGGGGAATCTGACGTATTCGTGTAGTATGCGACGTACACGTTCTTTGATGATGTTCCTCGATCGTTCTTTCCTGTTCGTGTAGTTTTTTAATAGCTTTCTCTAAAAATCTGCGCCAATATAATTTCTCTTATTTTTTTTACTCAACGTTCGAGTAACCTCGCTTAAACTCGCTTATATTATATTAAACTCGTTATCCTACATACTGTACATAATAATTGATATGTACTTAGACTGATGGTCGATAGGTTGTATCGTTAAATTTTGCAATTGCAGCTGTTTCTCTCTGGCTTGACTCGCGGATAAAGGCGTAGTGAATGGTGTAGGTCCAGCCCCGCCTACTATTACGATTTTATTTTTAACAAAAGGATGTTCTAAAAGCGCAGGCCAGGTTAGTCTTTGCAAAGGATCCTTTTGTAGCAGTCCCTACCGATAAACCTACTGTTAATAGATGAATTTGAAAAGAAAATATCCATGATTCGTAAACGTATTATTAGCCACCTGTAAGAAGCTTTTACAATTTTCAGAGATGAAATCAGGCCATTTTATTGCTTCGAATCTTATCAATCTGACCAAATGTAGAATAGAAGTAGTTTGAAAAGGTGGAGAACCTACCACTAGTTCGTACACTATGCAACCAAGAGACCTAAAAATAAAGAATACTTGGTACGCTATATCTCCAAGCTTGCAAATCTAACACACACCATAAATCCGCGTTATGATCGTAAGGACGTTCTTCTATTAGTTCTGGAGCCATATACAATGGGGTTCCCTTTATAGAGGTTAATACATGCGTTCCTGTACTCATACTGCGAGCAAATCCAAAATCACATAACTTTGCCACTCCGTTGCTTTCGAGGAGGACATTTTGTGGTTTAAGATCCCTAAAGTTGAAACGACTTATTTATTAGTACTTAGAAATATTGTAACGTGTATTAAACGCCGAACCTGTGCAGTACTCTGTTCGAGTGCAAGTAGTAGAGTGCAGAAACAAGATCACAAGCAATTACTTGGGCTCTCTGTTCGGACAAACGGCCTGCTTTACCTAATATTTCGTATAATTCCTTGTCCGCGTATTCTGTTACAACCACTATCTGAAGAAAAAATGAAGCTTTCTAATGTAAAATGTAAAATGTAAAATGTAATATTTTCAAGTACATCAAATCATCTTAATTGATACCTCGTTATCTGTTTCAAAAGAATCAAGCATTTGTACTATGTTTGGATGATGAAGATGGCGCTGAATTTCACATTCTTGACGTAAACTTCTCAATTCCTTGTACGATCTACCACGCTATCATACGGGGGATTTATCGATACGCAACATGGGAAAGAATACGTAAGATTAGATTAACGATAAATTCATTATTTCATTCGACCATGGATATTTTTCTTTACCTTTCGAATCACTTTGAAAGCTACGATTTCACCGTCGGATCGTTTCTTTGCTTTGTACACTTGTCCAAAGGATCCTTCACCAACCTGCTTTAATACTTCATATTTTTCCATTGTTTCTTTATGCAATTTATGTACTAAGAAACATATATGTATAGAGTTAGATTGAAAAGCTTGAAATAAGATAGAAGATAATAGATGATACGTAGCCTACCTACTTGAATGTATTAGGACGCTTCTTTTCGGTAATGTATATACTTATTTATGTACGACGTAGTACACTATACGGTATACATATAGTTCGCTACGTCTATGGTCTACAACAACAGTGCTGCACCATACGGCCAATTTTTGCAAAAGAATAGAAATCTGTAAAACGACATCCAAATTAAGGTGTTGCAAGCGTCGAGGCTGAACTCCGAATTCCGCATCGGTAAAACCGATTACACCCCCCCACGACATATCGAAAAATTATTAAGATCGGATTGGAAAGCAAACTTCTGAATAATTACCAATTTTTCATATCAGTTTCATAATATGTTGTACATACAATACAGGTCAGTAATCGTTTAAAAGAGGCACACCAGAAACTGGACGAATCTGAAAAAAAGTATAACCTTCTCGAAGAAAATTATATTTAGAAGAAATAGAAAATGTATGCGAATTAATTTGGTAACGTATTTATATTTGAGAAGGCTACCAATCAACTCGGAATTTTTTTTCATATTCAATCAAAATGAAAACATTTTTATGGGAACATATTACAATTTAACTTGCTGATTTAGTAGAAAAAATGAGAAAAATACATGTATAATAATAAAATGTAGCCAATTTGCTCGTATCACATAATTAATAAATGTACCATAGAAATAATGATACACTTATTAATTATCCATCAAATAATAACGAATGCCCGGGTTTCATCACGAGTAGGTTGCCATCCACCCTCCATTTATGGAAATTTTTATTTTTATTCAATAACATTAACAACATCTTCTTGGTGCATGGGAGAAAGAATATAAGCGAAATATAAACTATAGTTTATATACAATAGAATGTTATTTAGAATCAATAATCATATAATTTTAACATTTATAACTCTAATTTCTCTCGATTTTCTCGATGATTCTTCTTCCGCTTGGGATACTTGTTGCTATTAGATGATTTTTCGATTTCGTAATATTTTTCACTGTGTCTTTTATGATCCTGTCGTGTGGAGCTATGTTTATTTCTTCTATCGTGATCGCGTTCCCTCGAACTGGATCTTTTATATTTGCGTGACTTTTGCATTTTCCATGATTCACTTGAAATTCGTGAATACTTGTCTCGTTTATCCAAACTTCTATCATATGAGCTAGAGGATTTTTCAAAATGTTCATATTTTTGCTCATCGTAACGGAAAGTGGAGCTTTCGCGATAATTTTGTTGTGGATCTTCGAGCAAAAGATTGTGACGTTTTGATGGAATTTCAGATAATTGTAAAGGTAAATTTTGCGTTATATTACCAGTCATATTTCTATTGGAATTTCCAAGTTCGGTAACGGTGTCGAACTTGGTGCCACAACTAACTACTTGCGTTTCTGCCATATAATCTATGTACACTTCCATTTGTTGATTTATGACTTCTCTGAGAATTTCTGTATGAGACTTTTTATTTGTATGAACACCTTTGTGCTTGGCCCTGCGCCTCTTCAAGTTACGCTCTTGCATTAATAGTTCCAAAAAAGACAACTTCTTCTCATCCTTATCCTGGCCTTTTCTAGAAAATGAAAATATTTGATAAAATTTAATGCATCATACTTGTCAAAGTAATTAGTATCTCTACAGAAACTTACGGTTTATGAGTATCTGTAATATCATGACCGATATCTATTTTCATGGTGTGCGAAACAACATACTCGTATAAAGCTTTCCTTTCGTCACAAGTAAAATCTGTGAAGATTCTATCCGATGTTTGTGGAATTAATCGCTCACTCCGACCTATTATCAGTGTTAAGAATGCATGGTTTGAAAGAAACTGTATGTTTCAGATAAAAATGAAATAAGGAAACATAAAGCAAGCATTTGATATTTAAGAAAAGATATGAAAAAGGATATATAGCACTTTTGCCAAGTAGGACATTGATAACTTTCTGTAAAAAATTGAGTAATTTAAAACATGTAAAAGTATAGTTTAAAGACTGGTTTCATCGCACTAACCAATTTTCATGGTAGAATCTTTCTTGCTTGCTTCCTGCAAAATAGTGTTTTGTAACGACGAATCTGTAATGGAAAAGATTCATTAAAAAACTAAATGTTAATTAAGATTAAAATGCTGATTAAGAGGTACAGTTATTAATTGAATTGAATGCATACCTAACTTTATCGAAGAAGGTGAATTTGAGGACAAACTTGATTCGGACAGTGGTATGTTGTATTCATTGTAACCCTCTTTTCTCCATTGACACAACTCTAGATGTCGATCTAACGTCTTTCTGCTAATACGATGAGATGAATCGTAAGGACAAACCAGACTATTACCAGTCTAAAGAAAGAAAAGAGAAATTGATTTTATTTGCTCATTGGTACGTAATATCTATATGCATACTTACATCAGCTTTTATACTTTTTATCGACCATTCCAACGTAGAAACAATGTTTACAATTTCTTGATGAATTTTCTCTGTAAAGCCCTTTAAATTTTGATATTCTACTTCGCGTCGACTAATCGTATAATTTAACATTTTTATTTATTAATTATTATTTAAAATGAATAAGTAAATGCAAATGAAACGTGAAATGAGAACGAATTGAGCCAACTTTCAACAGTGATCAGTGATACCAGTCAGTGGATACCACTATACCAGCAGATACCAGAACCATTGACTACAGATCGAACAAGACTAGAGACTAGAGTAGACAAGAGAGTTTTGAATTTGTGCCTTGCGAACGAACGCCATCTGCTCTATCCTAGTATAAAAATGTGAAATACTTTGCAGTGCAATAGTCTAACGCACGTTGATGATAAATAGCAAATTGCTTCGATAACAACGACTATACCCCACCATTGTTAGTCATCGCGATAAATGAAATGTATAAAATTTAGTTTAAAACTGATTTTGAATGTAACAATATTATATAATACTTATTATATTATACATATAGTACATATGTATGTATATATTCATAAATACCAGCCATTTTCTAATTACATACCAATTAAAGTTATCCAATAATTCTTTATTATTATCATTATTATTATTGATTTAATTATAACACGAATATCTTATTTATAAGATTTCATTTTGATATTGTATATCATATTTATTAATTTATTAATTTATTAATTACCCGAATTATTTTAATAGAAATTCTAGAGAGAATAATTCTATTTTGGAAGTTTACTGATGTGCTTGCCTTTATAAAAAATTGATGAAAAACTGTGTCACAACTTTGTGAAATTTAAATCTATTACACTTATTTAGTATCGAATTCCAAGGGTTGCTTGTTTTCTCTATACATATAGAAAAGATTGAAAAACTCCGTACATTTCCACCTTTCATATATGTATGTACTTATGTACCTATATGTATACGGTATAATTTAACCCCATGTAGTTTAACCCTTAATGAAACATATACAAGGTTATCAACGTAAAATAATTACATATGTAGAATAAAGAACACCAGAGTAGAAAACAACGGGCCAATTTAATTTATTGGTAGCGGTAGCCGGCCCAGTCCCGCATTTAGGGAGGGAATAAGGCTCACAATATTGGTCCCTACCTTGTTACATGAGAATATCCTCGCATAACAGGTTGCTTGTCAACAAGCAATGTGAGAATGTGATCTGAGATTTGAGTGTAGTAAGAGGATGTTCGCGATCAAGGTAAATGGCAGTAGCGGTAATTCGTAGAAGTAAGCGTAGCAGTAGGGGCCCAACATGTGAGTGGCTGTTATACGGTCAGTCAGTCGGTCATCGTCTTTCGTTCGTATTCTATGAAGATTCTCGAGAATCACCTAAGTATTTAAGTACTACTTGCTTCGGTGATGATCGAAGATGATCGTTAGATACTTCTCGATCGTTTCGCTACAACTGGCCATCCTGGTCAGCCTCACGTTCGCGTCAGAAGTGCGGTGGAGTGTATTGTCGAGTGGCACTATGATCACTATGATCATCTTTCCGTTGAACACGCATCAATGGTCCTTGCTGGGTTTGAATCTTTGGCCGAGCCAAACCATTGAGGAGGAACCTTCGAATGGATTCGATTTGAACAGTAATCCAATCTCGAGGGGTAAGTTTACCGCTTCGATGATATTTTCAGTTACTTTTTAGAGATTGTGTTTGCTACGGTACTTGTTTGTTTCTACTACGGTGATGGTGTTTCTGGCTGAGTTACAATACTGATGAATTTTCTTTGTGAAGAAGAAAATGTAGACGGTTCGTTGCGCACATCGTGGTAAAATTTTGATTTCATTTAAAAATTCGAAAAAATTCATATCTACACCTAATACCATATTTCACGGTTATCTTTCAATTCTTATTTGCATCTCTTGCAGTTTTGAATTTTTTTCCAACCCCGGTGCAAGAAGAGTGTCTATCACAGGACAAACGACGACGGGGTATATGCATGAACACGTATGAGTGTCGCATTCAACAAGGGAAATCCAATGGACGGTGTGCGCTTGGTTTTGGCGTGTGTTGCATATGTAAGTAAGTACTTACATACTGTTACTCCCAATACACACAATGTGTAAGCGTTCCATAAATTACGTGGGGAAATTTTTCAACTGGACAATAAACGAATTAGTGCGTATGCGTGGTTGAAATTTTCAGAGAATAATGTTCGTTGTTCATCGTTATTATTTTCAGTACGTTAATATCCTATAACTGATCTTTATTATAACTGATCGTTATTATACCTAAATTTTATAATGAAACATGTTATATGCGTATAATATGTTGGAATAAAGTTCAAGAGATCTTTCTTACAATAGTCTTTATGAAAATTAAATAAAACTTCCACTTATCTACATACACTAAACTGTTTCCACCCACATCGTGTTCTGTCAATCGTAAATTGCTCAGTCTTCTGTATGAAAGCAGTTATACGTTGCATTCTCATTTCGCGTGAACATTTCATGGATATCGTGTCTGAAAGTTTACCACGCGATGTACTCTACCATTAATATCGGTAGATTGAACTTGCTCCAAGATTTTACTATTTTCGTAGGCCAAACTTCAGTCACAATATTATGTGCATAGTAGAGTGGGTAATGAAATTATTAGAGAAATCTACATATGTACACTGATGAGTTTTAAACAAACTTTTTATTATTTTTGTATTAAACACAGGATATTTGCAAAATGGATGATACTGTAGGCGACATCCAATTTTTCAGAAATCAAAACTCCACTGTAAAAAGTTAACGGATTTGAATTCAGCCCGCAAAAATCAAATGTACGAGTACGCTACAGAAAAAAATAACGAGTTGAACGTTTAAATTTGAAAATTCGTTTGGCGAGCAGTGGTTTTAGTTAACGGTAACATCAAGAGTGGCCGCGCGTTTAAAGGAACTCGCGCGATCTCGAGGAACGCGTTCCCGATGAAAAAGAAACGAGGAAAAGAGCACGAAAGAAACAGGAGAAACAGAAAAGGAACGGTTGATAAAGGCTCGCGTGTTGAGGGAGAGTGTATGTACGGCACAAGTTATACAGTTATTTAATTGCCTACCATCTTGTTCCTGTGTCCCAGATAAAAGATCGCCTCCACGTTTCGTCGACCTTTCCACCAATTTCTTTTTTCGGGATCGCCTTTGAAGGCCACGCTAAAGTGTTCATTAAATTTTACCTTCCTTTTTTTTTTTTTATTTTTATTGAAAGATTTCAAGGTATCAAGAAGAGACTCTCGTTGAAAATATTTGTTTGTTTCTCATTGTCAGATGGAAAAATCATAGGAAACTTAAAAATATGTACATATAGAGTTTATTTTTTTATTTTATTCCTCTCTCAAGATTGTAAAGAGGAAAATTATCCTCTACTCTATTAAATTTTTGAAAGTTTTCAAAAATAATCACTGTAAAGTCTACATAATGTATTGATTAAGAGACTCTCCCTTCTGTATAGAGACGAAAAGGCTGTAGGTGAAGGAATGAAAAGTAAAAAAGAAATGAAATAAAAAGATGGAAATAACTAAAATGTCAGGTCTTAAAGAGTTAACAAGACGTCGCGGTCGCGTCGTTCTCCGCAGAGACACCGCCTGCTGAATTTTTAAGCGTGTCCACCGACTTGTTTTCCGAGAGAAATAAGAAGAAAAATCTTTGCGTGGAAATCTTTGCGAGTTAACCGTTTCCTCGAGGTTGTAGCTATAGCTGAATAGAACCCCTGTGGCTCTAAAACGGCCGTTGAATGGCTGAATAAGAACTCATTATTATCGAAATTCGAGCCTGCTTACGAGGCTGCGTCACACTGCAATTAATAATCCTCCGCAAAATAACTTGAATGAAATTTGTTCCAATTAAATTACTTACTACGGTTTTACAACAGAAGTATAAAATTATTGCTATCATCACGTACGATTCAATCCGGGCGGGCGGCGCGGCGCCTTGAACTTTTCGTGTTTTCGGCTGGTTTCTTAGCATTAGTCACTGTCCTGTTTTGCTCGTAAACATGTTCTATCGTGTCCTGCGTCATAATTCATCGTGTACCGTTGTCGCCAGTTTCCTTGTTGCAGGAGTATAGTAACTTCTTTTCCCGTTATCATCGATAGGATAACGTATTGGTAAACATATTGGTGTATCGTTGTAATATAATAAAAATGACGCGAATGGAAGATGCTTCGAACCTGAATGGACAATTTTTAAGAGGCTCTTATGTATCCACGATTCGAAAACACGTAATCTCATTGTCAGTTATTTATGGCTTTATATTATAGGAAAAGTTCTCATTGTCAGGATAAAGTTACGAGTATACATATTATAGTAGACTATCGTTATGATGTCACCAACGAGACTGCAGGTGCTATTGTTTCTCGTTTTCCGTTAATTATTTGGCGATTCGCGTCTGTCGCAGTAGGGACGCAATTTGGAAACAATAGAGGAAGAATAATCGGTATCAGTGAATTGAATCGGATAACGGAATGCGACTACACGTACGCACTGATAATGAAATTCGTTCTTTACCAGCCGCACAACACATTCAATTCGGATCAATAGAATATTTTCACCGATGCGATCGAATAAACATTTTCCACCGTATGTATATGCGTGTATGTACATACAAGGTCCACAAGGAAGCAACGATTGAACACTGTGGGTGTTCACACTCGTCTGGGTTTTCTCTGACTTTGTTTAGGGATGATCTTTCTACAGGTGTACAATAGAACACTATTATTCGCGAATTCTTAAGTTCTTAAGTTTTATTTGTTAGTTACGCCAATGCGTCCTACCTAGCAGTTCCACCTTGTGTATATCCAATGGTATTTATTCTACTTTTATTTGAATATCAATTTTTAAAAAATTTTCTCATTAAGTCACGGCAACCTGCGATCAGGAGGTACAAAATAATCTGACCTACGTGACCAGCCCGGGTTTCCCCAACCTCATTGACTGGCCCATGAACTGTTCAGTGGTCGTACGGAAGATCGATAGGCAGGTCAGCCAACTCAGGATCGATTTCGTCCACTTCAACATAGTAAGCCATGCAGTTCTATCATTCTTTGCTCCACTAACGGCATATTAACCCGACACGATTTTCCATTCTCTCTTTAAAGCAAAGCAAAGCAAAGCGAACACGTCCACCCTGTGTAGAAATGTTGACCCTTAATTGGCAACGCAAGCAAGGGTTCAGTAACCCGTATACTAACAGGGTCCACCCCGTTGACATTTACATGAGCCGCCCGAGGGACACGGTTGTAAAATTTATTTACGCCACAGCATAGAATTACCACCCCCTTAAATTAACCAAAATACTTTCGGCGGTTGAAGCATGAATTTTTTAAGCTTTGTTTTAGCTTGCTGAGTGGTTTTTATCATGATCTTGAATTTGTCTTTTAGAACGATTACATGATAATTTGTTAGTTGATTTTATTTAGATCATTTATTAGAAAGCATACATATTTGGAGGAAATGATTACATACAGTTGATGTACTGTAATGAAATTTTGCTTTATTAAACACTTTTAAACGCTAAACAAAGAATATTAAAATGTATTATATTAAATTTCGAGTACTGAATATTTTTATTAAGACACGAATAAACTTACATATTACTCAATCTAACAAATATTATCACGTTCGAATCATTATGTATGTATGAGACTTGTTCATGAAAGTTTGAGAGCGAAGTAATGTTTTGCTTGATCGAATTTCTTATCTCAATAATTCACAGGGTCACAGAGATAAAGCTGGCAGATATTAAAGGTACATTATATATGTAGTATAACCCCTCTGACCCAACGCTTTCTACATACAACCTACAGAAATTGGGGTCCAAGGCTGAATCTGCCATTAACGTTCGATAATTCCCCGTTCTTTAAATAAAATTTAAAAGTGTAAACTGTTAGAGAAATCCACCGTGCTCGATACTGTACATATGTACGTATGTACATATTATTGGTCGACTGATAAAAATCGGCCGCGTTTATTGCACGGCTTGTTCATTCAAGTGGCTTATCGATCGTTGTAGGGTCAACCCAACCCCAGAACGGGTGTATGTGACGAAGATATCATGGAAATCAGAAATGGTAAGAGCGTGTTTCAACTGTGCGGCTGGAACAGCGGTCAGCATTGTAAGTATGAGTTCCTTTGTGTACCGTGTTACAAGTTTTAATCTACGCTACAGTTTTTTCCTTTCATCTTAGTTAGAATTAATCTTTTCTGGATTTATGCACGGTGTATTTAACACGAAAGTACTTTGCAAATGTTATAAATAATTTTGTAATTATATTAAATTCTTTGAAGGTATTATGCAAAGCTACATAGTCACAAAGTCACCTTTACATACATATGTATCTATTTATTTAATTCATTGATATTAGAATCAAATAAATTAATAACTTACACGTTTAATCCTCCCTAGTCTAGTCCCAAAGAATTTTCAAACGAGTTTTAAGAATCACAAACTTAATCCTCGCAATAAACCTGCTCGAGAACTTTGCTCCGTACGATTAAAGCCTGCTCGATATAGCATTTCCATGAAACAGCTCGAAACAATCAATCTGCCTTGTTAAAACTGTAACTCTCGAAAAGAGAGGTAGGGAGGCATTGGAAGACGATACTTTCCAACAAGTTTCTCAATTCCGACGATATAGAAAAACAACTAGGTTTTGTTACGGAACCAATCGATCTTTCGCGTTTCAAGCCTCTTTGGAGCCAAGTCATCCGTTCTCCAATGCTTCGTTTTCTTTTTTTTTTTTTCTTCCAGTATACATAGACGTGGATGAGAACAACCAGTCCTTAACGTTAGACTTCCAGTTACCCAGGAGGATCCAACCACGAATGTGGGAGATAAGGATCGTCCAGTTGGCGTTCGAGCAACGTGCACCCACAGGATGCCTGCAGTACTTCCAGTCCCCTAATGGCACCTTAAAGACCCTTAATTTTTTGCTCAATGGCAGATTTTTGGCCAATCAGGATTATTTGATGTGTATTCGCCAAGAAAGAGGAATGTGTGGAATAGCTTATATGCCTTGTTCCTCAGATTCATTTCGAATTGGACCCCCCAGGATGCAAAATATGATAAATAACACTAATGTTAATGCATCGTCTATTGAGGGGAATTCAAACATGATGAATTCGACTATGCAAAATGGTATCAATATGATATCCATGAATAATACGGATTCGGATATCGAAGGGTCAGGGACAAATCCTATGGACGATGATGGTATTTCCGGAAATGCGACCAGCATAGGACAGGAAAGTGCTTCCAGTAGTGGAATCATGGGTGAAGAACGGTGCAGGAACAGGGTGCTCATTCCTTGCGATTTTGAGGAGTTTATCACGGTATTTTATTTGTTTTATTTCAATGAATGGGAGAGAATGAATTGTACAATCAGTCCTAAAGCTAAAAGGATTAATTCAAAATAATTAATTATCAGTTCTAACAAACAATGTATCAGGATGAAATTCATATGTTGCTCCATTACTGATTTAAATTAGGTCAATCCATAGCACAAGCTACTGTTAATTTAATACAGGCAAAGGGTTAATAACAGCTTTCACCTGTTTCCTGTTGCAGCCTGGAAACAACGAAGCTGGGATTTGTAATCTTGAACACTGTGGTAATTCTCTGTGTGATCGAAACGAGCTGGACGAAGAAGGTAATTGTCGAGTAGAGACTTGGGCAACGCCCTTTCGCATAAGGGTGGCTTTTGGTCCTGGACAGTACACAGGAACTACACTCGAGGACAATATTGGCATGTGCCTCCTGTACGAACAGCTACCCTGTGTCGCTTGAACAACCTTATAGTGATAAATGATTGCAGATGATGTGGGGGGAGGGGGGGCGGGGGTGAAACTTGAAGAGTACGAAGTTTAAACGGGTTACCCAAAGTTTGATTTTCTAAACGAGGGTCTTTCGATAAATAACATCTTGTTTTATCAAATCTCTTTTTAACAAATTAAACAAGTTCCATTCTTCGGTACTCAATATTATTAAAATTTCACAACTCTATCCTGTTTGTAAAATTTCTTTTAATAACAAAAGGAAAGAAAATATTATTACTGCGACGAACAAAATAACAAATTATTTTCTCTGTTTATATTAATTAATGTTCGTTACCTCTGAAAATCAAACGTACAAAGTTATTAAAGTCAAATTACCTTTATGTGTAAAAGATTCAGGATATTTCCAAATGGAATATCTGGTCTAATTACAGAAGCAAATAGTTTGTAGCTTTTTGCTGAAATAACCAATTAAAATGTTGCTTCTTCCATCGAATCTCCATCCTTGCTTGTTTCCCTCGTTTCTTTTATTTATTTAAAATGAAGGAAAGTGGAGTTATTTAAAAGGATTGTGCAAGTACAATATTAAATAGCATCAGGGTATCCTATAAATTAATGAAAACTAAAACACAATCATATCAAAGAGTTAAATAGTCTTTATTTACAAACGAACTAGCTTAAATCGCAAACGCAGCGCGCAACTCTCGATACAATAATAGATATATATATATATATAATTCGCTTCTTTATTTTTCTCCGCTTCGGTTTTCTCGATTATTCGTCATCACCATCGACCACGATACTCTACAGTTCTCTTTAAATTTCAAATAAAATGTTTCTTTAACGAAGAACTGCATTGAATAGAAATGACGATGATGACGAAAATCGCAGCGATAACGATAACGATAATGATGTTACAAGAATAAATTACAATGCTATTGATACAATAATGAAGGTGACGTCACGCCGAAATTTCGAAAGAAACACTCTCCGATCAGAACACGGCGTGACGTTACGAGCTCCTTATCATCATCATCATCATCATCCACACCATTTTTCATCTCTTCGAGCGTAATAACCGTAATAATAAGTAATAATAATAACGAGATTAGCGATAATCTTGATTCAACGACGACGTCGACGATTTCCGGCGCCGCTGGTCCATTTTTATCTCCCTGAACGTCGGACCTCGTCGACGTTGTCGCCGTGTAAGAAAATTCGTACCTCTATCTACAAAGTCAAAAGGACCGATAAAACGTGTTAAAAAGGCCGGTGGTCAACAAACGCGCGCTTTTTTATGTGTGTTGATTTTTGTATACAGAGCATTGAAAAAGTAATTATCATATTTTACACAAAGGATTCTTTATATCATGTTAGATGGACCATTTGTAAAAAAAATTTTAAATTAGTAAGATTAATTAATTATCTTTAATTCGTTTTTTTTATTTTACTAATGTCTATCTAATATACCTAATATAATATGAAGAATCACCCCTGCGTAAGGCATGACTGTCATTTTTTTAACACTCTATATGTATACATATAATGTGTAGGTAGGTACTTATATAGGACATGTGTGTATGCTTCCTTGTACAGAGTCCTTTGTTGCAACACATGTCGCTACCCTGATACCATACTGCGCAAACTCTTATGTCATTCATTTTGTTTTATTTGAAATCGAAACTCTCGTTCTGTTTTAAGGAGGCTCCAATCCCGCGAATCCGGTTTAATGGGATACATTAAAACGTTATTGATGGAAAATTTTCTTCTGTTATTAAAGTGCCATGATATGTGTACCTACTGTTCAGGCGATTCAGTGAATGATTTCTTCTTCTTCCATGATCTTGTATACTTATATCCTTGAAAAATCACTACTTTAATCGAATGAACCATTTCAATTTATCTTGAATTTAATTCACTAGGCCTGATCTCCGGCCTGAAATCATGGGAGTATGTACTTACTTACTACCTTCTATCGAACAACCCCTCTTCTCATTTATTCGGACAAAATTCAACAAGATCTCGTTCCCTAGAATTCTTCGAATTCTCTCGAAAATTCTTTCGAGTTTGATTCATTTGATGATATTCTCGCTCCATCGAGTCACTTGCTTCTTTTATAAATTTTCTAATAAATCGGAAACGCTTTTCCGGTCGGTCTTTGAGATTGGTACATCTTATAAGAAATGAATCAGATCTCATCTTCATTGATTTTATTGAAATTTGGTAAAGTAATTGATCTGTATATCTGTAATAAGCGTAATTATAACTTTCGCACCAGATATCAAAGTAATTTTAATAAAAATTCATTAAAAATTTTAGTATATTTAAATGGAATATTTCATTCAATAATGGCCAATGGGATAGCAGAAAAGGTAGATTTATAATTTTTTGTCTAATTACGTAAATTAAACCGTACTTTCATAATATTATAAAAAGAAGATTTTCCTAATGAGACAAAAAATTTGAAATCTGTGGATGTGGCTGTGGCTGTTGCTGCGGCAAAGCCATTATTGAATATAACTAGAGTTGGATACATTTCAATAAAAAATTATTGGAAATTATTGGCGCAACCATAACTGTCCAAATATACCCGAGTATACACAGTTGTTCAAATTTTAAATTCATTTTCTTCAAAAATTGCAAAAATTGCAAAAATTGCAAAAATTGCAAAAATAATTGCTAATTTTTAAACATTTTTGCCTAAAATTACAACTGTGCTCATTACAAACATCGTAGATCTACCAACCCTCGAAATTTTATTAAAATTAACGAGGGACACATCTGAGACTCTCTTTATTAATGGCCACTTGATATGCTTGTCTCATTCACCCTTCACCTTCCTGACTCCCCTCATTCTTCACCATTTCTCACTTGCAAACTGATGCCTATAATAATGTTAAATACAAATGACGCCCTTTTCGTTCGTCAAGCTCTCACAGTGAGAAAGGGTAGTATTAATTTTTCTTCGAATGCAATTCGAAGATGAGGGGTTGGCTGGTGGTGGTCGATTGGTCCCGACGCGACGGTATTCAGGGCGCGCACTGTGTGTGATATACATAAGTACATACATGCGGGAGCTTTCATCTCGTTTATGTGTAGATGTTTGTGTCGTGGTGCCCGTTTTCTGAGAGTTCACAAGTATCTGTCCAGCTCCCACGAATTTTACTGATTTACAGAAATTCCTGGAGGGAAATGGAACGTGATAAGGCGATTCTTTTTTTTTCTTTCTAACTAGCTGACACTTGCATCAATGTAGCTTCACGCTTCAGGAAATATTGAAGGTACTATCTACACAGGATAGGATGATTCAAAAGAGGTGAACAAGGTGAAAAGTAAACCTAAACCATTGTGAAAAATATAAAATTTTAAATGAAGAAAATTTAGAAAAATACTTAATGTTATTAAGTAAATAAATATTTTATTTATTATAAAAAGACACTTTTGTATTAAATATTATTTTTGAAAATTTCTGGAATAAAAACAAAACTTGTAAACAAGTTTTAAACAGTTATTTATTACGTCTATACATATATAGACGAAGGATTTCTGGTTGTATTGTACATATGTATATAAGAAGAAGTAGAACAGGATACCTGTTGAGAGCATCGATCCTCAAAGAAACAATCTTTATATCGTAAAAAGTAAACAGAGTTATATGTTTCATCTGATACTGTGATAATGATAATGGTCATGCGATATGATTGTCTATTTCGCGCCAGCAAAGGATATATTGATCAAACATTATTTTTTACACCTTTCCAGATTAAAAACAAACATATGTCACAAAAATAGACTAACACTGATGAGCTTACCTGAACATACAAATCAATATTGACAGAGATACAGGTAATCTTCTTTATTTGTATTAATCGTTTACAGACTATGATATGTTAGAACCTACAGTTTAATCCATAAGGGACGGGCATGCTTATAGGGCACAGGTGTTAGTTGATATGAGTCAACAAATTTAATCATTGATTGTTCCTACAGTTTGTATTACTATCTTTCAAAATGTATCCAGTAGAAATACTTATATCTACGTTATTTTTAAACATACTGCAATGAAATTTATATCATTATTAAAAGAAAATATACACTTTTTAATGAAAGAAGAATTAGCTTAATATAATAGTATAATAGCTTATACGTAGTAGGTGATTGGACGTTAAGCCTAAATTAAAAAAAAAAAAAAAAAAAAAAAAAAAAAAGAAAAGAGTGTTCAACTCACCAAAGTTCTGTCATTATTGATTCACAAGTTCACGACAATTCATCATTTATTTAATAATATATCCACATATCATTCAATCCTTGGTCCACCCTATATGTATTTCACATATTACACGATAAAATTTACAACGTCTCAATTTAATTCATCAATCTGGATAAGTACTTATGAACTGTTCACGAGCATTGTTTGTGTTTTGTGTGGTTGAGAATGAGTGATTGAGTATTATTATCAGAGCCGTCTTAACAGCATTGTGGGCTTTGGGCAAAGCAGTACATACACTGTGGTCGGTCTCACCCACCCACGTGAATAAAAATATAAATGGTTAATAAAATTATATTAATCAACACAAACTTTTAAACTATGTAACATAAATACATTATTTTTTCTTTATTTGAAGGCCCCATGATTGCAGGGGTAATTACAAAGTGTGCCCATGCTTTAAAACGGTACTGAATGTTACGAATCTTTGCTTATCTGTAAGTGCGTTGAAATTGTAGAGCCTCAACTGGAATTCATTTTTATTGTTCCTCGAACGATATTACATAATGTCTTTTCGTTCTTCATTCGAGGGAATTTCTGATGCCAGTGATATCGTTTCACGATATCTACATATGTATGTACAATACATTGGATTACTGATTTCTATTCATTAGCCGAACCAGCGATGTTTAATTCTCCTTCGGTTCAGATTAACCATTTTCCACAAACTACCTTTTCCCTTAATCAGCTCACTTTTTTTTATTACGTTTTTGGCAAATTGTTTTTATCTTTCTTTTTGTATAAAGTGTCGATATAGTAACTTCTTATGTCACCCAGATGTGATGTTACAAATTTTTGTTGAATTAAAATTTTTGGAATTTGGTTGTTGTCGCAATTTATTATATTGTATACAATAAGAATTGGACAAAATAATGGAAGTTAATAATCCTTTATTTGTTGTAATAGCTTTGGTAAACCAACCAAAAACACTTGGTCAGTATTACATGCAAGGGAAATATTATTAAATAAAATAATCGAGATTTAGTAGCTGCGGATGATCTTTGTCCCACATTATCTACAAATGCTGCTTGATTTCAGTTAATGTTTATGAAAACGAGTAAATATGCATTAACTTGACGGACGGCATTGAATCGATTGTACAACTTTCCTTTTATTTATTGCAATTATTTAAATGAAAATAATTTTAATGCATCAATTATGTTTCCCCTTTATGAAGAAAACTATAAATCGAAAAATCGAAACGTGATATTTCCAATTATCTGTTGTATTTCATACATATCTATTCTTTTTTCACGGAGTCGTAAAATTTATTTGTTTGAACTTGTTATTCGATTACCTATACAACATTTAAAGGAGGATACTCGAGAAACGATATAACTGGTTCCAGAAATGTGGTTTTCTTTACCTCGAAAATAGTGGTACTGTATTGTTATGATAAGTCACAACTTCAGAGTTTCTTAAAGATTAAACGATGAATGCTGCTTTCTGTTTATCAGATCTCGTAATCTTAGATTTTTAGATTTTAGATTTCGCTCATTCTTTGCATACTCATTTAATTAATTATTTCAATTCAAAGTTGTATAATTTCCTACACCAAAAAGGTAAACTTTTTCAATGCTTTAATTATCCAGAAATATTGTAAGAACGTCGAAGGGGTCCTCTGTTCGACATACATATTTACCTACTAAAAATGAAAAAAAAAAGAAAAAACGTAAGTAGAAAAAAAAGGAAGGAAAGAAAGAAATAAAAAAGGAGGATCGTTTAAATAGAAAGCAGCAGAATGTAGATGAAATGAAGAGGTACAGAGCTGGCTGTATCGTTCGTACATGGACCGCGACCGATCCGACTATTTACACGTACGTGGACGTATGTGCGTGATAAACTTTGAGGTTTTGCGTGTGCATTCGTGGGCACCTCAGATCCCTCGTCTTACTACCCGCCTTCCATTATCTTTTCTATACCGGAAACGAGATCCTTTCTGTGACGTTTATCCACCAAAAAGCTTAACAATTCAGGGAGAAGCGGTGAGAGGGAATACTCAACCCTTCGTTGCATCGATTTTCTCATTATCTCAAAACTTATTATCAACGAGATACAAAAGTTTCGTAATATATTTATAAGATTACCTTACTAGTCCTTTTTACAAATAAATCTCAACCGCTTATTATGTATAAACTGTAAGAAAAATTGTATAGTACACCTTGCTTGTTCCGAAATGTCCCTTAGCAGCAGTACTATTTTGCATTTAGCGATAACAATATTATTAAATGAATAATTACTAATTAGCCTCTCTACTCCTTAACAAAGCGATCATGAGCTCGGATATCGTACTACGTACAGTCTTATTCAATTATTATTATTATTATTATTATTATTATTATTATTATTATTACTATTATTATTATTATTATAAATGGATTGTAAATAAATTGTTTGTGTTTATTGGTAGCTTTTTAGACTAATTGAGAGGATTTGATGAATGATTATGTACAGTAGACTCTTGTTATATTGGCACATTTATATAGGAAATTTCAAGCATAGTAGTGTTGCTTTTTCACTATTATACCTCTCAAAATGAGAGCTTGGAAGCTTGACAAATTTGCTCCATTCCTACGGCCTCGTACCGTTTGCGGCAATATAACGAGAGTTTACTGTACTTTGTACGTCTATTCATGGGATGAAACTGTTTGATATAAAACTCGATCATTAGTGGTTACTCATTGGATTTGCATTCGCTCCTCTCAATTAGGGTATTAATTAACAGTGACTAAAATTCCATTAATCATCAGTAAACACCTTCAAAACAATGATTTAGTTCGATTTGTAATTCTATTTGTTACCGGAACAGTTATTAACAGGATGACTGTTATGGAGTTGTCATGTTCACTTTGGGATGATTGTAAATTATTTAATTAAATAAGGGTGAATTTTTCAACTCTAACCGTACTGAAAGTTGTTTTTATTGTTCACTCCGATACCAGTCAACGTGTTAACATGTTAAGTAACTGGGGAAGACGAGTTAATTCGTCATTCTGATAATCCTTACACTTGTGCCAGCAAGAATATATCTGTATTTGCTTTTGTCGTGTGTAAGCCAAGTGAACTTTCTTTTATTCACTTTTTATTGCAAGAACAAGGATATAACTCTTCTTTCTTGGTGAAAAATGACCCAGTTAATCGAACAGGTTAATCGAATAAAGCGAATATTTACAGGATGTGACAAGTCGAGTGGTGCAATTGAGATGAAGGTGATTCTACCTTCACCTGCTTATACCATCTGCATCTTCGCATACATGGTGTGTCTGTAATTTATATGCAACGCCACGATAACCGGTACGATTCATTATAATCGTAGTAATTCGTGTAAAAGATAACACACGCAATTGAAACTCGTTACGAGTTATATTGTATCGTTTTGTTCGTATGCAGCGAAAGGTTCGAGGTCGTAAAAGAATTTTTTCCGGGTGTCTGTGCGTTTAGGATCTCGTCTCTCTTATTACGAATAGCGATGGGATCAAGTTCAATATAAGCTCAAAATAAGTACTTAAAATGTTCGAGTATGTAATACTTAAAAGTACTTTATATAAAAATAATACTGGATCCTTAAAAAAGAAGAAATTACAGATATGTAGATAAGCAGATCTCATGGTCAGTGAGCAAGCAAAGCATGCTCAAAGAGACAAAATTATAGTATATTATTCATAAGAGATTCGGAGGCTCGAGCCTGGGAGGCTCCCCATAAGGAAAGTAGTAACATAGGAAAACAAAGTCCCATCACTCATTTGTTAATGTTTTATTGGGAAAAATTGTGTTGCTTGTCTCGAGTCATATACATACATATAGTTATGGAATTTTCTTTCCCAAAATTGCAATTTTCTCTAGGAAAGCCTACCATTTTACTTAGGCTACTGTACTTGGTCAAAGTTTAATTATACCCAAAAGTACTTTTTTATACTTGTATCCCATTACTACTCGCAATTAAACTCCATAATCAGTTCCAGGAAGTTCTGGTAAAACCGGGATGGAGTAAGAAACTTAACTTCCTTGAAGTGCCAATTCCGCGAAATTAAGAGGATATTTTATTCGGTTGCACGGGTGCAACTCGCGAAGCTAAAAAGGAGGGATCTTGCCGATGCTACGTTGAGCCGTGACAAAAATTCCTACGAACGCAAATATTTAAGCTCCTTGAGATCCGCCAGTCTTATTACGCGGCTCTTGCAGCATTCGCCAGATACTTTCAGGAATTTTTGGCAGCGAAGCTGTGCTCTCCGGTTCATAAATTATTCGGTCTTCGCGAGGACGAGGCTTTCAACACCGGCGTGTTTCTAAGCTAACAACCGATGAATATTCCTCATTGCTTCAAACAAGCCGCTACACTCTCACCCTCCCCTTTCCCTCCACCCTTTCTATATGTGTACCAACACTTTTTTTTTTTTCATTCGTCGCCAGTTAACCCGGTTTCCCCCATTGGCACAAAGTCAGACGTGCTCTTCCGTGTTCCATGAATGATTCGTGTTTATCAAAATGGGGCGAGGGGCTGATGACGTGGAAAGGAAAGGGAGGAACACCGGGGAGGAGAAGAGAGATTGCTGGAATAAGTGGTGTGAAACAAAAAAAGAGAAAAAACTGAGAAGCTCTTGAATGAGGATACTACGAACGGTGCGTACGAAATGTCGGAATCTTCTTTTCGAAAATTTTTAGCTTGAAGCGAGCGCGTGATTTAATTAAAAGCTTCAATTAATTACTGTTTCTAGAAGCTCTGAATTCACCGTGCCAATCTCTTTTCACTGGTTAAATTGCTGGCTGCTTTGACCTTTCCTTTCAAATCTTTCAATGCTTTTGCCTCTTGGAAGCTGATTTTAGGTGGGTAAATTTTTTTTTTTTGGGGGGGGGCGATTTGTTTTTGTTGGTACCTACTAATTAACAAAGGTATATTCAGCTATTTATTTGTTTATACATATTATTATAAATGATTGTAGAAAGAATGGCAAATTTAAATTGAATTAACTCTGAAAATTGGTACTTGGTACTTGAAATTTGTATTAAATTACTGTGTAGTTAGTAACACATTTTTACTAATCTTTGGTAATTAGTACGAGTTTGTATGACTTTTACTATAATTTCAAGTAGGTAACTGTAACAATATATTACAATATACAGTACATTAAAAAAGTTCCTTTTTTGTTAAAATGTTTACGTCTTGCTAAGGTTAATGATGATGTCACAGAAACCCCTACATACCAATCTTCTCATCTACATACCTTTTTCTCAAAGAAACTCCACCATTCATTTTATAAAAATCTTATCAGTATGTCGTCATAAAAACGTATTATTATATAATAAAATTTCAACAATCCGTCTTCTGTCGTGGGTAGCACTGAACACGTTCATAAAAGAAAAGGGAAATGGGAAAAGCGCAGTTCTAATGATTGAAGCCTGTGAAAAATGGAAAGTGGCGCAATTCCTCGCGATAAAAATCCGACATTTCATCCGCAGCGATCTAATATTCTCTTATATGTAGACCATGCAATCTTGATACCCTTCTTGAGCTCGTTCCTCCGTACCCTATTTTCTCTCACCCTTTCATCTTATACGAGTAGTATTGGCGCCTCGGCAGTGGAGAGTAATCTTGGTTTCAGATTTAACCCAAACCTCCGGCTGTCTTGGTCCCGTTGGTCCGCAGGTTAGAGTTCCTCCGGTCCTCTTCTGGAACCCACCGTACAAGAAGAAAAGGAAAAGAAAGACACACTACAGACTTTTCCGTTCGGATGACAACTAATGCTACGCTGTAGGAACTACCTTTGTGAATGGTAATTGGTTGATACATAAGATTCCGTTTGAATCTTATTATTTAAAAAAAAAGAAAAAAAATTTTTCATCTACGGATAATCGAATATACGAAAATGAAAGGCGCCAGTGAAAATTTTTTATTCCAAGTTATACCACTGGAGAAAGTAAACTGGAGAGTAATAAATATGCAAACGAAGCTAGTATAGAATTGATTTTGCATTTCAGCGGGTTATGGAGCGACCGGTGTTAAAGTTTTCGGTCATTTAAATTCTTCTCGCTTCACGTTATCATTTTTTTCTCCTTTTATAGATGTTGTATTATTACCTAGTCTCTTTTTTGCGGAAGTGTAAATGGGAGGAAACTAGCATTTGCCACGGAAATGAAGTTACTTATTTACAGGAAACTTATCCTGTTTGTAGAGTAACGTGTCACATTTACACTTTCTTATATTTTAATAAAATTCGTTCCTGTAATAATTCATTTGTTCCTCTGCCATATACGAGTATGTAATACTTACATATTATGTACATATGTATATACGGTCGGAGAGAAAATCCCCTAACGAGGGGATCTGCCCTACGCTATCAGTGGCTGTTGTGATCACCACCCTTCTATCATCTCCACTGTCAATATTCCCAATTACTGGTTATGGAACTCCACATCCCAGACCATTTTTACCAACGATACCCAAAGAAAGAGAAATCCATCTTCCAATTTGTCTATATACTCTATTATTAGCAATAACCGTAAGAGAAACTAAATCCTCCATAATAACACCGAAAGGGAAATAAAATGAAATTCCAGGAATAGAATAAACGAGGTAAAAGAGGAAAGAAAATGATAGAGAGAACTTACCTGTTTTAGTGGCGAACGAAACATCTTTAGGATGATTGGTCTTGATAGCATTCATCCGTCTGTTTTGGGGTCCCTGGCCACCGGTGCAGCCTACTCCCGGCGTTTGTCCATGGCCAGGAGCTAGCCCACCGGTGCCCGATGTCGGTCCACCGACTTGCAAGTGCTGTTGAGTGCAACCCGGTGGACCCCCGGTACCCGCTACTCCGGTCATTGCGAGTGGCGCACCTGGAGCTCTGACTCTTGGCTGCTCGACCGGAAGTACCCGGCGTCTCTTCTTAGGTAACTTGGCTCGCGCCTGCGTGTGACTGTAATACATCGCAAAGTTGCTGACGATCACGGGCACGGGCAGGGCGATCGTGAGGACACCGGCTAGAGCGCAGAGGGCACCGACGAACATCCCAACGTAGGTCTTCGGCACCATGTCCCCGTAACCGACGGTGGTCATCGTGACCAACGCCCACCACAATCCGAGCGGTATGCTTTGGAAATCGTTCTTCGGGTTGTACTGGGTACGTTCGGCGTAGTATACCAGACTGGCGAAGATCACGATGCCAAGGACAAGGAAGAAGACGAGGAGGGCCAGCTCCTTCGCCGAGGCGCGGAACGTTTGTATCAAAATCTTGAGGCCGGACGAATGACGGGTTAACTTGAACAGTCTCATAATACGTATGATGCTCAAGAACTCGAGGATATCGGCGTTCTCAAGATGAGATGCGAAACGTTGAAGCGCCAAATCGAGGTAGAAACTTAAGGTCGCGACCATGTCGATCAGGTTGACCGAGCTCTTAATGAACTCGCAGCGGTTTGGGCTCGCGGTGATTCGTATTAGGAACTCGAGGGTAAACCAGGCGTTGCACATACACTCGATGTAGAAAAAGCAGACGTGAGCGTTCGTGTGCGTTTTATCCACTGCCCAGGAGGTCTCGTTTCCCATGTTCACCGACCTGTTTACGATCACCGGCACCCGCATGTCCGGATGCGTCTTCAGGCAGAACGACATGATTGAGATGAATATGAACAGGACCGAGACTATACTGATCACCTATGAAACAGTTCAAATATTGCATTAATCGCGGCCAATTTTTCAATTTACATATGCAATCTATTATTTGTAAAATAATAGATTTATTTATAAAATCAAGAATGATTTTACTGAAATCATTTCTATATTTCTTTATTATACATATAATATGTTACTCGATGTATTGTGGAAGTAACTTATTTAATTTTCGTGTTCTGAAAATCCAACCGAAAAGATACCGTAATAATTTCATGTCAACGTCGTGGACGGGATAATAGAACTCGAAATGGAAGATGATAATAGTTGAAAGGGGATTACAGAGAACATATAGATAATACCAGAGAAAACGAAAATAAAGGCAGAAGAAAAGTAATTTTTGGTTACTTGTTCGTGAATTTATTAGGTCATCCCATAAAGTGTTTGGGACTCTGTAATGATGATGATGATGATGATGATGATGATGATAATAATGTTTTTTTCTTTAGTGGAATGCCTGTAGATTTCTCTGCATCAGCAGTATCGGTAGGATATTGGAAAATAGGTACCTATAAAAGTTACTATCGGAGACGACTTTTTCATTGAACGTAAACTTGCTTACAACAGACTGGTGTCGTTTGGACAGCCATCGTTACGGTAGTCGGAACTTTTCAGTTTCATTCGCTTCTTTGTCATAATCAAGTGAAGAAAAATCAATGGAAATCTGTTCTATACGAAGAAGCTTTTATAAGACATTCTGGTGAGATTTGTAATTTTTTTTATTCAGTGTCAAAGTCAATTTATTATATATTTTAGTTACAATATTTTTAATTTGATTCTAGCTTCCTCCTAAATCTTAAAATGTTTTTATCAAGAAATATTGTTATACAAACCTTAGCTGATAACGAGGAGTAGGGTTCATCGAACAACGACCACATCTGAGGCTTGAGCTTCTGCCACCAGGTGAGTGTGCCCTGGTAGTACGCCTCCTCGAAGCCGAACTTCCTTGCCAGCTCCTCTTCGGTCGGCATCTCGGTATCGAGGTCCAACCTGTCGAGGACTGTCAGCGTTTCCTGCGTGTCCCGATGCTAGAAGACCGGGTCGGGATGGAAGAAAGGGGCACGCAACAATGATCGTTATTCGTACCTGCGAAACTTTTTCCTTCTCTGGAGGGTGCGTTTTTATTGTTCGTGCGTTCTTCGGGACAGATAAAGCGCGTGCAAAGCGTACGTGAATCTCCATGAATATATGAAACACAAAGTCATTCCCATTTCGACTACGACTAATTCTAACAACCATTTTTAAAACCGACTACACATTAGTGCTGCTCCCTCATTAACGTAGCCCACGGAGGTGAAAAAGAAAAAAATAGGAGATTTATCAGATGGCACGCTTAACACAGTGGAGCTGCAGTAAAATTATTAATCGGATCAATGACCAGAATAAATTTTGGAATTTTGGAATTTTGGAATTTTAGAATTTTATAGATATTGCTATTTATAAGAATAAAAATGACAGTAATTCCGTTACAGTAAACATTGAAAACAGCCAGCCATGGGTCCCGCGCAATTCCGTGAATAATTCGATCAACGGTACTTTGGAGCTAATTGAACGTCGATTGACAATTTCGATAATGTACATACAATGTACGAGAGACTCGTGGAATGGTATGCTACGATTGCGACGATCTGCATTTGAATATTACCGCGAGCCTGTCGTTTCTGGACTTTGACGAATGCGATACATCATAAGGAGGAATGGTGAAATACAACAGAAATTAGAATACAACATGGAAGGTGTGATTTAGAAACGCCTTTAGGGTACGACAATGGAAGTACTTTTAAAAGAACAGATAGTTTCGACGGGACAACCCATTTCAAGTCGCGTAACAGTAAAAAAGAAGTAACTTTTCAATTGAAAAATTATAATATGAATTAATTGCTGTTTTCTATAGCATCTCCATTATTTTGAAAATTTTTGCGTTGATCAATTATCTAACACCTATTGGAATATTCAAAGTGTTAACGTTTAATTATAATAGTCTTTGAGAAATCGGGTTAACGTTGGGAAGTGACATTACCTATCTTCCACTATCACTTTAATGGCTCATAACAACTACTCACTCAGCTAAGAAGATTACTGATTTAACTAACAAATTTATGAACAATGGAAAACCTCGAATGATTCGCTTGGGAAACGTTACGCAAGATTCTTTACTAAATCATAGTCTCCCATCCAATCTTGAAATTCGCATTACGAGAGAAATTTTTATCGACTACCGTTTTGCAATCTATTTCATAGATTTCGTTTATCGTAGAATTTTATTAAACAACCTTTTTCTAGTAATTTCAAATCATTTGCAATTACAATTTTATAAATACCTTATGCAAAACTTGATGTGGTATAATAAGTATTAAGTATATGTACATGTATTATAAATAACAAGATTTTATCACGTTTACGGTGACTCACAGATAACATCTTAAATTTCTAGGTTCTGGTGCAAGTTTCATCATCAATATGATGAATTAAATGCTGGTTTAATTCATTTTCTTTTCAACATCATTTTCATATCGTGCCTGTATCTACTTTAATAGTGAAACGAAGGAAACAAAACGCAATTTATTTGATCGGCTCGTTTATTTTCATCATTGACCCGGATGACGGAAACACCATTTGTTTTAAATTCCGTAAATTCAGTAAAATTAATTTTCGTACGAATAATAACGAAGCAGTTGACAATTTGAAATCGATTTCACAGAATTGCGTGCTTTGAAATATGAAATAAATACATAAACTGGTTATACATATAAAAGTTGATCAGTTATATGTATAACAGTATTTATTAATTCTCGAATGGTCAATTTTTGGTCAATACCGATCCAGGATCTAATAAATCATGAATCAATTCTACTTATCCTACAAATTTATTAATAAATTTCTCATGTTTCAACTTAATTGCAAATATCCCCTTCGAGATTGGAAATTATCAATTTATAAATTATCAATCTTACTTCAATATATTTGACATATCATCTCTGGAACAAAATACATTCTGCAGAATATACAAATTATAAAGCAATTGTTATTAAGTTAGCAAATTGTGAAGAGGATGGGTGAGCAGAGAAAATCAATAACGAGGAAAAAGGTCGGACCAGTTATTTTATCAAGGAACCACTTATTCATCATATAAATTGAAATATGTAGATGGAGGAATATTTAGGATTAAAATGTCGAGAAACTTTATTAAGGGGTCTTTCATTCCTGTTCTAATATTCGAACATAGGTAGTATCTGACAACTCCGTGAATATTGATTTGAACAAAAAATTGGTTAAAGCGAAGCTTCGAGGAATTATTTTAAAATAATTCCAAAAAAGGAAGTGGCTTACGATCCGTACTTAAAAAAATTAAAATTTTGATCCTTGCACGATATTTAATAAAATTTGTAATCTTTCAAAAATATGTATGTATGTATGTATGTATCTCTTGATCTATAGTGATCAATACCGTCAAGGGATTTAAATAGAGGGTTAATTATAAAGAAAAAGAAAAATGGGACTTGATAATTCATAAGCTTTACAGATCTTTTGCATCTTTCAGCTTCTTCATACTTGTATCCTGTGTGAATCAGCATAACAATGGCTGCGTCAATTCGGTTGTCTCGTACGAGGCGTACTAGTTTCCATAAATCGATAATTGTGCGTGCACTGTACAATTTTAAAGAGAAAAAACAAAAGGTCTGCGTCGAATCTGTCTTTAAAGGATGCGTCAGAAATTGACTTCATTATACTGTATGTACATTAGCAACTATTCGAATATTATAGAGAATAAAAATCATTAACAAATTAACGTGTTGGGTCAAGCAGAGATGGTTGTTCATTGAATGATGGATACAGGAAAGAATAGTTAATAATAATTCGTTCTGTATGTTTTATCCGCCATTCAATGGTTAGCATTATATTAAAATTATATAATCTGATTGTCAGTCAGATGTATATATACCTACTATAATATAATACAAACAAAAGATATGCATGCCGATTATATATTATACAGTTTGCATTATACATATAATCGGTAAATTCATTAGCTGTGTATGTACATATTAATTGAATGGTTAACATTGTTTATAGTGAAACAAAACTGACGGCACTTGTGTCACACTGTTCCCATAGTGCAATGCTTCATGTTAGCAATTATTAATCTAGATTTCAATATAAAAATTGTATTATAAATAAAACAGAACAAACACATTCACATTATATTATTAAAAAATGCGATTTTTACCACGTTAATTGACGATGCAGATTAGATATTTATTATACATACATATTTCTTTATTTTGTATAAAACTTCATGAAAAAATGGATGGCGTATAACCAGAAAATATTAATAATAAAATCAGAATTAAATAAAATTTCTTTAGAAGTACGGTACACGATAAAAACTGAAATAAAAATTTGTCTTTTCAATCTGCATCGATATCCGGTAAAAAGCTGCATCTACTTCTAAGTAACGAAACAAGAAACCTCAATGCAAAAATTCCTTTCAGTGCTTATATTGTATGTATACCTGAGTGTAGGTCATCCAGCAACACGGTTCCACCTGGTTAGAATCTAGGCCCCAAAAGTCCAGCTCCTCTTCGAACAGTGGCCCGCAAACATCCGTCGGATAGTGGAGTTTTCCGGTACGATAATAATTGAGCACCTGCGCGAAGACCCCCGGATGTCTGTCGAAGAAGTATTCGTTCAGGATGGGGTCGTAGTTACCGAGCGCTTCGGTCAGCTTCGACAGCCTCGTCGCGGGGATCTTCTTCAGGGTTGCCTTGTACGTCTCATGCCGGATACCACCCACGTTGAGAACCACCCGGTTCTCCGAATCCATGTTTAGAACACTCATTTTGAAAGAGGCTCTGCTATCGCCGTATCCGACTCGGACAAACCCACGCGACCTGCACATTAGAAAAAGGAAAGATTTTTTTTTTTCAAAAAACCCTAACCTATCTTCTTTTTTCTTTTAATCTGCAGTTACAAAACAGTTGAAAGCAACGTGAACTTTTTGTCAAATCGTTTGATTTATACATATATAGGGGTATCGGTCATCGCATCGTTGTAACCCAGAATTTAATTTTCGGTCGTTTTATCAAAAATTCGGGGGCTCTTTTGCCACGAACGAAAGCCGAGTAGTACCTATTTTTAAATGAAACCTATTCATGCTTACTCTCTGGTTCATGCTTATCGAGTGTGACACAATTGTGTGACGAATTTACATACGATTCATTTTTCTTTTTTTCTCGTCAAGGGACGCATACTGGTTTCTCACATAAATCCACCGAGACAAAAAATCATTTGGGTCACGTTACGGATTCGCCCTGAATTATTCAAACCGTCATTTTCAATAAAGCTATGACATACAGCTTGAACAAAAATTAAATGTATGTATGTATGTATGTATGTATGTATGTACACCAACATTCTTAATCAGAATAACCTTTTTTTAATTATCGCCACCATTTGGAAGTTTACAAAATTTCATCGGTTATCTACGGATAACGATTAAATTATTTTTAAACTTGTAACTCCACAATTCGATTGCTCTGAAAGTTTTCAAACAGATTAAATATTTTCTAATTATACGCTACCGTGACTTCGCCATTGACGTGTGCATATTTAACAATTCCACTCAACTGGGACGACTAAAAATATATATGTAGGTGTACTCTTCTTTATTCCTCTTTCATATAAAATCTTTCATATTCGAATGCATATTGCCTCGTCTGGTAATTTAGAAGAAAAATGGGTTCAGGTTGGCCGATAGCCATAAAAATGGCTAGATAAGCTAGATATTTTCACAGTTTGTATAAAAACTGTATCTGAAGAATACAGTTAAAAGGTACCTCATTTGTATAATAGAATATTTTCTCTTTAGTACCTATAAATTTACTATCTTTTGTTTTCAGAAAATATTTATAGAAAATAATTTATAATATCTTAAGTAAAATATTTTCTTTGCATTCTTGAAGCGACATTTCGGTAACGTATATACCTACTACAACATGTCGCTATACCTTGTGATATAGGAAATAGAAATCCCTAAGGGTGGGTGTATCAAAGATGTTGAAATCTCAGTCGATAGCGGATCACTGACAGAGATGTAATAATATGTGACAGGATCTATGGGAGGTTTCCACGAAACCGTATCAAAGGAGCTATTCAAGTGACATTCCAGTTCCGTTGAACCGTGATTAATGTATCAACTGTCAACTGATCTTATCGGAAATTTCTCAAGTGTAATATACTTTTCCAATGAAGTAAATAGGAAAAATATTAAAAATGAGAAAAATTATCAAATAAAGAATTAAAGAAATTAATATTTCAAATAGCAAACTTTTCAATCGATCATTGTTTGATCCAATTCTTCCATTATCCACCGTTCTTCTCTTGTTATTTACTCATTGTCAGTCAGTTCCGAGTAAAAAGTGAATTGCTTGAAAGTGTGCATCGTTGTAGGTAAGGTTGGTAATTAAACGGGGCCAAAAGGTTCAGGAAAGCTGAATTGTAAATCTACTAGGTAATCTGATAATTGCGGATTACGGTAATGAGATAAGCGTTTGAGCAGAAAATAGGTAGGTTCAATGGATAGGTTGTGTGGTACATACACTTTGAACACGGTACTTAACGTAGCCAGTGAATACTTTAAGAGGGGGATGTTTTGTGAGTGAACATTTAAATTAGATCCTAACTCTGTTGTGACACGCTTCAGTCAAGGTATTTTTTTTTTTTTTTTATTATTATTATATAAAATTATTATATAAAAGTTAGATGACAGTAGCTAGTATAATGATTTTATAGGGTAACGTATACACTAATTGACCCCTATACAATGATTGCAAAAGTAAAAAGTATAATGTAACGCGCTGTTTAAATAACCCTGGACAGGAAAGTGAAGAAAAATTTCTTTCTCCAAGAACATTTGTTGTAATAGAAACTTAACAAATTATAACCTGAGCCGCGTTGCAAATTGAAAATCTGTTTAACCACCTCTGAATATTACCGCGATTTTTTCAAAACGCATGCATCGTTGAAGCATTTTATTGAAAGTTGAAAGCGGACAGAAATAAGGTAAAAATTTTTAACGAGATGTTTCGGTGTACATCCAGTAGGAAAACTGGCCAACGGCAGCTTTTTTCATGGCTACCGCCTGTATATGCGACTCTTTTAAGAGAATATATAGTATGTATAAAAGCCCTCTCACGGTTGATGCCTAAAGAACACATCACGCGTTGCTTTTCTCAAATAAGAAACACAAATTCTGCTCACGTCACTGTACCAAATTACTGTAAGAAGTTCAACCGTACAGTAGGAATGAATTTTTTCTTTCCTTTCAACAGAATTTATTTAAAAATGCTCACATTAATGATTTGATCGCGACTGGACGTGTACCAGTAGTAGAAGAACTGCTGATCTAGATATAAAGTAATCGTCAGATTTCTAAAAGAACCATCGATAAAGTTCGTTCATGGCCGTTCACCGCAGATCGTAAAAGAATTTCAATCGTTACTACTTGTACGGAACAGCGAGTCCTTTTAAATTCAAATTCACATTCAAATTCAAGAACCCCCTCGGTGTCTATTCGACGATAAACGAGAATGACAGCATCTTCTTTGGAGCACACCAACGATAGATATACAGTTTCTTCTTTTTTGCAAGTTTCCTTGAATTTGAACACAAACGCAGATATAAAGTCAAACGACATTGCTATGCAACAAAAACGAATGCAAATCCGTTTCGTTCCGTAACGGTAGACTTTTTTCTATTTCTCGTTTATCGAAGCACATCTACAGCGTGTTATATAGAGCGAAATAATTCGTTTCATCGTGCCCCCCCCCCCCCCCAACGACGTTCTTCTTTACTTCTTTCTCCTCGTTGATAAAATAAAATTTGATAAAATGTGTTAGATGTCCATGGTGTAATAGTAAAAGAAGAATTATCCTCCCTTTCCCATCCTTTTTCTTCCCAATCTCCCAATCTTCGCTTATCGTAAGGTCACTGTTATCAATTTTCTAGCACAATAAATGAAATAAAGTTCTCTTTTTACACGTATGATAAGAAATATAAAATTAAGAAATTATAAATTCCAAAATATGTGTGTTCATCAAAGTATTATTATTGTATAATTTATCCAAAAGCTTGTCATGTTAATCAGTTAGAGGTAGGTATATTTTCCAAAATTCTTAGTAAAACTGGAGTCCAGTGACTTTAGTAAAAAGAAATAATCTACAAGTGGTTTTAACCTCAGCCAGTGCTCGAGAGGGTTGCAAACTACTTCGTTCTCGGTCAACGTTCGCCACGAACCTACCAACGTGACTTCGTGGCTGCTTTCCACAGAATCGTAAAGTCGACGATCGAGTTTTACTTTCAGAGTGAAATACCGGATTCCAAGAAAGCTGTCTCGACCCTTCTTGTCGATATAGAAATAAAGTCGTGGAAAAGTTTCTTCCCTCGTAATGATTGTCCTAAGATAGAAGAGTAATAAAGCCAATATGTCCTATATCCGTTTCTTTTTATATGTACAAAGATTTTTCATAAAACCTTCAGGATGTAAGTTTTATGATAAAAATCACTTTAATTTGGAAAATTTCAGTTTTCTTTATTTTTTCCTTAATTTTTTCTTTATTTTTATCCTATTTTATTTATTTAACTACATGTATGTATTGTACGTACATAGAAAAGAATATCAGTTAAATAGTTATTGCACCTTTCTTCTTTTTCTCATAGTGAAATTGAGATTGAGAATCATATCATATCATATCATATAGATATTATGTATATTTTGTAAAAAATGTATTTATTTGGTTTTACACTATTTTTGGGTCACCCTCTACTATACCCTGTTAAAGGGGCGCTGCGATCGAATTCTAGGTCGGTTCTCCATCCGTGACGTCACCGAGTGATTCTCACGTGTGCGTACACGAACACGAGGGTGGTTTGCGCGGGCGCCTCCGCTTAGCGATTGCATGAATTCGATGTAGGACAGCGTTTGTCGAGTGGGCTATATTTGCCCGTAAATGGATACAGAGGAACGAGGGTACCCGTAACTCGGAGACTCATTGTCAGTTGCTGAGAATTATAATAATAGCATTGGCTAAAAAACGATGATCGATAGCAACAATCGATGGAGTGTAGAAAATGGAGTGGTCATCCCAAAAGGTAACAGGATATTGATTATATGTATATTTTTCTCCTTGACCAAAAATCTCTTCACTGAGAATGTTAAATTATAAATTTTCGTAGAACATTTTCAGTATTAGAAAATGAACATGTGATTGAAGAGAAAATAAAATAAAAAATTTCTAATTATTTCTAATTCATGTTATTATTTGCTACGATATAACCAGAACAAATATAAGCCTAGAAAATCCTTATTAAGTTCTCTTACATCGAGCTTCATTTCAATCAGCTCTTAATTAAATAAAAAACATTCCACAACCTCAATTAAGTAAACTCTGTGTACAAGCTTTAGAGAAACTCCAAGTAATTAAGTTTGCTGAAGAAGTCAATCATTCAGTGAACTTTTATTTGCTGAAAACCTTCAAGCAATTTTACAAACTCCACTTGTATAAATAATTGATAATTTGATTAATAAACGAACGGGTTTCATGAATACAGTAGTTAGTAATTAGGAACGTTTCAATTAATTTCTACGATAATGAATTATTTTGAGGTAAGAACAACAACAATACTTGGAATTACGTAAAACAATATTATAATTTTATGTTGAAATAATAATGTTTTGATTAATTTGATTTGCTCGCGTATGATAATACGTGAACGTGACAATACACTTACTATTAAATCAGGTTTCCCTAGGGAAAATTTACGAATAAAAGAATAAGACAGAGATTCTGAAAATCTGAATTTCGATGATATTAATATTAAAAGTATAATAATTCAGAGAAAAAGTAATATAATTTTGAATTATTAAAGACTATATAATTTAGTACGACTGATATTAATATAATACAATAAATATCAATACAAATACTTCCGCGTAAATGTTTACACGCAATTGATAGAACCAGCAGACTCCTACATATATGTATGTAAATACCTATGTATGTATATGGGGCTTCTTCCCTTGAAGTGTCAGTTTCCTTAGGGATGCCTATGGGGAAGGGCAAGAATCCAGGACATCACTATTTTGCTTAGGGAAGCCTGATTTAATTGTCAGGGTATGTTACAACAGTTACCCAACAGTGAAAAACAATGTTGACACAATGTTAATTACATTCGAAATATTATTATATACATAATCTACTATATTAATATAATATTAATTTATCTTTTATTTAGTCAAATTCCATGTATAAACCCTGCTTCCACATCTGAAATATATTTTCTAAAGTTTACATTATCCTTTCATTTTTATTTCCTCAGGTATGTACAACAGCAAAAATACAGCACGTCTTACTAGACGACAATAAAAGTCCCTATATGAAAGGTCACCGGTAAAAAAAAAAAAGAGGAAGATAAAAGTCATAAAAAAAGGGGTACGAAAACAAGCCTGAGCATCTATGTAATTAGCGCAATGAATAACTCTAAGCTGTAATATATTACCTGCGAAATTCGCATGGCACTGAGCCAAGGGTAGCAACATTAAGCCGAATAAATGAAGAAAAAGGGAACGTTTAACGCTGCCAAGACTGACGCGGTCACATTTGACCGCTGAATAATTACGCGGTCCGTGCTAATTCGTCCCTATGGAACTTTTGGCCAGCCACAAAATTCTTTTCTTGTAAAAAATTTATCCACTGTGAACTGACAAAAAATTCGACCTAACGCGAATGCATAAATAATGGCAGCCTCGGTTTTGTTGAAAGGAGAGACCCGAACCGTTGCTTGTATATGTATATGTATATGTATATGTATAATGTATATATATACACATATAAGTTACATATAAAGAGTTAACACATTGATTGTCAAAAGGGTTAAGTGGCTGTAGTAATTTTATGTTCTTTTTCCTATTCAAAATGAAATTTTAGATGGATTTATGGTCCATAGCTTCTGATTCTATACATCAAGAATACAAACAAGACTAAATAAATATTAGGACACTCTCCATAGTCCGTTGTCCGAGGGTTAATCTTCAATCAAATATCTTTTTAATGCAAAAGATTAATGAAGAAAATTTCCTGAAGAAACAACAGAACGTACTTCTCTAAGTATTCTATAATCTTAACCACTGACAATGAGTTCCGAAATTTTGGACATTCCGTTAACCGTGTCCGACAAGAAATTCCATCGTCGGAGCGGTAGCCGCAGTTATCATCGATCAGGAAAATCACGAAGCGCTCGGTGACTCGTGTCGGTCGGTCGTCGCGTCGTGTTAGCCACCCTGGTAGCCAGCCGGTTCTTCGTTCCACCGCGGTGCGTCGGTGGGGTGAGTTGGCATCGTTCGAGAAGGTTGTTGACCACCATGAGATACGAGAAGCCCGCGTATGCAAAGACGAGCCGCGTGTTGTCGCGAGCAGCGACGAGCGTTCTACGAGGTGGTTTACGAGCGAACCTGAGCGGCGCGGCTGCGGCAGTAGCAGTCGCCAGTCGACCCCTTGTCGCGAGAATCGATAGTCTGCGTGCAGAAAACGCCGGTACGCCCAACATAGCCCATCTCGATTCCTTCTTTCGATCTGACGACGTGAAAGAAAAGGAGGAGGAGGAGGAGGAGGAGGACGGAAGAAACAAGGAGGCAGTAACCTGTCGAAGCGGCGCGGCATGCCAGCGAAATCGAACCAACCCTTCAACCCTGTTCAAGGGGCGGACAGGCGGTGGCGATCGAGCGAGAAAACCAGTGAATTCGATAAATCAATGAACGAAAATACTCGTTGGAGTATTAAGAGAAAAACTTAGCAGTGCATCGAACCAGTAGAGATCGAATTGGAGAGAGAGAAGATTAATAAAGGCAGGGATTAAGGCGATAGAAAGGATCGACCTTCCTGGCATCTTAACAGCTTTGTTTCACTAAGTTCAATGGGCCGAGGAAGCGATAGGGCAGAAGATATTAAAAATAGAGCCCTCACTCTTTAGGTACGCCTATGATTCACATCCCTATGAATACAAAGGTAAGCGGAAGTAGAAATTCAGACAGATAGCAGATCCTCGTTAATTTCTGTGCGCTGCTTCGACAAAGGTAGCCGAATTCAAAGAAAAGGGGAGCAGTACCTACTTCGTGGCTAGATACATTAAAATCCCCAGCTTCGGATCCGGTAGAGTCAAAGTTGACTCGGATCGTTTGCGTTTGCCGAGTAATCGGCCGACAAAACACGGGAATACAATTAGAGGAGTAGGAAGGAAAGTTCGCTTCTGGTTCCCCGGGGGCTAGGATCCACTTAGGACGTCGGGAGCGATACAGCCAGCAGGCAGACTACAATCTACTTACCTTCGGTCGCGCTCTCTTCATGTCTCAGTGTTCCTTCAAGGCATCCCAATGACATTATTCCGTATCCTCCATGTCGGTGCTGGCTGTGACGATGGCGCTGGTCGAAGAAATATTACCGCTAGGCACAATGGACACTAGACGGTCCGCTACGAAGCCGGCACTGAAGCAACGACGCAAACGACGACTTGCGTCTTTCGTGTACGCTCGTTGGGGAAAACTCGGTTACCGGTTGATTCTCATCCTGCCACCACCCGACACGAACGAAAGGTCATCCGGTTACTACCCGGTTCGTGTCGCGGACTCTATGTGACCCTAATGTCAGGACGAGGATTCCAGCTATCTCGACTCGTGCGCGGACTGAACTGACCTCGAACTAAGCGGCCGTCGCGTCGGAGCAGCGCGAAAGGGTGGCGTGTGTAGGGGATGACGAGCGGCGTAGGAGTGGGAGAAAAATGCGCGCGCAGAGCTTCGAATGCGTATGCGTTGTTAAGGTAATCGCTATGTGCACGTTGGCCTTTGAAAAGGGTCGTGGTCTTTCGGCTGACTCGGAGCACCGATTTTTTCGGAGCCTGCCTGCCTGCCTGCCTCCCTTACTGATTGTATCTTTATTTTTTCTTTTCTGTTTTTTTCGCTTCATGTATACATATGTACGCGTAAGCTGTAGAGAATTTACCTGGCTTCCGCCGGATATACATATTCCAACGTTAACCACCACGGATAGTGCTTCTGCAAAGTTTCACCTCCCGTTTCTGCAAGGGCGTAGGTGTTTTGTTTCCTCTCTGCAGATTACCGAGCTTTCCTTTTGGTAGACGGTCAAGTTATTACGCTGAGAAATGTAAGTTACGTTTGCGGCTATACTTGAATTTTCTTCGCACGATAATTACGTTTCTTTAGACTTTAGAGGCTGAGGAATGGGGGGCTTTAGAATTTTTCTGTGCTGGAGACTTTTTACATTTAAATAGGGGCAATACATTTTCGTCCATTCTATTAAAATTGTAAATATTTCTGAGAGGAATTTAGTCCTCTTAAATTTAGTCAAAATAATAAATTATATTTTTCATGTATGGTACGAGAGTAAATTTGACCTCTTGAGCAATCACTTAAATAAAATTAGCAAAAGAGGTCAACAAGGAGAAAGTTTAAGTTTCAATCTACTTTCCATCACAAGAGTTTTAGATAAATTTTAACGAAGTTAGAGAACTTCGAAGTTCGACAACTTTTCAGTAGTATTCAAGTGATATAATAAGTTTTTCCAATAATGTAGTTAATCATTCTGCCTTTGGAACATCATATTTATAATGATTACTGACAGACGCAAGTTATTCAACAAATGCTTTCTACAAATGTTTCATCACAGGTCAATTTTAATTGCATTACCTGTTTGAATGGCATATTTTTTGTTACAACTATTCTAGAATTTATAGTTTCTACCTATTATCAGAGGAAGGTACACTTTTGAAGCGCACTGTATAGAAAAAGAAAACTTTTTCTCCGATTTTCTTTTCTCGTCGTTTCCTGTTCCTTGTCCCATAAATTAATGTCTGTAGTTGTGCTTTCCCTCAACGTAAGCTTGTGATTAATTTCACTGCACCTTTCAATCATTCCGCCCTTTCTTGAAACACTCTCTGGGATACTTTGATTCATTACAGTGTTCATTAAATACATGTATAGTTATTTATTAAGATATATGTACCTACATACCATATTCTATTTTATGATGTACCTAACTAATTTAGAAATTTGTTAAGAACACTGTATTGAAAATTTGTCCATATAAATTTGTTTTTTGATCAAATAAATTAATATAATTTCATAACAGAGTGTAAAAAATTTTCGTATCGGTGTTTTCCTCGAAACGATCTTCTTTAAATTGACATTAGGATATTTTCGGAACTATTGAACTGATAGATTTATTCTTTTGTATACACACTGGAACGCCATGTGGCTATTGTTCTTGCTATTTATAAGTTAACAGTTTCAATACATTTCTTTGCAGAAAATAACTGGTAGAAGATATTTCTACACTAACGATTACTATGTATATTTATTTTTTGGCTTTGAATTGTGAAATATAACATAACTAAGATTGAAAGATTTCAGAATTACAAAATTTCTAGGGAACCTCGTGCATCTCATCGTCAGAAAAAAGCTCCAAGTCACGCCAATGTCCTATTTCCTCTGTATCTTCCTGCGTATATTTCGTATAAAATGGGAATATTATTCCGAACAGCAGTTAATAAATACTAGGAACGTCAAATTAATTTAGACTGTCGTTTTATTGCGGTAGGATCTCTCAATTTTACATATGACGCCAAATTGCTACGCCACAATATGTATACACTTTGCGCTAGCTGTCGCGACAAGCAATGTGCGCTTCCGTTCTATTTCAACGACAATATTACACGTAGCTGATACGCCTTCGTAAGATATCATCAATATCGACGTAAAATTTCATTAAAATAGATATTTTTCCTCTATGAATGATTTTGTCCATACTTAACAAATCTAAGGACCTACAGATGTAGTAGGTACTCTTCGAATTGTTTATCTTTTTCGTCAATGCACTAATAACAGAGTTATGACCCTCCTTATGATCTCCTTTTCTTTCTTAGGTACTTATGTATTTCATTAAAAATTCTATGAAGATAGAATTACCATTTCGTTATTATTATGTAGGATGATCATTCAAATTGAAATTTTAATGGACGCTGCAACATATTGACAGCGATCTTTAATATTTATTTACTTTATTAAATATAAATTGCAATTTTAAAATTAGTAATTTTGTACAGTATGTCAAATACTGTACGTATAAAAGGGCATGAAGTGTAGAATGATAGAACCTAATCTTTTTTTTTTTAAATCAATTTGTATGTCTAACAACAAATTAACTACTTTCTTAGTTACTTTAATTGAAAATTTTAAAGAGGGTAGTTCTTCAAAGTTTACACAGTGTCGGCTCATATGCACCCTCGGATAGAAACCATCCGGCTTACTGTAAGCGACAGCTTACGACACGGAACAGCGTGTTTAATCGATTACAAGTCGACACGAAACGCCAGTCGACCCTCGTTCGTAAAAAAACTTTCTGAACCGTATATGGAGAATTTACACCACCGCGCACCGCTACCGCACCGACGAATCATGATTTAGACAGAAAAATTGAGTTAAGTTTTTGTTAAGAACATGTCCCCTGACAAAGAAATCTTCGGCCTAGAGATCGTAAAAGTCGCCTGATGATTTCTGATGAAACGTGTCACAGGATCTTTTATTGCTGGATCTTTTAACATAATGCAGGATTGATATCGATGGAAAAGGGTGAGAGATTGAAAGAAGCATCCTTTCTTCTTAGGGAAGCTTAATTTGTTTTTTAAGCATTGATTTCTATTATTTTATAAAAGAAACAAATTCATATTTGGATATTACGTGCGTTTACGATACCTTACAAATTATATAAAATATGCACTTGACTCGTCTTCCGTCGCGTCTTATCATTCTTCTTCCTTAAGCTCGTTTATTCGGGAGTGAATAATCGACATAAAGAACATTGTTCAGCAAGTACAGGGAACCCTTCTTAAGTGCTTAAACTATTGTCGTTGTTTCTTTCTTCTCGTTTAATTAATACCAAGAGAGAAAGAATATAGATACGTTTTTATCTTTAATTAATTAAAGAAAGTAAAATTGAAAAATGAAAGAATACTGAATAACATACAGAAATTTATAAAATAGAAAATTACTCCAGTCCTCGCCGTAAAGTAAAGCGAATCTTAAGAATAAAGTAAAAGTTAAAACGCGTTTTTATTATTATTAGTTTGCGTTCCTCGCGCAGCAACTTACCAATTAACCTCGGAAAATCCCCTAGCCAGATTTCACGTCAGTAGGAACAATTCCCTAGCAGCATTAAAAAGAAATAGAGTGATCAAGTTCCGGGGGTGAATCCCCGGTGCGGTGTGGCGAGCCTCGTGCATCCATGGTTCCCGAAGGATTAAAGATCAAGAGAACGGTCAAAGAGTTTTTGTCCCGGTGATTCGTATGGACACGATGACAGACGGGACGAGAAGATAAACCAACCGAGCTCAGAAAAGGTCAGACGGCAAAGACATTTAGGGAAGTTGGAAGGCGTGGAACAAAGAAGGGGACTAATCGTAAGTGAGACACAAGGAGTCTGCGTGTACTGTGAAGCTGCGTTTACTCGCGTTAGAGGAAGTTGAAAAGTACGGCCCGAGGAGCAGTGACGTTAAAGGGCGAAGAGAGGATGAAGCTTGCCATTCTGCCCGTAAGCAAACTGCCCTACCGGTCGATGCCTTACGCTTGCGCCCTAAACCTCCTCGCTTCACCCTCGCCTATTTCCTTGCATTTGAATCGGTGATTAAACTTTCACTTCGCTTCCTTCTTCCCTTTTTTCCTTTTTTCCTTTTTTCTTTTTTCTTTACCGTCTACTTCTTCCTCCCCGTCTTCTGTTCTCTGCGGTTGAACAGGAGGAGGGTAAAACCAGTGACGCAGCAGGTGCATTGTGTCACCAAGCCGAGATAATTTCTTGGTGGAAAATTTTGTAGTAGCGAGTTTTCACAGGATGTTGAAGTTAAGTTAGATTGGTGTTTTTTCAGAAAATTGACGGTAACTTTCAATTCCTTTCATCTAAAGCTCTGTATGGGTTGTAGAACTGTTTATACCTTCCGAGATATTTACAATATTCGGTTATTGATTATATGGGTTTCCTGATTACGGACCGAATAAATACGCACTTATTATGTATCAATATTTAAATCTATCTAACAGCAGGGTTTAAACTTTAAAGTAATCCGTAACTTTGATTAAATAAATGAATAATTTGTTATTCTTTAATTTTTAATTGCAGAAAAATTTACTAAAGAAATTACAAAAACCTTTATCAACAGTTTTGATACAATAATAATGATTCTCAAGGAGCTATACTTATTCAAGTAGGTATACGACTCGGTAAGTGAAAAGTATAAATCATCCTTCCTTTGGAATAAAAAGTGTAAATGAAGAAAAAAGTTTACGACCAAGATTCATTTTATTCCTACGATAAAAAAAGCATCCCATTCAATACTGTGTCACATTTGTCACGTGATAGTGTAATCGAATTTACGGTCACGATCGAATGAAATAGAAATTTTAAAGATTGAGCCCAAGCCGTGGAAAGGCAGATTCCTAAGAAAAGAATCGAATCGAATCGAATCGAATCGAAGGAATCAAGCTTCTCCGTGTGTTCCATTCTAATCCGAATAAAATACGAGGTTCTCTATTGAAGCCGACGTCATTGTAGAAACAGAAAGAGAGAACTTTTATTTCGAATGGGAAGATCATTCCGAGGGAAATGGGTTAAGATTTGCGCGGTGGTCGAGTGAAACATAAACAAAAAGTGCAAA